GGGTTGACTAATATTCCCTTGGATGGGCACCTCACACTTTGCTTATTTGTTCCTCTGTTGATGGACACTTAGGTTGTTTCTACTTTTTGACTACTGTGAATAAGGCTGCTATGAACATGGAGGTACAAATAGTTCTTCATAGTTCTGATTTGAAGTCTTTTGGAAATATACCCACAGGTGGACTTCTGGACCATGTTGTAATTCTGTTTTTAATTTTTTGAGGAACTACCACACTATTTCCATAGTGGCTGCACTATTTTTTCAAGCTCTCTGATGGTGCACAAGGTTTGGTTCTAATTTCTCCACCTCTTTAGCAACACTTGTCACTTAATGTTTTTTATATGCTAGTCATCCTAATGGGTATAATGGAATTTGCTGAAGGCATTGGTGATGGAATTGGTGAAGGAAGTGAGTTCTAAAGTATCACCCTTTCTCTCCATCCATCCATCCATCCATCCACCTACCCATCTACCCACCCCCATCCATCCATCTACCCATCAATCCAGAGTTCCACATATTCTTCCATCCTTTCATCCACCAGCCATGTGTCCATCCATCAATTTTTCATATGCTTATCTAATCATTCACTTCTCCTCCTTTCTAGCGGTCCTTCCCTCACCTACCAAACCTTTCCATTCATCTTGCACTAACTTATCCAGCTAATAAGCATACCAAGTATCTTTTATATACCATGCATATTGCAAGATGCTATAGAATGAACAAAACATAGGTCTTACTAGATTCATTTTTATAACAGGGAAAATAATTAAACCTCTAATAATCAAGATACAAAGAAGAGGGTAACAAGTGCCATGAGAGCTCTCTGCTTTCTGGGCCTAGTTTACACATCTGAACAATTTTCAAGAGGTCTGGGATCTGGGAGCCCTAGTCCAATGTTGTGTGGTTTCATCAGAAGGTTTTTTTCTTCGACTTTCTCTCTCTCTCTCTTTTTTTTTTTTTTTGTGGTACTGGGGTTTGAACTCAGGGCCTACACCTTGAGCTCTTGAGCCACTCCACCAACCCTTTCTTGTGATGGGTTTTTTCGAGATAGAGTCTTGTGAACTATTTTCCCAGGCTGGCTTTGAATTTCAATCCTCCTGATCTCTGCCTCCTGAGTAGCTAGGATTATAGGCGTGAGCCACTGGTGCCCAGCTCTGGCCCCTCCTTTCATGATTCCTCATCTTTCATCTCTGTTTTGATTGTACCTTTGCTCCCTTGGGGACAGCCCTGGGCTTCAGACTGGGGTTTCTGTTCTGAGGAGATAAGGTCAGCTGAATGACTCTTAAGACTTAATTTTTTTGTGGGGAGTTGTTTTGAATATTAATTTATTTTTATCCTGGTGACAACTGTATAAGAATAGGGATGTGTGGGTAGGGCTTTGGTCCCATGTTCAAAGCTGGTTTAGAAGGAGGAAATGAGAGATCAGGACAAATAGGTTATTTCTGGCTGTGTGGATGCTGGCTGGCTGGATGAGTTATGGATGACTGATGGGTACAAAATGGGTGGGCGGATGGATGGATAACGCCTGGATGGGTAGGTGAATGTTGGTTGGAGGAAAGATGGTTTAATGGCTGAAGGATGGACAAATGATGATTGGATAAGATGATGGGTGGTGGATAGACAGATGGACAAGAGCAGTCAGCAAAGTCTCCCAAGGTCACCATAGGTCTTGCTTTAAAGCTTTCACTAATAGTCTTGTTCCCTGGAGGTGGTATGGGACAGTGATAAGAGTTACACAAAAGTGAATTTGGATCCTGACTCTACCAATGACTGCTGTAGACAAGGCACTTAACCTTTTTGAGTCATTGTTTCCTTATGTGCAAAAGGAAGAGCATAGTATAGTGGCCACCTTCTCAGGGTTAGGGTGAGGGATAAATGAGGTAATGTATAATAAACTTTTAGCAGAGTATCTGGTACATTAAAAACACATTAAAAGTTAGCTTTTATTGTTTGTAATCAAATATTGATTGAGGCCTACTATGTGTTGTTTGCCTAACAGGTTACAGAAAGGATATCCCAAGTTATCCTCAGATATGCAAATGATATTACATTCTTTTGAGGAACTGAGTCATGCTAAGGGGAAATATGGATGGTCTCGGGGCAGATTGCCTGGGTAGCCCAGTGAAGTGACAACAGGGACGAATGCATTCAGGAGGAGTTGTTCAGACAGGAGGTACGAGTCCAGGGGTGCTGACCTTTGTAATATGAGGATTCCTTGTATTGTTCTCTTGAAGTGCCCTGTATTTGGAGTGTTTCCGCCTACCAGACAGATAGTTATGTTTTACTACATAACTATCTGAGCACCCAAATCAAGGGTCAAGGGGAAATTTCTGTTGGGACTTTTGAAACCTGAATTGTGACTCAGGGGTCTCTGTCACAGCCTTCAGGGTACCCTAGGGCAGGGTGAACAGACAGCAACTTTGAGAAATGCTGACCATGGGGCTGGGACAGCAGAGGCTCATGGGTGTGGAGGTGGAGCTAGGATGGGGTGGGATGGGGTGGGATGGCTGGCGAGGGAAATAGCAGTCAGGTATCCCTCACCCCACATCTGGAAAGCTTTGAGCACTCAGGGTCCCCCTGACTCTGGAGTTGGAATGGGTTTGGGATGGGAGTTGGTAGGCAAGATCCAGAAGGTATTTTACAAGGATTTGGGTACTTCAACTTGGGTAGGAGAAGCCAAAAATGGTAAGGGCCAGAAGTGGGGTTGGAGAAGGATGTACTGTTGAAATGGAAGCTGGATCCTATCTCCAAATCTGAGTTCCAGGACAGCCCCCTCAGTGAAAACTGGCGATCTTGTTAACCCATTGCAAGATGATATTACAAATTAAGTGTGTTTGTTTTTCCTGTCAGGTTTAGATAACTTTTTTTTCCTTCCCCAGTGCTAGGGATTACATCCAGGGTCTTGTGCATGCTTGGCAAGTGCTCTACCACTGAGTTTTACTTCCAGTTCCTAGTTTTCCAAGGCAGGGTTTTGCTATATACTTCAGACTGGCCTTGAACTGGCTATGTACCCCAGGCTGGCCTTGAACCCACGATCCTTCTGCCTTACCATCCCGAAAGTTGGGGTTACAGGTTTACTAATCCAGGCTCTTTAGGATAAAATATTGATATGCAGCTCGCTTTGGCAACACATACACTAAAACTGTAACTATACAGAGAAGATAGCTATCTTCTGCCTAAGGATGACATACAAATTTGTGAAGCATTCCATATTTTAAAAAATATTACTATGATGATGTTCCTTAATGTTGATTCTTAACTTTGTGCTACGTTCTATTTCAAGCATGTCGCAGGTATTGGCCTATTTACTCCTCAGAGCAAGCTGATAACATGGCTGTAATTATTAGCCCCACTTAGACAAGGGAATCAAGGCTTAGAGCAATGGAATGACCTGCCTAGTGTCACCCAGCAGTAAATGCCACAAGCAGGATTTCATCAGCTCTATTTGGCTCCTAAATCATATGCCCAGTGGCCTCCTGAAAGTGAGTCCTCGTGGTATGCATTGTTGGCTCAAATGACTTTACACATGGACAGGACCTTGGTAACTACCCAGACTTTTAAAATGGGGAATCAGAGGCCAGGGAGAAAAATGTCATGCCCAAGGTCACCCAGCAAAGACACCACTTAGCAGGATTAGAAAGTGAGTCCTAGCCATGTGCCAGGGGCTCACGCCTATAATCCTACCTATTAGGAAGAGGCAGAGATTAGGAAGATCATGGTTTGAAGCCACGCTGGGCAAATAGTTCGTGAGAACTTACCTCCAAAAATACCCAACCAAAAAGGGTCTGACAGAGTGGCTCAAGTGGTAGAATGCCTGCCTAGCAAGTGTGAGACCCTGAGTCCAAACCCAGTACCACCAAAAGAGAGAGAGAGAGAGAGAGACGAGAGAGAGAGAGAGAGAGAGAGAGAGAGAGAGAGTCCTGTGGTATCCAGTCCAGAGCTGAAAAGCATCGTCATTTCTTAGGGATGTGTGAATGACTATGATGAGTGTGTGTTTGTGTGAGAGACAAAGAGGAAAAAAGACAGGCAAATAGACAGGTATGTGTACATCTGCTTGAGTATGCATGTTCACACACACACACACATGGCTGTTGGACTTGGTGCAAAGACATCTCATACATTCCCTTTTAGGGTCACATGAAAAAAGTCTCTCTGGTCTCTATACTACACCTACTCTTGGACCCCCACACTATGCCTGGGAAGTCCCTTAGACATGTGGTAGTTTTGTTCCTGGAAAAGGTGCCCAGAGAAACCATGCCAAAGATCTTCCCTAGTCCTGAGAAAGGGCTGCCAGGGCATGTGGCTGCTTCCCAGACTTGAGTCCACCCCACCAGACTCAGGGTAGCCACAGGGAAGTTTCCAGGGAAGTGTCTGATCCTGACAACCTCCCTGGAACACAGGTGCAGCTGCCTATGGTCGTGGTTTTAAGAAGCAGCATATTGTGTCTGGACAAGTTCTGCTGTGTGAGGAATGTCAGCCCTGTGACTTTGCTGTCATACCTTGGCCATGTGACAAGGTCATGTGCAAGTGAGCGTGGGCAGCTGGGAGCTTAGGAACCTGTGGGAAGTCATAAGAGGAGGGAAGGGAATCAGCTTTCCCCGAGGGCCTGCTCTGGCTGGGGCTAGGCATTTTTACAAATGTGAAGTCATTTGTATCCTCCCAATAAAATTATCCCATTTTACAGGTGCATCAACCGAGGCTAGAAAGGCCTCTGCCTGTGCCCAAGGTCACACAACAAGTAAATGGCAAATCTAGGATTCAGACTATTGGGTTCAGTCGTCTATCTATCTCTGTCATTGTGGAGGCCTTTAACCTTGGACGTGTTATGTAGCCTCTCCAAGCTTCGTGGTTGTGTCTATAAAGTAACAAGGTGGGAGAAGACCATTAAAGGAGATGATTCCTGTAAACTTTCAGCCAGCCTGAATTACTACTTTTATGTGATTATGACCTTTGCTGCCCTGCCACCCTGACTCACCCCATTCTGTCCGTTGTTCCCACAGACCATTTCTGGGAATTCCACCCACAGAACGTGCACAATGAGTTCGAGAGCTTTGCTGAGAACCACTTCACGGAGCTGCAGAGTGTGCAGCCCCCCCAGCTGCAGCAGCTCTATCGCCACATGGAGCTGGAGCAGATGCATGTCCTCGACACCCCCATGGTGCCACCCCACACCACCCTGGTTCACCAGGTGCGTGCCGCTGGCTGTCCTCTGTCCCCTAGAGCTCATCATCAGGTCTGTGGTGAGACCTGAGAGCTTCACAGGAAGCTGACACAGGCTCTTACTCAACATGGCTTCCTGCCCCAGGGCACCAACGGCAGCCTGAACCCCAACGGCTGCTGCACTGACCCCCTGACTGACCTTGTGACCTTGTCTCCTCTCACTGAGGATCAAAAGACCCCAAGCCCCCGTCCATCCTCTCCACCCATGGGCGATCAGGGCCCTCACTGACTGCAACCTCCGCTTACTGTCCCTTCCTGTACCCAGCACCGGAATCACTGAACACTGACCTCTGCTGCCCCTCATCTTCCCCACTGGCTTCCATTACTGACTATTCTCTGTCCCAGGAACCCTGACCCCAGTCAGTGACCTCTGTAGACCTCTACCACCCCTCACTAACCTCTACAGCCCCTTAACATGCTCATCACTCCCTTATTAAATTTCACTTATGCCTGTCCCAGCCCACTGCCCCTAACGCTCCTCCTCTGCCCCAGAGCCACTGCCAGGCCAGAAAGTACCTTTGCAGTATGAGAATAGGTGCCTCTTCCCCTGCCCTGAACAGCAGGCCCAGCTGGGAAGGGCAGGAAGCCAAATGTCAGTAGCCCCTTGCTCCATGTCCTACCCCCTTCTATGTGGTGGCCCCAGCATTCCTTCTTCCCTCACTCAGCAGACCCCTACTGCAGCCCTGGTCCTCCAGCTATCCCTTACTGACCTCAACCCATTCCCACACCTTCAGGTCTCCTACCTGCCCCGGATGTGCCTCCCTTACCCATCCCTGTCCCCAGCCCAGCCCAGCTCGGATGAGGAAGAGGGTGAGCGGCAGAGCCCCCCACTGGAGGTGTCCGATGGAGAGGCCGACGGGCTAGAGCCGGGGCCCGGCCTCCTGCATGGGGAGACAGGTAGGGCCCAGCCCCAGTCCCAGCCCCTGACCCAGCCAGGCTCAGCTCTTGGTCCTGACCTGACCCTGGCTGCATTTGTGCCCCTTCCATACTCCAGCCAAGGCTGACTGAGCCAGCAGCCAGGCCGCAGAGCCGTGTGAGTGTGTGAACATTTTGTGGGGCATTCAGTAGCACGGCTACCTGTGTGTTGTGAGTGTAATAGACAGCTCTCTGAAAAGCGTGTGTGCATCTGTGCATCTGGGCTGTGTATGTGCATGAGTGTGGACTTGTGAGTGTGTGTGCACGAGGGGGGTATAAGTGAGTAGGTGTGGCTAGGTGTGTGTGGATGTGTGTGCGCTGGTGAGAGAGTGACAGCTTGTGTGTGTTATGGGTGTGCATGCGTATGGAGGAGTGTGTGTGTGTGTGTGTGAGCCGCAATGGGCATGAGTGTGTGCCCCATGGGGGAGCTGTCCCCTGCAGATCTTCCAGTACCCATTCTTCCCCAGGGGCCACTGAAGGGGATCAGGGTCACTGTGTCCCCAACCCACCTGGCTTCTCTCCCACAGGCAGCAAGAAGAAGATCCGTCTGTACCAGTTCCTGCTGGATCTGCTGCGCAGCGGCGACATGAAGGACAGCATCTGGTGGGTGGACAAGGACAAGGGCACCTTCCAGTTCTCGTCCAAGCACAAGGAGGCGCTGGCGCACCGCTGGGGCATCCAGAAGGGCAACCGCAAGAAGATGACTTACCAGAAGATGGCGCGCGCGCTGCGCAACTACGGGAAGACGGGCGAGGTGAAGAAGGTGAAGAAGAAGCTCACCTACCAGTTCAGCGGCGAGGTGCTGGGCCGCGGGGGCCTGGCCGAGCGGCGCCACCCGCCCCACTGAGCCGCCCGCAGAGCCCGCCAGGCCCCCAGGCCCCCCGCCGGCCATAGCATTAACCCCTCGCCCGGCCCGGACACAGGGAGGACGCTCCCAGGGGCCAGAGGCAGGACTGCGGGGCCCGCCCTCATGTCACTGTCCCCTTCCTTCCAAGCCCCTGCCCTCCACCGCTTTGCCTTCCACCAGGACTCCAGCCCCGGCCAGAAGGCCACCCGGGCGTCGGACCCACCCAGGGTCAGCCTTGCTTCATGACCACGGTGCTTCCTTGGGAGTCTGAGGTCGTAGCATCTTTGTAAATTGGATGCTCCTTTTTAAGCCCCTCTCCCATCTCCCTCACCCGTTAGCATCCTGGAAGATCAAGTAAAATTATTCTTAGCTACTCCTCCTGCAGCAGAGTCTCTTGCAAAAGTTTTCGTGCATCCTCTCTGGGCCTCTGTGTTCAGGGACATTTCTCTTTTCTTCATTTGATGGTTGGGTATTTATCCAATGCTGGCTGGACCCTGGGGACATGAGGATAAATGACACATAGTGCCTGACCAGTGAAACAGACCCCCCCACCCCCCAGTTATTGGGAATAGATCAGACGGAAAGGCTCTTTGCACCAGAGAGGTTTTTTAAGCCTCCATGAGGTTTCAACTCATGATAGTCTGAGTTAGCTATGATCCAATAATGATGGCAATGATGATAGCAATAACCTTGGATTTTCTGGCCGTTCAGCACCTGTCAGCTTTGAGATAAAGAGTCTAAGTAGCACTCCATTTTATAGAATGGAAAAATAAGGCTCACAGAAGTTAGATAATTTGCTCAAGGTCACACAGCTGGCGAGTGGCCAGGCTGGATCCACCCCAGAGCTGCCTGCGAGGTAAGAAACTTGACCTATCTGGAAGAGGACACTCTTCAGCCTTCAGGAGCAGGAATTAAGCCCAAAGCTCCACTGGCCACAGATACTCTCACCAGATTTGTGCTGGGCGGGACCTTGGACTCAGGGATCCCTCCTGCATAGCTCTTGTCCTGAGCACTTTGCTTGCTGGCTCCTGGCCTGCAGCAGGGGGCAGTGGTCAAAGATAACCACGGACACCTGTAAGCATCTTACTTCAGACAGTAGCAAGAACTGGTAGCAGATGGTCTGGGAGCTAGAAACTTCCCCAAGCAGTTTGCACACCTTAGGGAATCTGGATGCTAGGGACGTTAGTGTAGGGACAGACTCCTATTGGGCTCTTCATAGCCCAGCTGTGCTGTTCCCTAGCTCTAGTGCAGATCCTTAAGAGAAGGGTAGGGCTGAGTTGCCTCAGTGGGAGAGTGTGTACCTAGTATATGCAAGGCCTTGGGTTCCACCCCTAGCACTGTAAGAGTTTCCTTTTAAAGAAGACTCAGAACCTAGTGTGGCTCATGCCTGTAATCCCAGCACCCAGAAGGCTGAGCGGAGGATGGCAAGTTCGAGGCCACGCTAGGCTGGGCTTATAGTGAGATCCTGTCCAAAACAAAAAAAAAAGCTCAGGAGCAGGTGATGTGGTTTAAAAGAGGTTAAGAATGGAAGGAAATATGGTTTTCAGTCCTTAAAGGGACAATGAATTTTGTTCGTTGGTTTGTTTTTTGTCGTACTGGGCACTGAACCCAGGGTTTCATGTATGCTGAGCAAACACTGAACCACTGAGCTACATCCTCAGCCCGACAGTGAATTTTGATCATCTGGAAATGCTTGTGCATGGAATTCCTCCTATCTGACAGTGGCTGATAAACAATCTCTCTAGATATTAGTGTTGCTCGGAGGGGGTCACAGGTAATTTTGCTTCTTTCTGTAGCAATCCTGATGTGATGGGGATCCAGTCACAGGGGGTGAGAGGTCTCAGAAACAGTGGTGGTCTGAGATGAGGGTATTCAGAACATTCTGGAACTTATCTTTAGCTAATCCTTGTGACTTTGCCAAAAAGTCACATTATTTGTGATAATGTGGCCAAATACTAAGAATGAACATTGATTCCCCGTGTTCTACATGCCAGGTAGTGCCCTAAGTGGTTCCGTTTGTGAACCCACTTCATTTGTGTGATAATCCCATATGGTGAGTGCTGCCACCCTAGCCCATTTCACAGATGAGAAGACCAAGGCACTGCAAGATTAAAGAGCAACAGTGCTAGGACTTGGGTGGCCAGCCTCAGGGCCTGTGTGCACTGCCACCACCCAGCAAGTGCGCTTTTAATCCGTTAGCCAGGTTAAAGGCCTAGCACTCCTCCACTGCACAGTGTGTTGCCCCACATGAACAGACAGGGCTTGATGTATCCCCGAAGTCCACCAAAAGCTGGAGGGGCAAAAGCCATCAGATTCTATTGGGGGCTGGGGGAAGGACAATGTAGGCCTACCTTCTCCCTAGAGAGGCCTCAGCTGGATGGAATTTGTCTATATTTAGCAGGTGGCTGACAGGAGACAGATAAGCAGAGCTGAGGGGGGTGGGTCCTCATATATAGTGGGGAGGACAAGACCCCGCTCAGTCCATCCTTGGGTGGCCCATGCCTGCTTGGTGACTCGTGTGACCTCTCTCAAGATGCCTGAGCCAGGGAAGAAGCCAGGTAGCTAGCAGCCCAGGGCTGGGTTGGGTCTGAATGTGGGGCAGTGGGGGGTATACAGCTGGGGGGGAGGGTCGGGGGGGTGTTCTTGAGGGGGCTGGTGATGATGAGGCCTCTGCATCCCAGATGGGAAGGGACAGTCCTCCTTGGTCTTTTTTTTTCAATCCTGTTTCTTTTCCACCCCTCTGATGAGACTGAGGATAAACCCAGCATCAGGGGCACCAAGAGAGGACACAGTCAAGTCAGGAAGCACCCCCAGCCAACACCCCATTTTCAGAATGCACAGGACCTCTCCCAGCCTCCTCCCCCTTCTTCTGCAGTCAGGGTCACTGCAGACAGGACCCCAAGATTAGACTATACTTAAGCCAGCTCACTGCATGCCCTGGCATGCCTTGGCATGCCCTCTGCTCTCTGGGTCTTGGTTTCCCCACATTTCCAGGTGGGGGTGGGATGGTTCCTTACAGTTGTCAGATTATCTACTTCCTGGCCTGTACCCCTGGGACACTCATGCTAGGCATGACCTCCAGTTGAGGGTGACACAGCCCCTCTTCTCTAGGAGAGAATGGTCAAGAAGCCCCAAGGCCAAGGGCAGAGAAAACCCAAGGGCTGTGCTCTTGCCAAGGTTGTCCAGGGCAGGGATCCAGACCCCTGTCCCCTACCCCCTTCCAGGCCAGCTTTATCTCCCTGCTGATTCTCAGCTTGAGGCCCTTGAAGGATAAATTTAGCCACATTCCAGGTAGGCAGAGTAGCTGCCCCCCCCCGCCAAGGGCTTGATGGTGGGGAAAGGGGCCATTAGGTAGAGGGGGTGGAGGGTCCAGAGGACATGCCAAGCAAAATTCTTGTGTGGCAGTTAGGCTCACAGCCCTGGCTCTTCCACTTACTGGCTGTGTGATTTTAGACAAGTCACTTAGCCCCTCTGGGCCTCAGTGTCCTCACCTGAGCAATAACTATAATCACTATACCTACCTCATAGAGCTGTTGGAATATTAAATGAGGTGATGTATGGAATGCGCTTATCACAGCATTTAGGGGTGGGGTGCACAGCCCAGCCAGAGGCCCCTGCAACCTTCCTCTGGCTCTTCAGTGTCAGCCTTCAGCAAGAAGCCACGGTCAGTGGAGGTGACCCCAGGCAGCCCTGCCACATTCGAGGTGGAGACCGAGAAGGCAGGGGTGAAGGTGCGCTGGCAGCGGGAAGGCAGTGACATCAGCGCCAGTGACAAGTATGGCCTGGCAACCGAGGGCAGGCGGCACATGCTGACAGTGCGGAATGTGGGTCCTGCAGACCAGGGCTCCTATGCAGTCATAGCTGGCTTCTCCAAGGTCAAATTTGACCTCAAGGTCACAGAAGCAGGTAAGAGCTTAGTCAGCATCCCTGAGGCTTGTGCTTTGCAGAGGCAGTCCACACCTCCTGTCCCCAGAACAGGAGGTGCACTGAGCTTGCTGTCTTTGCCCTGGCTGTGCCCTACACTGGGAATGCCCTCTCCCTTCTGCAGCAAGACCTCTCTGAGAGCCCCAATCACCTCCCTGGCCTATTCCTGCCATTGTGGAGGTGGAAAAATACAGAGGCAAGCTGACATAGCTCATCCTCTGGCTGGAACCCCTGGGGTGTTGGTCACACACAGATGGTGAGGAGGCGGGCTGCGTGTGCTGGCAGGGGAAGCCCAGGAGGCCTGTGGGTGCCCAGGGAGCCCAGTCCAGCCTGTGGGGGCTGGGTGAGGCCAGGGCCTGGAGGGAGGTCAGAGCAGATGGATCTCAGAGCTGCTCAGGCAGACACTTGGGCATGGGAACAGACGGACTGTGAGGGCACGAAGGAGATGCAGGCTGGCTCCCCAGCTCAGTGTGAACTGCCTCTGAGAGGGGCCTGGGAACCAGGACGATATGGCTGGAAAAGACTTGAAATCTGTCATTCAAGTGAGATGCCTTGTAGACAGTGGGTGCATGATTCTGACAACTAGGAGAGAAAGAAGGCAGAGGAGAGGAGGGAGTCTCTGATTAGAAACTATGTCACTGTCCTACCCTAGCCCCTCCAGAGAAGGCAGAGCCTAGTTCAGCTCCACCTCCAGCTCCTGCTGAGGTTCCAGGAGCCTCCAGAGAAACTCCAGCTCCTGCTGAGGCCCTAGGAGCCCTTGGAGAAACTCCAGTCCCAACCACTGAGCTGGAAGGCAGCACCCCAAATCCCAAAGGTGAGAGGTGCTGGGCAAGAGAGACAAAGTCAGTGGGAAGGGTATCTCGGGACAGGTCTCAAAGGTCTTTGTTCACAGGGCCAAGCTCAGCAGCCCCCAATGGACCTGGCCCTGGGGGTCCTACAATCCCTGACGACCCTATCGGTCTCTTCGTAATGCGGCCTCAGGATGGCGAGGTGACCGTGGGTGAGTGTGGGTTGCTGGGCCCAGGGGTGGTGTGGAAAGGGAGGTAGCGGGGTGCCCCAGCACAGCCTGTCACCCACCTCTTGCAGGTGGCAGCATTACCTTCTCAGCCCGTGTGGCCGGAGCCAGCCTCCTAAAACCACCCATGGTCAAGTGGTTCAAGGGCAAGTGGGTGGACCTGAGCAGCAAGGTGGGCCAGCACCTGCAGCTGCATGACAGCTACGACCGGACCAGTAAGGTGGGCCTGTGGGGCCCTGGCATCGTGGGGACACACAAATGGAGGATAGGGAGAGCCTCTGGAAGTCACAAGGGGGGGCAAGGGGCGCCATCAGGCTGGAGGCACATAGGAGGTTCAAGGAAGGGACCTGGGTTGCCTGGGAGGCAGGTCGGGGGCCAGGTGCACACGGGGAAGAACTGTGGGGCATAGCCTGGGCCTTGGAGGATGTGAGTCCCAAGGGGGCCTTATGAAGTGGGGGAACTCAGGCAACTCAGGACTAGGACCACCAGAAAGCACAAGGAACACCAGCTAGTGAGGTTGTCAAGCCCCAGATACATGGGTAACCCTCAGGGATTAACCAAAAAAATTCCTCGCTGGATAGGCAAAGAAACTAAAGGAAAGGTGAAGTTGTTACTCCAAGGTCTCTCAAAGCCAGGCCAGACCATTAAGCCTTAAACTGCTTATGCTTTGACTCTCAGCCTCTGGCTTCTTTCAATCTCACGCAGTCCTGAGTCAGAAATGGAAGCCTCTAGCAGGGCAAGCCAACACGTTTAGAGCTGCACAAGCTGTGCACTGCACCAAACAACCCCCTCTTAAGTGGATGTCTTTTGCCTGTAGTCAGTTCAGATTTGCATTTTATCACAATCATGTGCAAGCTGATGGCAGTCAGTGGTTTTGAGAGGTAAAAATGCATACAAAAGCTCTGTGGGTTAACTGAACCCCGAGAGGAGAGAAGGCTGGTGGGTATTTGCCTCTTGCCCTGACACCTGCCTGCAGGTCTACCTGTTTGAGCTGCACATCACTGATGCTCAGGCCACCTCTGCTGGGGGCTACCGCTGCGAAGTGTCTACCAAGGACAAATTTGACAGCTGCAACTTCAACCTCACCGTCCATGGTGAGGGGGCCATGGTGTCTGTCCTGGGTTCATGGGGATCCTGGTTCCTGGGGCCTGCCTCCATCTCCCATACTGAGAATGTCTAGCCCTGGCTAGACATGACAGCCAACTCTGTGCCCAGCGCTGCTTGCATGGGCTGTGAAATAAATCCTTGAGGGCTTCCGGGAGGGGAGGGTGCAAGGACCAAGGACCAAGTCAGGATCCCATCTAGGGTGGGACTTGCTTTAGTCATTTTGATGCTCCTGCTTGCTGGCACAAGGCCTGACACCGGGTGAGTGTTTAGGAGCAGGTGAGGGTGAATTAAGGGATGACCACTGTAGGGGGCTGGGGACAATAAGCTGCCCCACCTCCCTGAAAGGCTGAGAAGATGGGATTCTGGGGGAGGTGCCCACCCTCAAGGGGTCATGGGCGGGTGCAGGGCTTCTCCCATGGCCCCCTCTGAAACCTTCCTGTCTCCTCCCTCTCTTTGGTCTCAGAGGCCGTTGGTCCCGGAGACCTGGACCTGCGATCAGCCTTCCGTCGCACGTGAGTGGCCCTCTGTCTTCAGAGGCTGGCCACCGGGGGAGCTGAAGTTTGGGGTTGTGGGCGGAGAGCAAGCTCCCTGGGCAGATGAAAACACTGTTTAACCCCCACAGGAGCCTGGGTGGAGCAGGTCGGCGAACCAGGTAGCCCTTCTCTGCCCTGTGCATGGACCCTGGGGTCTGAGATGAGCAAGAACCCAGGCTGGGTGGTGTTCCTTTGTCCCATTCTACCCTACCTCCCCAAGCCCCTTCCAGTCTCCTCCACTGCAGCCTCATGGGGGTTCCTTTTCATAGTGACAGCCACGAGGATGCTGGGATTCTGGACTTCAGCTCCCTGCTGAAGAAGAGGTGAGTTTGTGGGTATCATCCCCCAGGGCAGGTAGCAAGGCCCTATTTCAAATCCTGGCAATTGTGGCTTCCCAGCTGTGTGGTCCTGAGCAAGTCACTATGCCTCTCTGAGCCAGTTCCCTTGTCTGTCAAGTGTGGGAAGGAGTTAAAGGTCTCTGCAAATGTTACGTCCTTCAAACAACCATCCTCAGTATCCCCCACTGCACCTCACACTTGAGTTTACAATAGCTTACTTCAGTAGACTCCAGAGACCCAGAAGAAGCTGAGAGAGGGTCCCAAAGCCTCAGTGATCGTCTGTCCAGTCTGCCTTCCTAACTCATGTTCTCTTTCTGTTCTCTCCCTTCCTGTCCTGATCCCTCCTTTGTGGCTGATGTTGCTGTGGCCCAGAGAGTAAGGAACGGGTTTGAGACATTGGCACACAGGGCAGTGGCCAGGGCAGAGCTGACCTTTGGGATGGGTACCCATACCTGCCAGGGCTTGGTGAGACTCAGACAGTCCAAGGCGAGGCTCCCCACTGCCAGGGCAAGTCTCTGAGCCTCAGGGTGCTCCCCATTCCTCCATACTCAGCTGTCTGAGCTTAGGAAGAATAAGAAAAGGCAACGCACACCAGAGGTCCATCTCGGGCCTCTGGGGCATCAAATGTGGCCAGTAAATGTAGGGGTGCAGGGACAGGGAAGAAGGAGATGAAGGCCCATGGGTAGAGTCCCAGCCTTGATGGGGAGGTGCCCTGACCTTAATGTGTCCATTGCCCTTTCTGCCCTACCCGGAGCAGCAGTTTCCGGACCCCGCGGTGAGTACCCAACAAGCCCAGCACCCTTCTGTCCCCCCTTCAAACAGGAGCCCCTCCCTAGCCTCAGCCCCCAGCCCACTTGGTCCCCACGCCTGGCCCAGGGCCTCTCCTCGGAAGGGAAGGGCAGCTGCAGCTCAGTGGTCCTGAGCCAGGAAGCCCCGCCATGGGAAGAGGGGAAAGGGCTACCCTGAGCTTCGGCATGGGCTGTGGGACAGGGACGCAAAGCTGGAGGCACCGCCAGAGGAGGACGTGTGGGAGATCCTGCGGCAGGCACCCCCGTCCGAGTATGAGCGCATCGCCTTCCAGCATGGTGTGACCGACCTGCGAGGCATGCTGAAAAGGCTCAAGGGCATGAAGCGAGATGAGAAGAAGAGCACAGGTTAGCCCTTCCTGCACACACACAGAAAGAAGAATCCAGTTTAGCCCAGACACTCACAAGAAAGGAGAGACCAGATTAAACTGCCCCCTTGAGTAGGAAAATGCAGGAATGTTCAAGTTAGCCCCTTTCCACACAGACAGATAACAAGGAGAACAAAGCTTAGCCCAGAGACAGCCAAGAAGAAAAGAACTGAGCACAAGCACCCCTCCTCATGAAGTAAAAATCTCTACCTGTCTCTGAAAAGCAACATAGCCTGGTTACACCTCCTCACATCCAAAGGATGAGGGAAGAGGCCAGCTCAGCCCAAAAATACAGAGGAGGGGAGCGTGCAGGTCCTGGTTAATCTTCCTGCCCTTCCTCCCAGGCAGGCCAAAGGAGGAGGGCCTAGCTAGTCCTTCCCTATCAAGGGTGGATATGAGCCAGGGACAGCGATGGCCTCGCCTGCTTTCTCCCTGCCATTTCCTGAGAGTCTAGCATAGCACCTGCACACAGAGAGTGCTCCATAAATGCTGACTGGTTGGAGGGGAGGGATCCACTTCCCTGCAGGAGGGTGGAGGGTGAGCCCCTCCCAACATACACAAAACACATGTGCTCATGTGGAAGGCAGGAGAGCAGGTGCCTCCCTGCCATCTCGTCTCAGCATCCTTAGCTCTCTACTTCCCTTCCAGTTGCTAGGTGGCCTGGCCCTGACCTGATAGTGGCTCCTTTGAAATCAGGAATCCCCTAGTGGCAGTGTTAGCCTCCAGACTGCTGGACCAGAGGCAACTGATCAAAGACCTGCAGGTGACAGGAGTCACCCCATGGGTCAGAGGAAGCCCTTGGGGACAGGGACATCTTGTAGTAGGAGTCATAATAGTGACAATAGTAAAAAGAGTAAATTTAGTGTAAACTAGGCATTAAGTGCTTTGTATAATTGCCTCATTTCTAATTCTCCCCGTACTACCTGGATATAGTCACTGTTATCATTTCCATTACAATTGAGGAAACGAGGTACTGAGGGGTTAGGGAACAAGCCCACAGCCACAGAGCATCGGGCAATAGCTCTCTAGCCCCCTGCAGCTGGCTCCAGGCCCAGCTGGAGTGTCTGAGGGCTTGAGAGAGGGGGTCCTTCTGCTGCAGTCTGGTTTTACAAACACTAGAGGAGACATTGTGGGGAAGGCCAGGGCTCCAAACCTAGCTCTGTCACATACCTAGGGGGCCGATGACATGGGTCAGTCTCCATGCCTCTCTGAGCCCTGTCTCCCCACTTTCTGCTCCTCACCACCCTGCCACCCAGCAGCATGGGGCCCATGATACTGAGCTTGAGGGCTGGGTGGAACGAGGGCGGGGGTGGGGGCAGCTGGTAGGAGCAAAAAGTGAGGCTTGCAGTTAGAACAGAGTAAAGAAAAAGAGAAGGTACATTTGTCCCATCCCTGGTTCTCCTGAGAAGCTTCTGTCCTTCTGAAAGCTTCTGTCCCTGAGCTGAGCAGGTAAACAGAATCCAAGGAAGACAGGACAAAGACACACAGAGAGACAGGAAGCAGACAGACAGAGATAAGGAAACAGGGTCACTACAGAGATACAGAGAAGTGGAGGCAAGAAGGCACAGTAAGGTTGGTGGAGAACATGGGTGCCTGCCACAGCTGCTATGGCCAGGCCTGGGAGAACAGGGTGTGGACATGGGGGTGACCAGGAACTGAGGGGTGGCATTCAGCCTTTCAGAAGAAGCTGGAGCCAGCTTACCAGGTGAGCAAGGGTCACAAGATCCGGCTGACCGTGGAGCTGGCCGACCCTGATGCTGAGGTCAAGTGGCTGAAGAATGGACAGGAGATCCAGATGAGTGGCAGGTGCGGGAGGGCTGGGTGGGGTCTGGAGGGCTGGGGGTGTGGGAGTGTGGTCACACTGCCCAGCCTCTCTGTCCACAGGGGATTTCTTTGTCTTTGGCTCCCAGTCCCCATCACTCCCCCCATTTCTCCCTCTCCCTGGGTCGAATTCCCCATCTTTCTGACCCTGACTGTCTCTGTCCATCTCTCTCACTTCCTCACGTGGTGAAACCTGCAATGGCCCCTTCTGTTCTGCAGCAAGTAAGTCCCCTCCTGGACTGCCTGGGGGTGGAGCACGAGGATTGGGATGGGACATCAGGCCCAGGAGTAGCCTCTGCAGCCCTCCTGACATTCTTTATCGCCCTGCCTAGGTACATCTTCGAGTCCATCGGCGCCAAGCGCACCCTGACCATCAGCCAGTGCTCGCTGGCGGACGACGCAGCCTACCAGTGCGTGGTGGGCAGTGAGAAGTGCAGCACAGAGCTCTTTGTCAAAGGTGAGCTGAGGACCAGGGTCCCAGGGAGGGAAAGGGATGCCCACAGAGAGCCCACCCTCACACTGTCCCTGCCTGGACAGAGCCCCCAGTGTTGATCACACGCCCCCTGGAGGACCAGCTGGTGATGGTGGGACAGCGGGTGGAGTTTGAATGTGAAGTGTCTGAGGAGGGGGCCCAGGTCAAATGGTGAGTGCCTGGGCATGGGGGCACAAGGCAGGGATGGGGGTGAGGACGGGGGGACATCTGTGCATAGGAGGCCACAGCCCTTGCTATCTGCCCACTGGCCAGGCTGAAGGACGGGGTGGAGCTGACCCGGGAGGAGACCTTCAAATACCGGTTCAAGAAGGACGGGCGGAAACACCACCTGATTATCAATGAGGCGATGCTGGAGGACGCAGGGCACTATGCACTGTGCACTAGTGGGGGCCAGGCGCTGGCTGAGCTCATTGTGCAGGGTGAGGACCTGGAGTGGGTGAGGGATTGGGCAAACCTGGGATCAAGGCCAGTGTGACCTTGGGTAAGTCACTTGGACACCCCGAGCCTTGACTTTCCCATCTGTAAAATGGGAAGTGCTGAAGTGACCACTTCCTCCTATGTGTTGGAGGGTCACAGAGGCCTGATCAGTGTCACCCTTATCCCCCGCCCCCCGCTGAACACCTGGGGTTCCTTGTGTACACTACACCATCACAGGCACACACGTCACGTGTTTTCACGTGTACCCAGCTACTTGCACACCATCACCCTCCAGCCCACAAGATCCCAACCAGGATCCACAGACCCCCACTCTCCCAAACTCACTGGCTGTGGCCGCCCTCCAGAGAAAAAGCTGGAGGTGTACCAGAGCATCGCGGACCTGGCAGTGGGCGCCAAGGACCAGGCCGTGTTCAAATGTGAGGTCTCAGATGAGAATGTGCGGGGCGTGTGGCTGAAGAACGGGAAGGAGCTGGTGCCTGATAACCGAATAAAGGTGTCCCACATTGGGCGGTGAGTGTGTGGGGCAGGCAGAGACAGAGACATGCAGAGGGAGGGGGAGGAAAAGACAGGCCAAGGAGACAGACACAGGATAGCCCAAGATGGGCAGAAAGAAAAAGAGACAAGAAAGTAGAAATAATGTTGAAAGAGAGAGAAGCATTTACAGAGCGAGTCCGCTGGAGACACAGAGAGCAGAGGTACAAACAAGTGTGAGACAGAGACAAGATCAGGCACTCTTGCCCTTCCCCCATCCCATAACCAGGAAGGGCAGGAGGCCATGTAGGAGGCGGCTCTGGTCAGAGGCCCACTCTCTCCCACCTCTGCCTCATCCCAGAGCATCTGGGCCGGACGTGCTGGACTCCAGTTCATAGAGATTACTGCGACCAGCCCTTGCCTGGTCTCCAAGGGGCCAGCCATGGTGACACTCTGTAGACATCACTTCTGTACTACCTACCTCTGAAAACATGTGAGGGAGCTGGAAAATGCAAAAATAGAGAAAGAAACCACTTTTTATGGGGCTGGAGTGGAGTGGCTCAAGTGGTTGAGCACCTGCCTAGCAAGCATGAGGCCCTGAGTTCAAACCCCAGTACCACCAAAAAAAAAAAAAAAAGAGAAACCACTTTTTAAAAAACAAGGACATAGGACAAGGCACAGTCTGCTGGAACCCTGGACTGGGTGTCCCACAAGAATAGGGTTGAGTGGCCTGATGGGGTCCTCTGAGCCACCCCTGCCCTGTAGGGTCCACAAACTGACCATTGATGATGTCACACCTGCTGATGAGGCCGACTACAGTTTTGTGCCTGAGGGCTTTGCCTGCAACCTGTCAGCTAAACTCCACTTCATGGGTGAGCTGGTACCGGGGTGTAGGGTGTAGGGGTATAGGGGTGTGAGGGTGTGGTGGGGGCCAGGAGCCCCTGTGGCTGGACCCAGTCTTTGCCTTGGTGCCATTTATTCCTCCTCCTTTTGCAGAGGTCAAGATTGACTTCGTGCCCAGGCAAGGTGAGTTTCAGGATCCCTGTGTGCCCCCTTCCCTCTACCCCACCCCAGCATCTCCTCTCTATTCCAGGGAAGAGCAAAAAAGCTCGCAGAGTTAGGGACCTGAGGCCTGGTTCTGCCACCCATGACCACGGGCCAATTATAACCTCTCTGGCCTCGGTTTTTTCATCTCTGAAATGGGGGTGTTCAATAGTGTGCCTCCATAGGGTGGCCATGAAGATGAGCTGAGGTAATGCATGAGAGATGTCAAGTGGTGTCACAGATGTGAGGTCTTACTATCACACCTTTTCTTCTTTTGGAAGTACCTTTCCTGCTTTTAGCTACTAATCAGAACTTTCAGAATTCTAACTTCAAAACAGTCCAGGTTGAGGCCTGCTCTGCAGTTTCCAAACTGGATTCGCTGAACACTGTTAACCCCTTAAAGAAAGGGTTCCTGGTGAAATAAGTTTGGGACACACTGAGCACCTGATCCACCTCCAACTGATTCAGAAGGGGCACTAATGTGTTGGAGGGACTGAAAAATCTGGCAGTGAAGGAACATGCTGGGCTTTGTTTAACCCAAGTTTTCCTAATTTGGCTGTGGAAACCTTAGTATTTTTTTCTGGCAGGATATTGGTGTTCCTCCAAACACAGGGTGTGAAATGCTAGGTGATCTGAATATTACAAATCTCCCAGAGCACTTCCTGGGCTGATGGAAAGTTGTAGATCTTGTTTGTGTTGGTGGTTACACAAGTTTTTGACATTTGTCAAAAATCATGACTGCCATAGTCTCAGTACATAGGAGGCTGATGCAGGAGGATCAAAAGTATGGGCCAGCCTGGGCTACAGAGTGAGACCCGGTCTCAGAAAAACCAAAAAGAAACCAACAAATTGATAACAAAGCAACAATCAGGAACCTGGGCTCCCAATCCCCCACGGCCCCAGTGACCTGTGCTCTTCCCAGTTTCCTCCCCACAGACCCCCCCATTCCTGGGCCTAGCCCCCTGCCCTTTCTCTGACCTATGTCATCTACCCCACCGCCCCCAGAACCTCCCAAGATCCACCTAGACTGCCCAGGCCGTACACCAGACACCATTGTGGTTGTGGCTGGAAACAAGCTACGCCTGGATGTCCCTATCTCTGGGGATCCTGCTCCCACTGTGATCTGGCAGAAGACCATCTCACAGGTACTATGGCTCTCTCTTCAGTTTTCCCATCTGTAAGATGGGTGTATACTCACAGCTGACCAGCCACTGGGAGCATACAGGTTCCGCTGGCCAGGCCAGGCAGAGCAGGGTCAGGTGGAAGGAAAAACAGAGGGGCCCTCCAGGCTGAGTCAGCCCCTCTGCCCCACTTCTGTCCTTTTCTGTTTCAGGGGAAGAAAGCCTCAGCTGGGCCAGCTTCTGACGTCCCAGAAGACACAGGTGCCAGCGAAGAGTGGCTGTTTGATAAGAAGGTGAGTGAGGCTGAAGGCAGAACTTGACTCGTTGTCCTCTGTCATATCTTCAGTGTCCACCCCTGTGCAAGGACCCCAGTGCCCTGTCCACCTTAGGTGCCACATTGAGATTTTTGAACCAGATGCTTACATGGATGCAGCTCCCCTCAGGCTGTGCCCTGTCCCTAACTCTCCCCTTCAGCTGCTGTGTGAGACGGAGGGCCGGGTACGTGTGGAAACCACCAAGGACCGCAGCATTTTTACAGTTGAGGGGGCAGAAAAGGAAGATGAGGGTGTCTACACTGTCACCGTGAAGAACCCGGTAGGCGAGGACCAGGTCAACCTCACAGTCAAAGTCATCGGTGAGACCAGCTGGGGTCCAGACCAGAGAACATGGAGGGGCAACCCCAGGAAGGGCCCATACAGTCACTCATTCAGTCATTCAGCAAACATCACCAGGCATACTCTGAGCCAGGCAATAGAAATGAATGTGCCACTTTAGAGGGAGATGGAAGCATAAATGTCATTTCCTATGGCACAGAGCAGAGTGTGAAGTGCTATGGGAGCACGGAGCAATCCCCTGTCCCTGGGGACGAGGGGCAAAGTCTGTAGGAGGCTGAGAAGTGGGGGAAGGGCATGCCAGGTAGAGGAGGCAGACTGAAGCTGGTAGATGGGTGAGTATGGGCAGTTGGGAGCCATAAAAAGTTAAGCAGTGAAAGCTTCAGGTTCTAGAAAGACCGCTTTGGTTCTGCAGTTGTGGATTGGGGTTGGTGAGGGGATGAGCAACATTGCCAAGGGCGACATGGGTTCCCCGCCCCTGCAGACGTGCCAGATGCTCCTGCGGCCCCCGAGATCAGCGACGTGGGCGAGGACTCCTGCACGGTGCGGTGGGAGCCGCCTGCCTACGACGGCGGGCAGCCGATCCTGGGTGAGCGCAGGGCGCGGGGCGCGGGGCGCGGGCGGCGAGGGCGGCGAGGGCCTGTGCCCGGCCCCGAGCTCCCATCTCCCCTCCCCAGGCTACATCCTGGAGCGCAAGAAGAAGAAGAGCTACCGCTGGATGCGGCTCAACTTCGACCTGCTGCAGGAGCTGAGCCACGAGGCGCGGCGCATGATCGAGGGCGTGGCCTACGAGATGCGCGTCTACGCCGTCAACGCGGTGGGCGTGTCCAGGCCGAGCCCCGCCTCCCAGCCCTTCATGCCCGTCGGTGAGCCTGAGCCGGGCGCCGCCGCGCCCACGGCCGGGTAACAGCTGCTGCTCTGCTGTTAGGCAGCCGCCACGCCGAGACATTGCATCCATGGTCTCTTCTGATGCTCGGTCGGGGAGGAAACTGAGGCTGGGAGACCATCACCCAGCTGAGACAGTATAGCCCGGGTGACTTTTTGAGCCTTACTTTCTCATCTGTGAGAAATAATGACGCGACTTCATAGACAGTTGTTAGGATCAGATGAGATCATCAGGGCATACAGCTGGTGCTCAATACATGCAGCCTGTTCCCTGTCTCCCACTCCCTCCAGCCCAGGGTTTGTCATATGTGGGATGGGGCAAGGCCTGAGGTGCAAGATCCCTCGAGGTGTGGTTTGCACAGCCAGCTCCTTGATCCCTAGGAGGCCACCTGAAATCCTCGTTCTCCTGAGGATCAGTTTCCTGATCTTTCTGATCTGTGTACCGTGACTGGGAGAGTGGGGCAGATGCTAAAGGTGTGGCAGGGCGCTTGACACCTGGCCTTACAAGGGTGTGTGGGTGGAGGCTGGGAACGGAGTTGTCCCAGCTTGGGGAAATGGCGGGAAACCAGGGGTGCCTGTCAGGGGACAATGCAGGCCTACCTTCTTAGGAAGTGACTTCATGTTTTATACTAACTCGTGTGTGTGTGTGTGTGTGTGTGTGTGTGTGTGTGTGTGTTTGGCAGTACTAGGGTTTGAACTCAGGGCCTCTTGTTTGCTAGGCAGGTGCTCTACTACTAGTCACTCTGCCAGCCCTTTTTTGTGTTGAGTCTTTTCTAGATAGGGTCTCACACACTATTCACCTAGGCTGGACTTGAACCACGATCCTCCTAGTCTCTGCCTTCTGAGTAGCTAGGATTATAAGTATGAGCACTGGTGCCCAGCTCTTTTTTTGTGTGGTGCTGGAGTTTGAGTTCAGGGCTCATGCATTTTAGGCAAGAGCTCTTAACAATTGAGTAACACTATCAGTCTTTTTTTTCCCTTAAATTACATTTATAGCATTTCCTACACTGAAAGAGGTAGTTCCTTATAAATATCCTTGTGAGTTCTTTGTTGCCTTTTCCTATTTAGATCTTTCTTTCATAATTGCCATTGCTGTTTGTAAGTCAGTCTAGAGATGTCTTTTAATGGGAGTCCAAGTATTCCCAAAAGTGCTTGAGAGGTGGCAGAAAGGGATGTCCTGCGTACGAGGCTGGCGGGCAGTTGAGGGTCTGGGTTACTCCAGCTTCCGGCTGGAGTAGACTCTCTCAGAGCCTCTCTGAGCCCTTCCTTGCAGGCCCTCCTGGTGAACCCACCCACCTGGCAGTGGAGGATATGTCTGACACCACGGTCTCGCTCAAGTGGAGGCCTCCAGAGCGCATGGGCGCAGGTGGTCTGGACGGCTACAGTGTGGAGTACTGCCAGGAGGGCTGTGAGTGCCCTGCAGAGGCTGTACCCGCTCCCAGACCAGCCCCTGCCCCTGCTGGGCCCCAGACAGTCTTCAAGGGGTGGGCAGTGGGAAGAGACCCAATGCTGACACAGCCTGTGGTTGCTTTCCCCCGTGTCCACCCCAGACTCAGAGTGGGTGGCTGCCCTGCAGGGGCTGACAGAGCACACGTCATTACTGGTGAAGGACCTGCCCACTGGGGCTCGGTTACTGTTCCGCGTTCGGGCGCATAATGTGACAGGGCCTGGAGGCCCTGTCACCACCAAGGAGCCTGTGACAGTGCAGGAGATACTACGTGAGTGCCCCCTTGCACACAGCCACAAGACCTGCCACTGACCCCCTCTTCCCCCAGGTCCTTGGTGTCTAGTGGAGGTGGAGATAGTCAGGGAGACCCTGCTAGAGGGACAGGCTGCATGCTGGGCAGAGACAGGAAGGTTCAGGGCCTTCATCCATGCCTAGGGCTCAACAGGTGGGCATTACCCATATCCTTTTGAGGTCAGATGGAGCCATCTGGGATAGACTTCTCATTCCTCTGTCCTTGTCTAACAAAGGATTGATCACGTAAGAACTAATGATTCTCCAGGTTAGAAAGAGACAACAAATAGGTGGGAACAGCACAGGGCATAGGGTCTGAAAGCCTAGATTGCAGCCTGGCCTGTGACTTACCAGTTGTGTGATCACAAGTGGCTTACCCTCTCTGATCCCTGTCTTCTTAAAGTCATGTGTTAAACCTCAGGAGGAAGCAGGAGCTTCGTTAACCATTGGGGACTGGGTAGACAAGTTGCTGTAGATTAGGAGGGCGGGGTCCAGGGCAGCTTTCTTCTTAGCTATAGCTCTCTGGGCCCTGCATCAAGACAGAGTGGTGCTGTGGGGCTCCTCAGGGTTGGAGCCATGGAGGACCCTCTCTCAGCCACCTGCTGTGTATCCACAGAACGGCCACGATTGCAGCTGCCCAGGCACCTGCGCCAGACCATCCAGAGGAAGGTTGGGGAGCCTGTGAACCTCCTTATTCCTTTCCAGGTAGCTCAGCCCCTTCCTTGTCCTAAGGGGAAGGCTACAATGGAAGGTCTGTCACAGAGCTGACCAGACCCTGAAGCTTTACCCACATATGTGTGGCTGAGGTAGTGGATGGCCCTTGGGGAGAGCCAGGCTCAGGGTGGAGCTGTCCCTCCCTGTAGGGCAAGCCTCGGCCTCAGGTGACCTGGACCAAAGAGGGGCAGCCACTGGCAGGTGAGGAGGTGAGCGTCCGCAACAGCTCCACAGACACCATCCTGTTCATCCGGGCTGCCTGCCGCACCCACTCAGGCACCTACCAGGTGACAGTGCGCATCGAGAACATGGAGGACAAAGCCACGCTGGTCCTGCAGATCGTGGGTGCGTGGCCCTATGGCATTCCTCGGAGCCCACTCATCTGTCCTTGAGCTGCGCTGCTGAGGCTCAGGAACAAGCCTGGAGACCAATCCAGAGAGTCCCAATTTCCAGCCCAGAGCCCCTGCAGAAGGTGGCAGGCTAGAGGGAGGGACTCCTGGAAGCTGGTGTCCCCCGGACAAGTGGTGTGGTGATCCAGCCAGATCTGTCTCCCACAGACAAGCCAAGTCCTCCCCAGGATATTCGGGTCACTGATTCTTGGGGTTTCAGTGTGGCTCTGGAGTGGAAGCCACCCCAGGATGATGGCAACACAGAAATCTGGGGTTACATAGTACAGAAAGCTGATAAGAAGACCATGGTGAGCCTGGGGGCTTGGGCCCCCATAGTCCCTGTCTACCCGCCCCGATGATTGGTTCCCTCCGCAGTAGAGGTGGAGGCTACTGGTATTCCCCTGGCAGGGGTCCCCAGAAATTCCCTTCTTCCCTCACGTCCTTCAGGAGTGGTTCACTGTCTTGGAGCACTACCGCCGCACCCACTGTGTGGTGTCAGAGCTCATCGTTGGCAATGGCTATTACTTTCGGGTCTTCAGCCATAACATGGTAGGTCCCAGTGACACAGCTGCCACCACCAAGGAACCTGTCTTTATTCCCAAACCAGGTACTGTACCTTTCCTTCTACCCAGGGAAGCCAGGGCAGGGAGGGGAGCCCTCTTAGTATCAAGTCTGACTGTTGTCAACAGGCATCACATATGAGCCACCCAAATACAAAACTCTGGACTTCTCCGAGGCCCCAAGCTTCACCCAGCCCCTGGCGAACCGCTCGGTCATTGCAGGCTACAACACTGTACTCTGCTGTGCTGTCCGGGGTACACCCAAGGTAGGGACTTCAGGCCCTGGTCCAGGTTGACAAGGAGGCAGGGCTCTTGGGTCGTACTTTGGAGCAGTCCTCTTCCCAGCCTGTGCCCTGTCTTCACTCCACCTCTGGGTATCTGCCATCTTTCTTTAAGAGGGTGTTGGCACTCTGTTGGTTTTGTTCATTCCCAGCCTTGGACCTAGTTTGGGACTCCAGTGGAAGTCCCCAGAGCAGAAATAATGCCAGTCTCTAGGTTCCCTGCAGATACCGCACTAAAATGCTTTCTCTCCCTCCCTGTACCTAATTTATAGCCCAAGATTTCCTGGTTCAAGAATGGCCTGGACTTGGGAGAAAATGCCCGCTTCCGCATGCTCAGCAAGCAAGGAGTGCTGACCCTGGAGATCCGGAAGCCTTGCCTCTTTGATGGCGGTGTCTATGTCTGCAGGGCCACCAACTTGCAGGGTGAGGCACAGTGTGAGTGCCGCCTAGAGGTGCGAGGTGAGTGCCTGTTGGGTGAGGGCTTGGGAGGTGGAGAGATCAGGGTGGTGGCAGGAGCCCTGGCCTTGGCTGTGCTGTCCTGGCCCATGCAGCAGCACTGGCCCTGGCCTGTTGTATGGGCCCTGGCATTTGGAGTGGGTATTGGTCCTGGCTTCTGGAAGGCTAGGAAAGTACATGGTATGGCTCTTTTCCTCTTCCAGTGCCTCAGTGACCAGGCTGGCTCCCTAGGGATGGCCAGGTATGTTCTCCAACCACCCTGCTAACCTAGGCCTGAGTCAGAGGCTGAACCCTGGCCCTTGGTCCAGGGGTGGCCATCAGGAAACAGGGTGCAGGAGACCTCAGTTCACTAACAAGAAAGCCTGTGTTGCAGGTACACCGGATGCCAACCCATGTGCCAGAAGCCTGGAGGGAACCTGCAGAAGCCCTCTTCCTGCCACTGGATGTGTGTGTGTGCAAGTGTGCCCTGGATGGGGCTGGGGAGGATAGGGAGGGCAGCAGTTATGACGGTCAGCCGGGGAGCTCTGTGCACACTGATTTCACAGCTCCCTAGGGGCTCGTGGATCCTTGGGTGCCAAGTAAAGAGGCTTAGGAAGTGGTGGCTGGGGGCAGGCCCTTATGGCTGACTTGTCTTCTCAATGTATAAGAGCAATAAAAGCTCAGTGTGGTCACTGAGAATTGATGCTTCTTGTCCAATGTGCTCATTTTCACAGAAAGGCATGGGACACTTGCTTGATCACACAAGCATTCTGTTTCCCAGATGACTACTCAAGACCCAAACAGGACTCCTCAATTTGTGAAACATTAGCACTAGAAGGGGCCTCAGTCTTCTTCACATATTCATTCTACAGATGTGGAAAGTGCGGGAGCAATAGCATCAGAACTGTAGGCTCTTCTTCCCAGGCTCACAGGCTCACTGTGATTCTTGTCCCCGTCACTGAGTGTCACAGAGTAGACCCTACCTTAGTCCTATGTCCCCAAGGCTTGGTGGAGAGCCGCACTGGGTTACTTTGAGGTCCTGGTGAGCAACTCCCACAGCCCATGCCCACACCTATGTAGTAGGATAGAGCAATCCTGCCCAGCTCAAGACACTGGGAACCAGGAGGGTATAAGGAAGGGCCAGGACCTTCTCTGCTCTTATTTCCCCCACAGAGATCCCAAATTTGACCATCAGTTTCCTTTAGGGAGCTAGAAGCCAGCAGGTTTCAGAGATGTTCTGATACTGTGAAGGGTCTTTTCCTATGAAACACTAGTTTTTCCCAAGGCACAGAAATCCCTTAAGGCTGATCCTAAGTTGCTTCTCAAAGTTCTACACTATTGGCCAACAGCCCAGGGCCCTGGGTGTCAGGCTCTGGGAAGGGGTCCATGCCACTGGCAACCCCTCTCTGGACTGTATGGGTAGAAGGAACAGAGGGCCAGAGCTTTGGTTTTTCTGTCACTGCTAGATTAATTTATTCAGGTGTCAACCCAGTTTAGTTGCTCCCTCTAGTGGCCAGTTCATAGCACCCCAGCCCTCTGCAGGGCCCCCAGCTATCGTAGAGAAGGAAAGACCCCTGTTATGGGAAGAAAGTGGGAGGCAGGAGACCGGGCCTTAGTGGGCCAGAGCTTGGATGTGTATGACTCTTCTTCAAGCCTGAAGTGACTTTTTAAAGTCCAGGGACAACCCTCCTCAGGCCTGGGCTGAGAGGAATTGCCATTTAACCCAAGGTACCCAAGAGTCCAAGGTGAGTTAAGGACATTTATTTCACATTCACATCACTGTACATTCTCTATAAATAACATGGAGCTGAACTATTTACAACCATCTGCCCTCAGGTCATCTCTCCCTTCCGGTGCCCAATACCAGGACACACTGCCTCCAGACAGGCATATACACAGTACTTGGCTTTGACCCACTTCTCCCTGGCTCTTGGGGCAGATCAGTCAGTGATCCATCGCCCCAACCACTCCGTCCTCTCACACCAAAGTCCGGGTAGACCATCGTGAAACTGCTGCTCAGCACACAGGAGCCCCTCAGCCTGTCCACCAGAGTGATGGAGTGCTGGCAGGCAGCAGCAGCGCCTGTGGCCACAGCTTGGGAAATGCATAAGGAAGCAGATTGCCACTCACTCTAGCTGCCAGACTCTTCCCTCCATTCCCCTGCTGATCCCCATCTGGGAGGGTGGGCCCCAAGTTTCTCTCCTCCCCCAGGTGCCCTGTGCCAGATCACAGAGGACAGACTGCAGACTCCTGCACTGGAGGATATAATGCCAAGGACAAGGAACCACAATACAGACACTTATCTCATGGACACACAATGTTGGGCTCACACTGGTCCCACACACACTCTCTTGAGCCCTGAGGGAATAGGAGGCTGGTCTGGGAGAAGAGAGGGGAAAAGGTAGAAGAAACTAGTTTAGTCCTGTGACAGATGCACACAAAGATACACTTGGGAGACATAAAACCGGGAACTAACTAAGCCATGGTGAGGGTCTTGCAGAGAACATACACACCATCCCCTTCTCAGTCACAGCAGCTTTGTGCACTTGGGAGCAGCAAAAGGCAAAGGGGACCCCTGGGCTGGGCCAGTTTGCAGAACCCCTCTCCATCAGCTAGAGACAGGCCTAGGTGGGGTCCTGAGATCTTCTTCACTGCTACGAACTGCAGCCACATACGAGAAGAGACACAACACAGAGTAGCAGATCTCATGTGCCTAGAAGGAGAGAAAACCAGACAATCAGCCACACTGAGGTTCATATACTTCCACGTGTGGAGGGTCTCCCCTGCCCTAGCACAGACCTCTGGGCTATAGTAAGTGCCAGTAAGTCCTCAGAAGCTGTTCCCATGGGAGAAAGGATCAGAGAGAGAGAGAGAGAGAGAGAGAGAAACAGAGAGAGAGAGAGAGAAACAGAGAGAGAGAGAGAGAGAGAGAGAGAAAGAGTGTGTGTGTGTCTTTGTGTGTCATCTCTTTGGATGGAAGACTTATTTTTTATGGGGAGACTTGTTTGACTTCAATTGAATCTTTGGCTTCAAAGATTCAAAAGCTTCATTTGACCAAGTTCCCATCAAGGCCCACCCTCCTCCTGTCCAAAGTTCCCCAGGGAATGCTGCGTACTTGGCCTGTCAGGGTTGGGTGGCATACTCACCATTGGTGTCTTGTACTTGTGGCTCACCACTTCTTTAATTTCAGGAACTAAAACCGGACGGGCAAGAGACAAAACAGAAAGTTCAAAACTAAGAGCGACAGTGCCATGCTGCCCCAGGTGGCAGCGCCTGGCACCAGGGTCCCCTTCCCCTCTGTGGCCTCTCACAGTGGCTGCAGCAGCTTAGGCTATGACAGGGCAGAGGCCAGCCTGTCCAGCCAGACTCCTCTGTCTGTCCAGCCAGACTTCTCATTTAGACCTCTGAAGTCTGCAGTGGCTCTTAACTTGATGGTTGTGACTGTACCTGCTTCTTTGAAAGCCCCAGGGTGAGAAGGGCTGGACTTTCTCCAGCCTGGCCACAGTTACTGTTCAGGGCCCTTGAGGAGTTGCAGTGGGGAAGAGAGTGGTCTCTAGCCTGTGCCTCACCTTGCTGAGATGCCTGTGAACTCATCCCTGTCACCAGCCCACAAGTCCAGTCAGGTTACATATGGTTCCCTTCACCTCCAGCCCCTACAAAGGGGGTTGTGAGGCTGGATAAAAAAGTAACATGATACTAAACCCATCAGACTTGAGTGTCCTTCCCTGAGTGGCAGGAGAAGCCCAGGCCTGCCTGTGTGAGGGAGAGCGTCAGAGGGCTCTGGAGCAGACACACCGAGCAGGAAAGACAGGCAAGTACAGCACCCAGGGAGGGAGGTGATGGGGAGCATCAGGCAAATACACACATGTTCACAGCCCAGAATGCAAGACTAGGAGTCGCCCTTGCCCAGCCATGCAGTGGCTCTGCCCAGCCAGAGAAAGGAACAGGGCCTCCCAGCCATCAGTGTGCCCCTAGGAGCCTGAGAAGAGTATGGCGTTCCCTGGGGGCCAGAAAAAAGTAGGATGACAGTTGGCCACACCTTCTTCTGACCTTGAGAGGTAGAATTCAGGGGAACCCAGGGTTAACGAGAATAAACTTATCAAGGTAGAGTAAGATGCCCCAGGTCATTCATTCTCCTGAGTTGAAACAGTCCCCCAAATATCTCTCTGGCAGAAGACAGAAGGGAGCACATGGGGGAGAAAAGTTGGAAACAGTGAGCCAGCACAAGGATGGGGGATTTTGGGAAGGAAGGGGATGGGGAGAGAAAGGATGTGAGCCACTGGTTGGTTGAAGGGAGTCCCCACCCACCCATGGCGGGGCCCAAGGCAAGGGCCTGGGGGAGAGGCAGCACGAGCAGTGTGGTGCCGAGGTCACTTTACCTGCTGGAGAACGAAGGTTTTCATAGCAGCGATGAGGGGTACAAAAGAATGAAGCACAAACACAGCAGGAACTCAAAGCCCCAGGGTGAGACCCCACTATGTCACTCCTTGCACTTGCTGGGAAGGTTGGCTCCAGCTTCCGGCTATACCTGCCCTTCTGCCTCTGAGGTTCACTAGGCTTCTCTGGCCTCCAGTGAGTCTGCTATGACGCCCCATGCCCTCTTCTAGCATAGAGGCCAGGCAGAGCCTAGAGCGGCATCAGGGAGGCTGGGTGGAGTGTTGGGCTGCTAGAGAAATGGCAGCAGGCGACAGACATAGCAGAGTTTGGGGATTGCCAGTCTGCTCTGCCCCAGAACTTTCTGACCACTGGCTGGCTGAGCAAGGGAAGGTGGTACTACTTTACTGAGCCTCGTCAGTACTATTTCTAAACTCTAAACCCATCTAAGGCCCCTGGCTGTGGTATGCTCATTGTGTCTTGTCCTGCTCCTTCCCTTCTCTCTTCTCAGGTATTCCTCCCTGTTGCTCCTGCTCCTCCTGGCCTCTTTGTAAAGGTTCTTCTTTTTTTTTCTTTCCCTGCCCCTAGTCCCTCCTCTGGAGCTCCAAGGTTTGAGTTACTGCCAAGTGAGTCCAGACCTAAGAGCAAAATAGTGTAATTACCAAATTCCTCCAGGACAAAGACGCCTCGAACTGTATTGCACTTTTTAATGTGATTCAGCTCTATGAAAACCTGCAAGAGAGGGAGGGAGGGTGGGGTAAGGCCCAGAGGCTCCTCCCCAGCCCCAGAAAGCCCATTTTCCCAGCTACAGCCCCACCTCCCCACAGGAAACCTAGTTCCCGAAGGGAGGACAGAAGAATCCACGCACACACAACCAAAAGCGCAAAGAAGCGAAGAAAGCAGAAAGGGCAAGTACCTTCCGCTCCTGGCCGGAGGAGAAAGCATGGGAGAGAAATGAAGGCGTTAGTTTTAGTGGTCAAACTCAACCCAAAGGCACCTCTGCTGGCCTGGGCGGCCCACCCGTACCCTCTGCCCAGGGCAGCGCTCAAAGGACACAGTGTCCCCAGGGATCCCCGACTCAGCCCATCAGGTCTCTACCCTTCCATACATCCTCCTCCGGCGCAGAGGGCTGGCACGGTGCAAAGCTCCCTTCAGACTGTCCTTGGGGTGGGACATGTTTGTATCTCCCTTGACACAGGAATCAGGACCTCCCAAGAAGTATGCAATAATATTAACAACAAATGTCACCTACTTGGAGCACTGACTTGGAGTTTTATAAATACTATTCCTAGTGCTTACACCTATGTGGCATAGGCTAGAGTGCTGCCCCATTTTATGGATGAGAAAACAGAATCAGAAAGATTATTTGGCTATGAATAATAAGACTGAGCTTCAAATTCAAGTCCATCCTGACTCCAAGTCTGTGCTTTTCCCATTTGTTACCTCTATGCCAATGGGCTGCAGGCCACTGCCCAATTATCATGTCAGATTTCGAGGCAGACCCAGAAATCAGCTCTCATGCCTGCTGTCTGTAGGATACCTCCCCTAGGGGCCAAGACTACCATTGTGGAACAGCTTGGATATGCTGTGTAACTGTCAAATAATATGTGGTGGGCTAGAGGGGCTGGCTGAGGGCAGGACAAGGAGGTAGGCAGAAATTCTAAGCAAGGCTTAACAAGAGCTCATCTTCAGAAGTGGGGGGCACAGCACTGAAATGGAGTAAGAAGCCCCCTCCCCAGGAAGTGCCTTAGGTAATTCCTTCTTGGGCTAACCCTAAGGTCTTTAGGGGTTTGCTGCTGTCCTAAGGCCCCAGACTGGAAAAACATTAATGGGCTGCCAGGAAGCCTGGGCAGCTATTTCCTGTTAAACCAAAGCTACCCAGTGAGATTCCTGAAAGAGGGGGAGCTAAACTGGTGAGTGGAGGAGAAAGCCACATCTGATTTAGATGTCCACTTCTCCTGAGTTCCTGCTACCTAGCCAGAGGCTTCAGGGCATCATATTGGGACCTGGCTCAGAGCCTTGGGAGAAGAACCAGGACATGAAGGAAGGGGAGGAAAGGCACTTGTGTGAAGAGTCAGAGCCGGGAACGGACCTGGGATGATGCGCTGGCCTCAGAGGGAATTAGCTTAAGGAATGTCCACTGAGAGAAAAAGTAACACTGTGTTAAAAGACCAAGAGAAAAAAAAAAGTCAGTTCCTAGGGTAAGGGGAAAGATGATCCTGATGTGCTCCTCCATCGAAAAAAGGGGCACAGGGCCTGTGGAGCAGGGCACAGAGTGGGAACAACCAGAAGATGGGAAAGAACAGGAAGAAGAATCAGCAGAAGGAAAAGGCAAATAAACACACACACATACTTTAAGAAGACATAGACAAACTACACGAGACACACACACACACACACACACACACACACACACACACACGCTTCATACACACGCTTCACACACACCAGAAATACGTGTGGAGATGGGCCAACCTAGACTCTTAAAGCAAAACCACCAAGCGAAGCACACCCTGGGAATGTAGGAAGTCAGAGACACGCAAAGAGGGGCCAAGTGAGACGCTCCCACTCACACTGTGCAAGTCTAACGGATGAGGCGCACAGCCACCAGGCCTCACTCTCTTTCCCAGCTCCCACCACAGGCTCCCTGCTGCACCTTCACAGAGCGTGGTGGTCTTGACAAGGTGCCCTCCCCTCTGATTTCTCTCAGTCCAGCCATCCACTTCTCCTTCTGGCCTGAGGCTCTCCCTCATGCTCACTGGGAAAGCACTGAGGGTGTGGCCACTGATACTTATTATAGGTGGAACAACAGGGCCAGGAAGTCTTGGACTGCTCCTTATGCCTACCTGGTTGTGCATGAACTTGAGATTGATCCCTTCCAGGGTGACCTGCAGCAAGCCACCCTCTCCAGTCTTCATGTCCTGCACAGGGAACTCTCCACCTAGTTCAGGCCCTGTGGTGAGGGAGGAGGTTATCAGCTAACAACCCAACTTTCTGGCTGACCCCTTACATTCAGAAGGAAGACACTCTCAGGAGATCCTTTATTTCTCACCAGGCTTGATGCTTTGCTGTCGGGCGGCAGCCCGCTCCATGCTATCCTTCACACAGTAGTACAGCTCCCGACACTGCAGCACAGAAGGGAGAGTTGCCCTGTTACAGGAGCCTTCCAGGATTCCCTGGCCCCTGTGCTATGAAGGCTGGGACTGACACCAGGACTCAGACAACTTGAGTTATCACATACAACATCTGGAGGCCAAAGTGTGGCTTCAGATGTGGATTTGGACTTTTTAATTTTTTTTTTTTTTGGTGGTACTAGGGGTTTAATTTGTTTGCAAAACAGTCACTCTAAATTTTTTTTGGGGGGGTGCAGTATTGGGGTTTGAACTCAGGATCTTTCACTTGCTAGGCAGGCACTCTCCTACATGAGCCACACCTCAGTCCTTTTTGCTCTGGTTATTTTAGAGACAGGGTCTTGCTCTTTGCTCAGGCTGGCTTAGACTGCAATCCTATTTTAAACTTCCAGCATTACTGGGATGACAAGTGTGCACCACAGCACCCAGCTGGATTTTGGAATTTTAATTTTGTATCAAGAAATTCAACACTCACTCCTCAATGTCTATCCAATCCCCAACCCAGACTCCTGAGTACCTTCTTAGTATAGAACTTGTTGAGCTGGGTCTCAGATCCATTTCTACGCCACAAGCACAAGACCTTGGTCTTGGGACAGTAGGTCATGTTGATGAGCTTTTCATACCACCAGCGCTCATACACTGTCCCGATGTTACTACGCAACACCACACAGTCATCGCATACCTGGAGAAGTGTACAAAACAGGTCAGTGGTTCTAGTCTCTGAGAGCCTCTTCCATCCCAGGCCATACTACCTTCATGTCCCACTGGGAAAGGTTAGAACAACTGGCCCTGAGAGCTTCTCTATGCTCAGGTTTTCAGTCCTATACTGACAGTCTCCCTAGGTGGAGACACAAACAATTGCTGGATGTGTCTGCTAGAAGGATTACTGAAAGAAAGAGTCATTGAAAGGAGCCTGTGCTCAAGGAAGGAGCCTCATTCTCAATGTACGTGATCTCCAGATGAAAGTATTTGGAGATTATCTCCTGCCTCTATCAGACAACCATGTTTAGGAATCAATTCTGTTGACAAACACAAAGGAAGGAGAGTATGGCAGATTTAACCAAGGAGAAGAAAATGGAGTCCATGTATTTTCTAATCCTTGCTCTGCCTATTCCTATCAAACATTTAAAAAAATTAATTACGCAAGTTAACACATGAACAATGCATATTGCATAGCAATTATTCAATATAGGATGATATATTAAAAAGCAAAGTCCCCTTCACTCTTTTTGTTCAACAGTCTCTCTCAGGTGGACTTACCTGTTCTCATGGTTTCAATTATTGTGGAGGACATTACAGCATGCTGAGTAGGGGCATGGGTTTAAAGTCAGACTGCCTGGGTTTAGACCCCAACTCTACCATTTCCTAGTTGTGTCATGTTGAGTAAGTTCTTCTACATACATTTCCTCATGTGTAAGGTGATGACTATAATAGTAATAACTACATGAAGTTATTGTGAAGATTAAATGAGTTAATGTGAATAAAATTCTTAATGTACACAAAAAAGCCAGGCCCAGAGCTGGGGATGTAGTTCTGTGGTAGAACACTTGCATGAAGGCCCAGATTTGATCCAAAGCGGGGTGAGGAGACTGGAAGCACCCAGTTAGGTGCTGTGACAATATGATTATAATATAAGAAATATAATTATTACTAGCATGTTGACGATTCTTAAATTTTCTCCAAATGTGCCCTCTCTTCCTGTGCTCCTGATCTCTTTTTCTGGATGTCTCACATATAGCACCTGAGATTCACCTTGTCCAAATCTGAACTCAACATCTCCAGAGCAGAACTTCCTTCAGTGTCTCCTTTTGTAGTCAACAACACCACCACCCACCCATGCCAAAGCCCGAAGTGGAGGGATACCTGACTCCTTCCTTTTCCCTGTGCCTGCCTCTATCATGAGTTCTATCAGTTCTACCTCAAATACCCTGGACTGCTCTTCTCTTCCCTCTCTCTACCCATTAACTCTTATTCAAGTTTAAGCTCAGAGGTCACTTCTTCAGAGGGCCTATCCACAATTTCCAGACCCTTTGCAATGTATTCCCGTATTGTCGGTTCCCTGAACGTCTCTCATAATGCTTATCATATTGTACAACTTCTGACTTCTCCTATGGCTTGTCAACTCTAGAGCAGCAGTAGAAACCATGTCAGTCATACTCACTGTTACAATCTCTACACCCAACACAGTGCCTGGCATGTAATTTGTGTCCTATAAATATCTGGTAAACAAATAAGGAACACAGAAAAAACAACAAAAACACCCAGGCATGGTGGTATGTGTTTGTAGTCTCACCACTTAGGAGACTGATACAAAAGGATAGTTTGAGCCCACAAATTCAAGGCCAACCTGGGCAATGTACCAAGATTCTGACTCAAAAAAAAAAATGAGAGAGAGAAAGAGAGATTAAGATTGATTATTGGTGTTCTAAAAGCTTTATGAAGCAAAGGTCAAAGTAATAGAGTAAAAATTGGAAACTTAAATTCTAGTCCAGTCTGACTCTGTGGAAATAGTCCTTTAAGAGCATCATGTAAAGCCTGATATTTAGGAGAACAAATCATCTGAAGGCTACAGAAATGATGCTAATAATGTGCCACATCTGCCTATGTTGCTGATGGAGGTGTAAAGTGGTGCCGTCTTTGGGACGGAATTTGGTAGAATTTATCACAGTTTTGATTGTATATAAGCTTGATCTGGAAATTTCATGTCTAGGAGTGTATTTCTCATGTGACTATGCAAGTATTTATGCTCATGGATACTCAGTGAAATTGCTTCACTGAGCATAAAAAATAAAGTGGGAGGCACTAGTGAAGTTAATTATGGTGCAGCCACATAACAGCTAATGGCTAACTACCTATTTACAAACAGGGAAAGATGTCCATGATATGTCAAGTGAAAAAAGCAATTTATATATTAATATTTGCAGTTTGATACTACTTTTATAAATGCCAGCATAAAATTCTATGTAAATAAGTTGTATTTATACAAATAAGCATTTATTTAAAACTGAAATAATTTTCACCAAACTCTTTGTTTTGAGACAAGGTCTCTCTGTGTAGCCTAGGCTGACCTGGAACTCATAATCCTTCTGTCTTAGCCTTCCAAGTGCTGGGATTACGGGTGTGTAGCACCATGCCTGGCTGCCTCGAACTCTTTCAAAAGTGGTTATCTCTGAGACATTAGGTTTGGGAGGAAGTAAGAAACATTTTTTACTTTAATTAACTATGGAACCCAGGGCTTTGTGTGTGCTAGGCAAGCACTCTACCAGCTAAGCTACACCCCCAGTCCTTATTTACTTTTATATGGTTTGAAATATTTACAGCATATACTACCCTACTTTTTAACTTAAAAAATAAAGGCAACAAAAAATGATTTTTAAAAGTCTTCCCAAATAGCTGTGGATTAATCCTGTGGCCAGCAGGCTATACTCTGAGAAAGGCTGAATTAGAGGTTCACAGCAGACAGCTGATGACACAGGGACGGAGATATACTCTTATTGGCATGGCAACACTTCAAGACAGGGGCATCTTTGAGGGTAAAGGACTCAGTCCCATACTCTAAAGATTTAGCATAAGGCTCCCTTGTACAGTGATGAAATGAGCCCTATACTTCAAGAATCTTCTAGAGATATTTATTTATTTACTTATCTGTTTGTCTGAGACAGGTTCTCACCCAGGCTAGCCTTACTCTTGAGCTGCTTCAACTTCCCTAGTGCTGGGATTACAGACATTAACTACACATGCCTGATTTAAGAAATTTCTTGTTTAAAAGGAAAGCAAATTACCTGCTACCTCTAGTGTGGTGCAGATGTCCAAGTTAGCCCTCAGCTCTGAGAAACACATAGTCAAATTCTGACACCTCAATGGGGTGACATGAAAACAACTCCCTCTTAGCTACACTGACACATGTTCCTAGCTCAGAACAAACTCCCCTGTACTTGATAAACTACCTGTTCAAAAACTGAGTGTGAAAATCAAACTCAAGTAAACTAAAGGGGAACAGATAACTTACAAAGATTATTTTACTTTATATAGGAGTTTTACACTTATAAGTTACTTAAAAGAGATGTTCTTAGTATTAAAACACTAGGGCTGGGAGCATGGTAGAGTGCCTATCTAGCAAGTGAAAGGCCTTGAGTTCAAATCCCAATACCTCAAAAAAATTAATTAAAAATGCCAAAGTGAAGAAAACAGCCAGTTTCTTTTACAATCCTGGAGTGAGGAAGGCTTTTTTAAACTATGGCTGAAAGTCCAGAAGTCATAAAAAAAACTTCACTTATATAAAAATAAAATATTTCTGCATGGAAAAAATATCTTAGGCAAAATCAAGAGATGAATGACTGCCTGGTGTTATGGTGCATGCCTCTAGCCCCAGCATTAGGAGGCTGAGGCAAGAGGATCATGAGTTCAAGGCTAGCCAGGCTACACAGTGAGTTCCAAGCCAACGTGGGCTACATAGTGAGACCCTGTTTCAACCCTCCTACACACATACCAAAAGAGAGAGAGAGAAAAAAAAGAAGAACTTGATCAGGTTGCCATATCTGAACCCCTACCAACCACTAGGAAAGAGATGAATCTATGAGGCCACAGGAAATAAATCTATACCTAGGAAGTATTCTTACCAAAATAGTGAATATGAAATTGATCAAATCTCTAGATTGAGCTATTAGTTTATAAGAAATACAAGTGATAGAGAAACATGTCCTCTACACTAAGGAGATGCAATCAGTAAAAATTCTAGAATGTGAGAATTCTCCATGGGTTGATGATCCAAAATTACAAATGCACTGTCCCTTTGATTTATCAACCCCACTCTTGGGAATTCTTAGACATACTTGCACACATATGAAATTAAGCAGGCACAGTATCATTCATATCATTATTATCAATAGCAAAAACCAGAAGCAATTCTAGGGTCCATATGTATTGACTGGGTAGATAAATGATGGCACAATCCCATGGTGGAATACAGGTAGCCACAGAAACAATGAGAAAGCTCTTTGTTCTGTGATACAGGATCAGCAGGATAATGTTTAATGAAAAAAACAAAGTGTAGGTCAGTGAACAGTTATACCTAAAGTAGAATACACTGAGAAGTTTTGCGCTACTTCTCTGTAAGAAAGGAGAAAAATAATAATTTATGTTAAAATTTTATTGCTTGCATAAATATCTACTGGAAGATACAAAGAGCACCAGTAAAAGTGGTTACCTATAAGATGAAGGGATGATGTGAGTGGGAAATTGAGTGAAAGTAGGGATGAGAATGAGCACAGGACCTTCCAAAGTATACTATTTTGCCTGCATTGGTGGTATAGTGGTGAGCATAGCTGCCTTCAAAAGTATACTATTTTGTGATGTTCTGATTTATAGACAATGTGACTATATCACCTGTTCAATACCTATAAAAGAAATGGTGAATCATCTCTTATGTTAACTATTTGTATAATAATCTGATAATTTAATGATAAATGGATCATGAGATAAGTGGGAAAAATATTCTGGCATCAGTTCTAGGAGTGCCTTGTATCTCAAATATTCTTTTGGTCCCCAGCATGAACCACTTACCTCCATGAAAAAGATATCTCCATTTGTGTCTGTTCCCGCATGTACCACAAATGTTTGCTTCTTCATGTGCCGGCTGCCACTGGACCGGATGGAGAGATCACGTCCATGCTGAGAAGAGAGATGTTTAGGAACATCTTAAACATGGATCTAGGATAAGGAATCTCCCATTCAGTAATTAAATTCATATTAGCTCCTTACCAGTCTTATCTATTGGTCATTGGCTATCAGGAAAATGTTCAAGGACTTTTTTGTCTGAGGACCCCTATATCTCTTAAAATTATTAAAGATCTCAAAGTGCTTATGCTATGTTTATGTCTTATGTATTATGATTAGATTTACTACACTAAAAATTAAGAATTTTAATGTTAATTAATTTGAAGATAATAATCCCTTAATAACCAAGTGCATAGTAATGTAAGTAATGTACCTTTTATAAAATGTACTTTCCCTAACAAAAAAAATGAAGAGTGGCAATGTTTTACATTTTTGTAGATCTTTTTAATGTTTGGCTTAATAGAAAATAGCTGCACTCTCATATCTGCTTTTGCATTCAACCTTTTGCAATATGTTGCTTTGATTAATGTATATGCAAAAAATCTAACCTCACAGAAAGGTATTTGGAAAAGGAACTTTATATCCCTTCTAGGTAAATATGCATATTCTTCTTTGCTAGAGAGCTCAAAGAAGCAGGTTTTTCTCTCTTTCTTTCTTTTCTTTTACTTCTTTTTATGGTGGTGGTACTGGAGTTTGAACTCAGAGCCTGCACTTGCTAGGCAGGCACTGTACCATCTGAGCCACTCCCCAGCAATTTTTTTGCTTATTTTTCAAATAGGGTCTTGTGTTTATGCCTGGACTAGGATCCTATTGTTTTCTCTGTTACTGTGATGACAGTTGTACACCACTACACCCAACTTTTTATTAGTTGAGATGGGGGTCTCAGGATCTTTTTTGCCCGGAACAGCCAAGAGCCATGATCCATCCTTCTAATCTCCACCTCCTGAGTAGCTAGGATTATGGTTTTGAGCCACCACTCCTAGCATCAGTTTCTTAAAGTTAGATGCAAGTGGAATCTGAAAATGCATCAATGACATTTTATACTATTATATCAAAATCTCTTTGTTTACCTTATGTTTTGAGTAGATATTTTATCCATACTTGAATCTGTAACATTTCACATTATATTTGGAAAATACTTCTAAAAACTGACACATCTTATTATACCATATAAAAAAATCATATTCATTAACATCATCACTAATCTTGTTAGAATAGTCTTAAAGTACTGGAAAACTTCAAGCTCAAATATCTTCCAAAATTTTCCTTTTCACTTAAAAGCTTGAATCCTATCATTTATTAGTGACAAATACTGTTCACTGTTTCTCCCTCTATTTTCTCTTTTTTGGCAGCACTGGGGTTTGAACTCAGAGCTTCATATTTGCTAGGCAGGTACTCTTACCCCTTAAGCCACTCCACCAACCCATTTTTGTGACGGGTTTTCTTCAAGATCAGTCTTGGGAACTATTTGCCTGGGGACTAGCTTCAAGCTACGATCCTGCCCATTTCTGCCTCCTGAGTAGCTAGGATTACAGAGTGAGCCACTGGCCCTCAGCGTAATTATTTTTCTTAAGACAACTGGCTATCCTGAGTAGCTAGGATTATGGTTTGCTAGGATTAGGGCTGGCTAAGTGGCTCAAGTGGTAGAGTGCCTACCTAGCAAGCGTGAGGCCCTGAGTTCAAACCCTAGTACCACCCAAAAAAAGAGAGATAACTGGCTCACTCTATTACTTTTAGAGAAAGATCTGCCAAATACTTAACTCTGAATAGCCATAGTTTCTTAGTTATATATTTTTTGAGGTGGTGATTCTGAGGTTTGAACTCAGGGCCCCATGCTTGCTAGGCAGGTTCTCTACCACTTGAGCCACATTCTAGCCCTCTTGGTCTTTCTTTAAAGTAAAAATGATGTTTCATGAACAAAGCCGATAGTTCACCTTGCAACTCAAGCTGTTACAAAGTGCTTTTCCTCAAAACAACTATCACACTGTGTCTGAAGCAGAAATACTTTATGTTTACTCCTATTTTGTTACACAGGATATTAAAAAGTATATAATCAACAATCAAGATTTAATAAAAATAATATCCTTGCTTCATTAAGGATATAGAAGTGAAACTGGATTTTTTTTTCAATTTTTTTTTGGGTTTTCTTTGGAGACAGAATCTGGCTATGTAGCCCAGGCTGGCCTTACTGAGTGCAAAGGTCACCACCATGCTGGGCCCGAAACTGCCTTTTTTAAAAATTGAAAGTGCACAGAGGTGAGGTTGGGGCCAGCAGTTTACTGCCATGGTTTTAAGGTGCCAGCACTCTACATATCACTGCTTCTGCAGCATCGGTGCAAATGTCATTCTGGTGAAAGAGACATTTTTTTTCTTGTTTGTTTTGTTTTTGTGCGACTGGGGTTTGAACTCAGGGCTTCACGCTTGCAAAGCAGGTGCTCTACTGCTTGTGCCACACTTCTAGTCCATTTTGCTCTGGTTATTTTGGAGATGGAGGTCTCTCAAGCTATTTGCCTAGGCTAGCCCCAGACCTCGATCCTCCCAATCTCAGTCTCCCAAGTAGTAGGATTACAGGTATGAGTCACTGGCACCCAGTAATAGAGACATTTTGTTTTATGATGAAAATAGATTTTATCTTGTAGATCTTTAGGGGCCTACAGATCACACATTGAAAGTGCTGCTAGGATAATTTCAACGTAGGATGGAATAGAAGGGCTAAAGTCTCATCTAGACTACTGCTTCATTCTTAAAACTAGGAATCAACTGGACTACCAGTCAGAAATGCCCAGTGAGGAAACCTCTGCAGTTGGGCAGAAGGCCTAGTAAGGAAGGCTGACAAGCACAGTGGAAGGGGCCCAAGGAATGGCCCAGTATGCTCACCAGGTTTGCCAACTGATCAAGCACCTCATTGATTTGCTGGCTGTACACAAGTCCAATGTGGGACTTTCCCATTAGACGCCGCACCTTCTTTCGGATGTCATTCTTATTCACCTGGAAAAGTCAAGGCAGGTATCTTAAGGCATCTGTTCACCTTTCAACTGAAGCAGAGACAGGAGAATGTACAAGTTTCCTCCTTTCTCAGAGAAGTGGAACTATGAAGACCACATCACTGAAAATGGGAGAACACTTCCAACGGTGTATTCTGCTACATGCTGGGAAGAAAAGCCCTGATTCTGTCTCTAATTAGCTTCTGCAGAGAAGTGGGTCTTAGAGCAGTTGGGCTTCAAGGGGATACCGCCCCCCTTCCCCACCCGATACCACAAAATTTGTCCCTAAAGGGTTCTCAGAATGTAATTTAGAAATAATGACTGAGCGGTGACCCTGGAACTCAGCTGTAGCCAAGAGGTTAAGGATCATCACCCTTTCCCAGCCAGAGTTAAATGGAATTCAACAGAGTGGGAGGAACCTCACAACAGAAAAGGAAGCAAACAAAGAGGGCATGCAGGGCATTCTCTGCATTTGACCAACTGATCCCTTCATGTTTAGGGAGGTTAGGGAGAATAGGAGGAGAAACTCAGGGGCTTGTTCTCAAAACATCTCTCTATTACTAACAACCCCAAAGCCATGTTTTGCTATCAGAGCAGGATTCCACAGCTACAAAAACCAAGCACAACCAAATCAAACTAAAACTCATCATTACTTTGTTAATGTGTAGTTCTTTTAACAGCTATTAGAAAATCCTATCTGATAAAGTGCTGAAAAATAAACTGAGTACTCTTTCTGAGGTTTTAGAACCTCCTACTGTAAAAAAGAATTCACTCTGTCCTGTGGAGAACTTTACTGGCATTCGAAAACTACTTAGCAAAGGGAGCCCATCTAAAATTCAAAATAAATAAGTACTATGAGATCAATTACCTTTACAACATTCATTAGCAAAACAGCCTGGCAGCTTCAGCTAAATAGATAATGTGTATGCTGGCAGAGGCCCTCAACTTTCAATCAAGAAGAGAGTCCTAGTGAGATAGTTTGACAGTTTCTCGACTGACCCAGAATTTAGGCAATAGGAACAAATCTTGCCCTTACAGCATCGGTTTAACTGGACATAAGCAAAATCTACACTACCTTCATCAGCAGCATGTAGGAGATGAGGTTGTGCAAAAGTGTGGCCAGCAAGCGATCTTCATCATCCTCCAGGCGCTTCCGGTCATGTTCTCCCAAGGACAGGTACCTAAGCAGGAAACCAGACACAAGTCAGTCCTCAGGAGGGAGACCTCAGAACTAACTGAAGAGGCTGAATTTGCATACTCGCATGGGTTTCCTAAGCCCAGTACCTGTCAATCATTTCCTGGGGACCCTGGTCCATACCCATTCCTTCTCTCTCCAACATCACAGCATCTAAGAACGCATCTTCCCAGAACTGCATTTGATCCCATAAAGTAGAACGCTCTTTGCCTATGTAAAATAATAAAATGGTTTTTTTTGGGGGGTGGGGTACTTATTTAACATTTGAAGAATATAGCTGACAAATGAAAATAAAGACAGCAAACTCCAGATAAAGTGGGAGTTTTACTCCAGTTGAGTCATTTCAAATTTCAGGGCAAAGGAAATGAACCTCTCTAACCCAGATCTAACATTCTTTTTTTTTTTTTTTTGAATTTTTTTTCTTTTATTCATATCAGATCTAATATCCTTATCACCAGCCCCAGAAGCCTCCAAGGCCCAGCCCAACCCAAGTAGGAGGGATGAACACAGCACACAAAGAAAGGTGGTTACTTATAGAAAAGGTCTCCATAGCAGCATCCTCTAACTGGTCCCACATCGATCCTTTGTCCCTTCCTGCCAATTTGTGAGCAGGAAGGACCATGGTAGCAAGAAAGGAAAGAAAGGAAGACAGAAAGACAGAGGCTATTGATTAATGCCAAAATTCAAACTCATCTAGTTTTCACCCCGATTGTTCCAGGTCCCATAAGTTGCTTGCTTCAGACATAAAATGTTATTTATCTGACATCAGCACTGAGATCAGAAAAAAGCCAAGGAGCACTATTTAGCACTACCTTCTCCCATGGCTGAGCCCAGTTTTTTTACAGTGCAACAGGCCTGCCCTGTTTCTTACCTAGGAGTCCTTCATAGAGATAGACTCGCTGGCTTACATCTTCAGAAGAGCGAACTGGGCTGCCTGCCAACTTCTCCTTTGGCTTCAAGCTGTGGGCTTTACCCTAGAGAAAGGAGGTAACAGGTCAACTGCCAGAGGTACCAATGAATAGGGGCCAAGTAAACCACGCACCCTACTAAGAGGCTCACATACTAGGCATCATCCATTAGCAACACAACTCTGGTAACTCTGTTTCTGCTACTATGCTTGCCTCTAGGATTTAACCAAAAGTCAACCTGATAATCCTGCCTTCTGTTACTACTTTTCATTATGGCTTATGTTTACTCCTTACTCTCTGCAGGACTATTTTCTCTTTAAAAAAAAAAAAAAGGGCTGGTGGAATGGCCCAAGTGGTAGAGTGCCTGCCTAGAAATTGTGTAAGTGTCTGAGTTCAAACCCCAGTATCACCAAAAAAAAAAAAAAAAAAAGAAGAGCTTTAGAAGAAAAGAAAAAACAAACAAACAACAACAACAACAACAAAATCAGGCTAAGCTAGGCAGATGGCTCTTGCCTGTAATTCTAGCTACTCAGGAGGCAGACATCAGGAGGACTGAGGTTCAAAGTCAGTCCCAGACAAATAGTTCATGAGTCCCTATTTTGAAAAACCCCATCACACACACAAAAAAGGCTGGCAGAGTGGCTTAAGTGGTAAAAGCACCTGCCTAGCAAGTGTGAGGCCCTGAGTTCACACCCCAGTGCTTGGGGAAAAAAAAAATCAGGTTAATTCTCTGTAGCAGCATGACATAGTACAAAGACATCTATAAAAGGAAAGCTAGAATGCCTATCTGACAGAACTAGTGCAAGGATTAAATTTATTGAATTTTTTTAAAGCTGGGGATGGAACCCAGGTTTTCACACATGCTAAACAAGTGCTCTACTACTGAGCTATTTAAATTTGAAAATAAAACAAAACAAAACCAAAGAAACCTTTCAACAGTGACTGGCACATGGTTGGTAATTGATTAAAAAATGTTAAGTCTCATTTTTCTACCATTTTTTTCTGTCCTTGAGAAGTACCACTAATTTTATTAGTCACTTCTACAATATCAGAATTCAAAAAAGACTTTCACCTAGGTAAGAAGTAGGTAATTATCATGCCCTTTCACAACACAGGGAAAAGAATTAAGCAGAGAAGCAACTGATCTAAGGTCACTGGGCAATATCTAATTAGTATGACTAAATGCCAGTCTCCTGATTCAGAGCCCAACACTTTACTCAATGGGTAACACTGGTTTGATAGAATTTATTTCTTGTAAAAACAGCCTTTTGGGAGCTGGGGATATAGCTCAGTGGTAAAGTGCTTGCCTAGCATGCATGAAGCTTCTGGGTTTGATTCCTAGCACCGAAAAAAAAACCAACACACACACACACACACACACACACACACAGAGCTTTTATTGAGCCAAGAAATTTAGGTAACTACTCTCAACAATTCAACCGCACATTGGAAGGATTTTATTTATTTATTTATTTACTTACTTATTTGTGTTTTTGCTTAGTTTAGTTTTTTTGAGACAGGGTCTTGCTATTGCAGCCCAGGCTGACCTCAAACTCAAGATCTTCCTGCCTTAACCTCTTGAGTGTTGGGTTTACAGACATTTGCCACATACCCAGCTACAAGGATATTAAATACTCCTATTAAAACACCCTGTGTATTCTCAAGTACTGCAAAACAAAAAACAAAAACAAAAAAATTGTAGCCTATGTCAAGGTCCCTCCCTGCTGACTCAATCCTATTCTAACCTTCACTCTGGAAGGTCACTAGCTCATATACAGAGGGTCCTGGGGGTGAAAATGATCACCAATGGTAAATAATTCATTTTATTTAAATTTCATATTCTAGTCTCCTCACAAACTAAAGACAAGGTCCTATGCTCTTATAGAGAATATCCATTATCCTGTTTGTTTAACAAAGTAGCAAGTGTATCAAAACACATAACTGCTGCTAAAGAAGTGTGTAAATAATACAAAGCAATGTGTCTAAGGCAAGGCCTTAAAAAAATTCATTTCAGTCAGGCATTGTGGCATACACCTGTAATCCAAGCACACAGGAGGTTGAGACAGGAGGATTCAGAGTTTGAGGGCAGCCTGGGCTACATAGTAAGCTCCAGGCCAACCTGGGCTACATAGCAAGCAAAATAAATAAAATTAATTTTAAAAAATCAATTTCATTACAACAGACCAAAGCCTTATTGGATGACCATTGGCTATTTTCTTGTTATTTTGTTGTTTTGTGTTTTACAATGGTAGGGACTTGCATATGCTAGGCTTTACCAATGAGCAATACCCCTCAACCCCATCTTTTCCTTCTCATTGTCTCTTAACTTTTCATTCTTTACTAACCCACTTCCCTGCCCCATTAAAAAAATGGCCTTCTTTTGTTAGTCAATAAATCTTACAAAGATGGTGCTTGTGGCAGAGTTGGTCTCAATTTCACTATCAGACAAAGTGCCCCGAGAACCTGCCAAATGGGCACTGCCTTCGCCACCTGGTCCATCACCTGCATTGCTGCTCAGGTCACTGTCTGCTCCAAGGGTCTCTCCAGAACTATTACTTACCTGGAAAGGAAAAAGGTAGTAAGTGATATTCCCCAGGGAAGGGCCCCAGAAATGCCACACTGTTAGAGCTCTCTACTAAAATAAAAATGTATTGAATTTTACAGGCATTTCAGTCAGCTTCTCCAAGTACTGTCTTTATAAAATGAGGAGAAGCCCTGGGTGAATTCCCACATACACACCTACACCCACGATGGGTACATGACACTACCATGAGAACCATGCTGACCAGAGACTAAGAACAGACTCCAAAGACAAAGAAATCACCTTTTCCAAGGGGAAATCCATACCCCACCCACCAAGATGCCAGTGTGGTGTTCCCCTACCACGGTGCTAACTTCAGAATCCTGACTTGAACTGCGAATCATAACAGCTGGACTCACTCCAATGACAGAGTCACGATCAGTCCTCTGAAATAAGACATAGGGACACCAATATCATACCCAGAGGATCACATATTAAATAAATGCATTCTTACTATAGAAAACACATGAAAGAATAAAGAAGTAAAGCCAGGTGTCGGGGGTTCATGTCTATAATTCTAGATATGTGGGAGGCTGAAATAGGGAAGATCTTGGTTTGAGGCCAGCCTAGATAAATAATTTGAAAGATCCCATCTCCAAAATAAACAGAGAAAAATGGACTGGGAGGTCTGGCTCAAGCAGTAGAGTACCTGCCATGCAAGAGCAAAACCCTGAGTTCAAATCCCAGCCCCCCACACACACACAAAAAAAAAGAAAATAAGAATAAGCCATAAATCTACCACTCATGTTAACTACTGTTTTTAATATATTTTCTTTCAGTTTTTTCTAAATTTTAAAAATAAAATTTGAATCATATCTTTACAAACATTTCCCATGTCACTAAATTTTTGAAAATGATCTTTGATAGGTACTAATATTATTACATAGATCTATTATACTTTAGTTTCTCCCCTATTTTTGGGTATTTATGTTGTTTTGAAGTTGTAGGTTTTTTCCTTTTAACTTAAAGAGGTATTCTGAAGGGCTGGAGGTGTGGCTCAAGTGCTAGAGTGTCTGCTTGTCAAGTATGAAGTGAATTGAAACCCCAGTACCACCGAAAAAGAAAAAAAAAAAGGAATGAGGCCCTAGGTTTTCCCCATCACCACCACCAAAAAAAAAAAAAAAAAAAAAAAAAAAAAAGCATTCTGAGATAGCAAATTTAATCCTGGCAATTTACAACAAGGTTGTCACAAATTGTCACAAACCTGGGAAGCAGATGTCAGGCTCACACCACTGTCTGCGCTGATCTGTGACTTTTTCTCCTCTGTCTCACCAAGATCAAAGGCAGGTTTGACTACTTCTGGCCCTGAGTAGGGGAAGGCCTATGTTACTCAGCTCACAAAGGCTTGAGGCAGGCTGGTGAAGAGAGTGGGACAGCAGTACAGCCTGACCCCAGACTTGTTCAGCATATCCCAGTCACCTTCCCAGGGACTGCCTCTTCCCCAACCCACTGGAAGAAGATCCCCAGATGTCTTAAGAACCAAGTAGGACAAATTAGACCTGGTCTCAAAGGACTCTGCAGCATCTTCTCAACCTTAGAACATTCTGAATAAATCATCCTAAAACAGAAAAGTTCCACAAACAAACATCTAAACCACATTCCATGGCACCCAGAGTCAGAGCTTCACTGGTGCCTGAGACCATACAAGGGTCTCCAGGTCACTCAGTGCTTCTCAGACAAAGGTGTCCAAAGGGGCCAGAAAAGGTTAGGCCGAAAGAGAGAAAGAAATTCCTTGTTGTAGTGGGCACTACCTACTCCCACCCTACACCATGTACACTTGAGATAAAAAACACCTCCATTTTATCCCATCCACCCACAATGGTATGGCAGAAGGACAGAATGACAGAAAGCAAGAAAGCGTGCCTAGGCAAGTCACCAGAGAGAGTTAGGCAGCTACAGACTCAACATGGAAGGGACAGCAACCATCTCTGCCAACTGTGCCCACAGGCCTCCTAATGGTGAGGAAGGTATGAGCCAATGAGGGACACTGCAATCAACAAAGGTTCTTCCCACCGGCTCTGCGGCAATAGAAAACCATGGTCTAAGGAATTTTACTCAGTAGACAACCTGGTTGCTATGAGGGGAAGAGCAAGAAACAGCCTACAAACCATACACCTAGGAGTCACACATCACCTACCTGCTTTCAGTCCAAATACCCCCCAAGAGCAAATTTGGGGTGGGGCTGTCAAAGGGAGCCTGCCCCAACTGGGCCTGGGGAGTTGGCAGGTATGGGAGACTTGGGGACAGGAGGGGGCATTTGTTCCTTACTCTGTTTTTCCAAAGCTTTTTGCTTTTTCACTTCCTGGTGCTTGTTCCACAATTCTACCCCAGATGCAATGCAAGCAGGAGAGAAAGACAGAAAGAGTCAGAGGCTGGTCAGACAGACGAAATGGAAACCCACCCACCCAAGCTGGTTCAGTTTCAGGCATAGCATTACCAATCAAAAGATATAAAGATATCTTCATCTGGGGAGGGGAGGGGAATCAAGAGATCCAATGCCTTTCCCCAAATTCACGAACTAAAAACTCCAAATTTCTAAACCTAATTGTAATGTAACAGTAAAAACCCGGCAGAATGTTTAAGCCGGAAGGGCACTGCATGAAGCTCCTTCATTTGCATGAGGAAACTGATTCTATAGAGGCTGGGGCACATGCCCAAGGGTACGTAACTTAAGACTAGTTTGACTTCTACTACACCATGCTCTCTCTGCCAAATGAACTGAGAAACAGCTGTTTTTACAAATGCCAGATAAGAGAGATGATCATCTCAAGTAGCAAAAGAGTTTCAGAAGCATGAGCACCAATCTGTTCGACTCACTGGATTGGACACAGGTCAACTCCTATAGTCAGTTAGTGTCCCTCCTAGCTATATCAAACAACCAACTTACCCTCAGAACCATTGCCTGTTCTAACAGGATACCCATGCTAAGTTAGTTGTTTGAGAAAAATGCTTCCAGTAGAAATAATAAAGAATAAAATAGGTTAAGCAAGCATCTCAGTAGGGCAAAGGAGAGAAACTACCAATCACAGCAATTCTTTTCTGGAAAGGACTTCAGAGTTTACTTAGTATGATCTTCTTTCCCAGATGAGGAGACAGACTCTGAGAGGGAAGTGATCTGCCCAAATCACATTCTTAGTTGGGGGAAGATACAGGACTAAAACTCCAGACCTCCAGACTATCAGGTCAGTACTTTTTCTAGAACATCACTAGGTAGGAGAAAGGGTTTATTGCCTCTAGAAGAATATTTGCTGACTTGAGAAGTGCAGCTACCCTAAAAAGGGAACTGGTTTCTCATTACTATTTATGAGAATTTAAGGCAACTGCTAGTGGTTGTGGCAAAGAGGCATCATTTGGAAGCATAGTGACCAAGGACCTAGAACCAGAAAAAGAAAGATATAGCCTAGATGACTCAAGGGTCAAGTAGGAGTGAGACAAATAGAGGTAACATAAGAAAGTGAATGGAGAAACAACAAAAATAAGCAAGCTTCTAATCAAGTCCAGGGAGGAAGGGTGGAAAGAAGAGCTGACTCAGAAATCTATGCCTGCAAGGTGCAGAACCCAGACATACCACAGAGGAACAAGTTCCAGAGCAGTGTAATGCTCAGATGGGTGGGTCGGTGGGGAAACGACTGGCTTCAGACACCCAGATGATCATAATTTTATAACTCAAAAACATATCTATAAATTTCCTTGTATCTTCTAGGAACTCACAAGGCCTCTCTACCACATGAAGAAATCCAGACATAAATAAGAAAGACCAGGAATACAGCTCAGAATCCCAGAACTAAGCCTCACAGGTCTCTAAACAAAACTTCTGGGAGTAGGGATAAAGGAGAATGATGGAGGGGTTGAATTCACCTACCATACATTGTAAGAACCTTTGTAAATGTCACAGTCTACCCTCAGTACAACAACAACAATAATGAACTTCCATCCTTTTAAGATGCCAGTGGAAAGAGTGGCTATATATGAAGCAGAAGGGATAGAGAAGTATAGAGGAACACCATTGGAAATGGACACAGACCTATCTCCCTCTCTAGAAAGCAAAGCATGGGGAAGGATTCTGATGAATTGAGAGGTGGGAGGGATATTTAAGAAGCCAGGACCCCTCCAGCACATCAAACACAGTGATACCTACCAATAGATGCTACAAAATTCTCTTCCTTTAAACTTCTGGAGTCCAGTTCCTTAGGACCCTTTCCTGTAGCATTTGGTGCCCGAGGACCTAGCTGGGGGACTTTCAGCTGTGCCATAGCCTTTGGGTCCCCCCGCCCAGCTGGACCAAGATCCTTGCCAACTGGGGTATTTATACTTTCTGTTGGACTTCTCTTCCGCTTGTCTGGTTCTGAGGAAAGATCAAATACAGAAAGTTGTCAAAAGAGGTAGTTAGGAATCAAAATAGGTAAATAAGGTGGGAAAAGCCAAGCTACAGGAGGAGGTGGAATAGTATTAGTGTAAGGAAAGAAAAGGTTTATTTTTTAATTTTTTTTTTTTTTTTTTTTGGTGGCACTGGGGCCTCACTCTTGCTAGGCAGGGTGCTCTTACTGCTTGAGCCACTCCGCCAGCTCAAAAGCCTTATTTTTTTAAGACAGGAAGATATCCCCTACATTTAATCATGTGCCAGAAAACAAAATGCCAAAGCTCGAAAGGAAGCAGTGGGGCACTGGGAAACCTTCCATGGGAGCAAGTACACTGACTTTTTCACAGTTAAGTGGGAGAGCTGTGGATGGCATGCTGCCCATCAGGTATGATCCCTACCTTTACTATAGTAGTGGGTCTGGGCAATCTCCAGGAGCCCGAAGATGCTGGCCATGCCACCCAGACCTGCATGGGCATAGGACTGCTCCAGACTGAGGACTGTGCACTTGAGGAGGTCTAACATTCCCTTGTACACCTTTCGACTGATCTCCTGCAACAATAACCAGGGCCTGGAGTTGGCACATTCCCTTTGGCATCCACAGCCCTCTACCCAGTTGATTCTGACTCTGCAGTCCAAACACTGACCACATCTGGGATGACTTCCTGCCGGGCATCATCCTCTGACTGTACTGTGCGGTTCAGCTTGCTCAGGACAAAGACTCGCAGCTGCTCGCTCTCCAGTAGCCGGCGCACCTTTTTCATGTTGAGCCAGCCCACTCCCTGGCCATCCAGCACGCTGTGCACCACTTCCTTCAGGAACTGCTGATTCTCACTATGGGGTCCACATACCACTTCTGTGCTCATCTGCTCCTTGGCAGAACATCCCCCCTTTCACCAGACCAGATGCTTGCCTCCAGGGGCAAAATGCAAAACCAAGTCTCCAAACATCCTCAACAGCATCCCCCATCTCTCTAGATACCTGGTTTGCCAAGTCCCTACTGCTGTAGTTCTACCCTCAACACTGCAAACCATTACTATTACATGGTAAGTGAGTCAGGATGGGAATTGCTGGGGCCAGGGGAGGTGGCTCATGCTTGTAATCCCAAGATGGAGAAAACAGGATCACAGTTCAAGGTCAATCTGGGCAAAAAAGTTAGCAAGACCCTATCTCGAAGGACAAGCTGGAGATGGTGGTACATGCCTGTAATCTCACCTATGGAGAGGCCGTAGGTAGGAAGATCATAGTCCAAAGCTGGCCTGGGCAAATACCACAAGACCTAAAGCTGTAATAACTAAAGCTTGAGATCCTGAATCAAAACCCAGCATCAAGAAAAAAAGGAAGTACTGGCAGGAAATTGACTTCGTTATTTACCCTGAGAACTGCGCTCATAATGTTTTAAGTCACTGGGTTTGAACTCAGGGCCTCATGCTTGAACTCAGGTGCTCCTACCGCTTGAGCCACTCTGCCAGCCTCTCACAGTCTTAAGCATCCCTCAGGTTTCACATAGGAATCACTAACTCTATCTGAGAACTTTTAAAACTGTTCTGTCCTTTATTACCTAGAATTGCTGGATCGGCCCTGGGGTGATGGAGGTTCCCTTTTTACTGTTGGGCTGTGTTTAATGACAGATGACTTCTGGTCCACTAAGGCCCTCCTGTTTCCTATGGAAGAAAAGGTAGAAATGAGAGACACCATTGTCCCAGTGTCAGGAGCTCACATTAGCACACAGATCGCCATGTTCCATGCCCATTCCCCAGCAGGACTGGGTGGGGAGTGGCACCAGGGCATCACACACAGGTAGAAAGCAGCTGTGATAATGTGAAGGAGGTGGGAATAGAGACTCAGGCCACTCCACATGCACTGGCAGCACACCCCATGGGCAGCATGGGTGTCACAGGGGATGGGCAAGGCAGGTCACTCATGTGACACCACTTGCTCCATGAGGAGGATGGCCCTCAGGCAGGCACGGAAGATGCTAGGAAAAAAAAAATAAATCATGCACAGCTCACGGGCAAAACCCACCTTCACCACTCCCAGGGCCGGCTTCAGTAACAATCTCCATTAGAGTATTTAGCCCAAATACTGGGACACAAAATACACAATTAGTAGGTGCACCGTAATACTGCAACCCCTGTACCCCTTGATGGAGCAACAAGTCAGATCACCTGAGCATTCTCCCAAAGCTTGAGAAGTGCACATAACCTTGGTTCTTGGGCACAGCAGAGCTGGAAGCCAAGTGACCAGGAGACAACCAAGGGTCTAAGAAAGACCATCCTTAAGCCTGGGGCCTCTCAAAGCCAGGGGTAAGGTAAATGACACAGGGAGCCTTCAGGTACTAAACAGGCACATGCATAAAACAGGGATCACTAGTTTTTTTATAAAACACCTAGCACAGGGTTTTAGAGGGCCTGTAGGTATCCACAGGGAAGAGACATCTTGCGGATGCTGTCATGGGAAGTAGAGTGGGGTTGGGAGGATAGGATGTGGGTAGGGGGGTAAGTGCAGCGAATGAGATGAAGCATCAGCATGCAATGAAAGAGTTTCAATTGCTCTTCCCTTCAAATGTATCAATGAGGCCAGGACACTAACACTTTTTCATCCCTAACCTGCTCAGCCATGTGTGGATTCACTGTAGCAGTGTTAGTTAAGTTTCCTATACTACCACTCTGATGTTCTTTTGCCCACCTATCCCATGTTCCCATCTGACAAAAGAACACTCCTTAAACTTCTGACATTTCTAACCACTGGGAGTGATAAGTCAATTAAAAAAATACATGGAGCTAGCCAGGCATTGGTGGCTCATGCCTGTAATCCTACTCAGGAGACAGAGATCAGGAGTATCACAGTTTGAAGCCAACCCGAGGCAAATGGTCATCAAAAAAAGGACTTGTGGAGTGGCTCAAGTAGTGAAAGCTCTTGCTTATCAAGTGTGAGTTCAAACCCCAGTACTGCCAAAAATAACCCCATGGGGTACATGAGTGTAACCTCAGCACTCAGAGGGAGGAGACAGGAGGATCAAGAGTTCAAGGCCAGTATGGGCTACATAGTGAGAACTCATCTCCAAAAACCAAACAAAAAAATAAACCATGGAGTTGCTTCTCACTATACTTCCTACAATTATTAAATATTTCAGCACAATATTCAGAGGAAATAAAGTCAAGTGAAATTCAGAAAAGCCCCTCAAACTAGAGAGATCAAAAGTGAAACTAAAATAAGGTCTTAACTGGCTCCAGAAGCCAACAAGTACTACCTGGCTACTCACAGGCCCCAAAATGACATGAAGACACAGTAAGAGGTTAGACTCCACAAACACTACTGGGCTCCCCACAACCTTCCTCATCCAAAGTCCTTAGGATGGACTTTGTCCTAAGTTCATGCAATGGGAACCTGCAGATGACTAGGGGCAGCCAATGATCCCATCAGTACATACCTCTGACAATGTCCCGGCCACCAGAAGCAGCAGTAACATCACAACAGACAATATCCTAATTATAAAACAGGACTTTCTCAAACTACAAAGACCTCTTCCATCTGATAACCATCAAGAGCCTATGATGTGCAGTGGAAGCCATGAGAAGCACTATGAGGGACAACAGCCAGGTCAAACGATTCATGGTTCACAGGGCTCCTGATAAGCACCCATAGGCCTGCCATGTCTCCCAGAGAAACTTGGTTTGGCAAAAGAAAGCTGGAGTTACCTTTCAGACTGGGAAATGGAGTGGTCTTCTCCCGGGCACCTTTGGTTGGCAGTGTGAGGTTTGAAAGACTAAAGCTCGTGCTGTGGTTCCGATAGAGGCTGCCTATTAAGGGAAGAGTGTGAGAGCAGTGAATTAGCGGGACAAAGCATTCTGCTTTGGTGACTGTAGCATCATTTTCATTTCCCTTTTTTCACACAGCATCATAGTATGCTAGATCAGACAATCTCTGATCTACCTTAAGAGATGATGAAGTCTAACTAAGGACAAACAAATGAGCCATTGCTGGGACTGCTCAAAACCCAGAAACAACTTTCTCTGGGTACCTCCCATGCTAGTATCCAATGCCCTCATCTACTGATAACACAGCATGAAAACTAGTGGTAATATACTATTACCACCAAATGAGTGCCATCCCTCCCTAGCTTCTGAAATCACTCTTTTCCCCTAGGGGCACTCTCTCTAGCCCCTAGTCTATCTCCATCTTTAAGTGGTGCCATCCCTCACTGCTGGAAATCAACCTCATATAAATTTTAAAGCATGTTCATGAAAGTTCCTCACCAGGCAAAGAAGATATCAGATATATATTCAAATCAAATTTGATCAGAATATTTCCATAAATCATATGTGTTAAGTGTATGACTTTTTAATTTAATACTTAATTTTCAGTTGACTTCTCAGCTATCTTGCCAGAAATAGACTGAACCTCCAGGTGACAATAATGACTAATCTGACTGTCCTTTATTGACCTCGTCTATTCCACTTCCATATCTCAAGTTCCAAGCAACATCAGGCTCTACAGTAAAGGAAACAGAACACAGGAATGAGAGAGCTTAAGACACTTACTGGCAAAAGACATGATGCCCCCGAAGCCCTCGGTGCTGTTGTTGGAGACGGTGGAGTTGGGAGAGCTTGCTCGGGAGTCTGACTCTGCATCTGAGTCACTTGCCAGTTTCAAGCTGTTGGGCCGCAGCAGCTTTTGAGCCCTTGAATGCACAGTGGCACCTATAAGCCCCTGGCAGGGGTATCTATCTTGGGAGAGGGCCTATGCTACACTGAAGTTGCTGCTCCCTTCCCACAACTCTTAATTCCCTGGATCAAAGCACTACCCTCTGTGAATGGCAGGACCGCGAGAGTATTCAGAACTTCTCAGACTTTATTCACCCTCGCCCGGGGTCCACTGTAGTGAGGTCCTTCAGTCACCCATCTAGAAGGGATCCCCAGGCTCTCACCGATTGCCATTGACATGTTGGCTGAATCGGGGAGTGTAGCTTTCCCCCTGCTCATCATCATCTTCCTCAGGGGGAAAGCCATATTGGGGCTCGAAGTATGGATTGTCATAGGTTCGCCGGCGCACTGACCCCTCTCCGATCTCTGTCTGATGCCTGTCCATGTTCGATTTGCCACTGCTGGGAAGCACAGGAGGGAGAGGCTTGGAGTCGCCTACTGCTGCCTTATCATCCATCTCCATTGAGTCAGAAGGTTCCTAAGGGTCACATTAAATAAAAAGTGGTCACCTGGTGTCCAGTGACACCTTCCCAGTCTCACTTTGGCACATCTGGGCCAGACTTGTCAGATTCCCCAGCCTGTGAAATGTATGGGAAAAGATCTCTGTGGCACCCTGGGTCTCTGTCCTCACAAACTGCATAGGTAGATCAAAGCACCTTAAAAAGACAGACCAACGACCTCCTTCTGGAGTCAAAACTACATCCCAGAGGCTCTAAGTCACAGGGCCTATGGAGAGGAGGAAGAGTTTGAGGAAGGAGGCAAATTAATAGCTATAGTATAGCTTTCCTAACAGCCTCATCGCACCCATCCACCTTTCCACATGCTCACGTACAGAAGCAGCTCCATGGATGACAGTGCTAGGGCTGCTGCTGGCAGTGGTGCTGGAGATAGAGCGCAGTGGAGGGTTTTCCTGAGGGTTCTCACTGTCCAGGCCAGGCTCCTCTGTTTCCTTCTGGTTCTGCAGCTCATCAATCTTCACCTCACTGGCATCCCCCAGTGCCGCGTGCGTCAGAGGGTCCACATCTACCAATACCCAAAAGAGATAGGTATAGACCTCCTTATCTCTAAACTCCAACCCCTGCCCAGAGCTGGCCAATCTTCCCAAGCACACTTACTGGGAGTGTCACCATTGATGTCACATTTCATCATTTCACTGACAAAGTCACCAAGGGAGGAATAAGAAGAGCTTGAGTCATCATAATCCATACTATCACTGCCACTGCAGAGTGAAGGGAAGAGAGAGAGAGAGAAAGAGAAAGAATGAACCAGAAAGGGGCAGACAAAAGAATCTTCAATCAGTACTTGGGAGAACACACCTAAACTCAAGGTCAGGGAACAAGATAAAATAAGAAAGTCAAGAAAACCAAACAAAATATAATGTAAGGCTTTAAAGACTGACACCTGACTGTTATGAGATTTTGTCTTCTATGTGCTAAAGAAGGGGTAATGTGAGGGGCTGCTCACCTGTCATCAGTGGGGTCAGAGTCAGAGTCACGCTCTGGTGGTATACTCAAAGCCTCCGCCAGCTGAGAATTGCTATCATAGACTCGATAGTGGATGGGCTGCAGCTGGTGAGCGTACCACTTTGGCTTGTCACCAATCAGGGCTGGATCAAACATATCTACCCAGAGAGAAAAAAGAATAGTTACTAGCAAGGAAAAAAGGTAAGCTATAGCCAGGCACTGGTGGCTCATACCTGTAATTAATTCTAGCTACTTGGGAGGCAGATATCAGGAGGATCATGGTTTGAAGCCAGTCTGGGCAAATAGTTCATGAGACCCTATCTCAAAAATACTCAACACAAAGAAAGAGCTGGCAGAGTGGTTCAAGTGGTAGAGCACCCATTTGGCAAGTGTGAGGCCCTGAGTCAAACACCAGTATCACAAAAAAAAAAAAGATGAGCAAGGGAACAAGCAAAGGTCCATGATGACAAAGACAAAAGGTGGAGTGAGCAGAGTTGGACTCACTGTTATGAATTCGCTGAAAGGCATAGTTGGTGGGGTTAAGAATCCATTCTCCAAAGTACTCCACAGCCTGAGTCCTGGCCAGTTTTTCAGCAAAAGGAGTTTGCCGGGGACGCGAGGCTAGAAAGGAGCCAGCCTGGAAAGCTACCACAGGCCGAGGGAAGAGTCTCAAGGTACGCGTGTGCATTTGAAAGCCCTGTAGCACATTAGCGGAGTTGAAGAAACGTACCATGGCCACTCTGGAGAAGAAGAGAATGATGAGATAACCTGAGACCCACACCCTGCAGAATAAGGATTCCCATGATCCAAGGTCTTAGACCACCTCCCAACACCATCATTTAACAGACTTCTAACATCAAGGGGAGAGATATCTTAAAGAACCATCAGTCCTTCTCTTCAGGCTGAGAGTGTGATTAACTATTTCTTCTCTTTGCTTTTGCTACAGTGGAAACCATAACCAAGTATCATACATTTTATATATATAGAAACTCTGAGCCATTGGCTCACTCCTGTAATCCTAGCTACTCAGGAGGCAGAGATCAGGAGGATTGTGATTTGAAACCAGCCCAGGCAAATAGTTTGTGAAACCCTATCTTGAAAATACTCAACATACTGGGCTAGCAGAATGGCTCAAGTGGCAGTGTGCCTGCCTAGCAAATATGAGGCTCTGAGTGCACACTCCAGTACTGCAAAAAAAAAAAAAAAAGAGAGAGAAGAAATTATGGCTCTGGGAAGTAGTCTGCCCCAAAGTCAAGAGAGCAATGAAACCTGGATGCTGGTGGCTCATGCCTGTAATCCTAGCAACCCAGGAGGCAGAGATTAGGAGGACAGTTCAAAGCCAGCCCAAGCAAATAGTTCGTGAGACCCTATCTCGAAAATACTCATCACCAAAAAAAAAAAAGGCTGGTGGAGTAGCTCAAGGTGTAGGCCCTGAGTTCAAGCCCCAGTACCACAAAAAAATAAAAAAATAAAAAAAAAGAGAGCAATGAAACAATTTAGAAACTCATGACTTTGTACAATTGATTTGGTCTTACCTAGTTGCAACATCCACTGAATCCACATCATTGCCATAGATGAGTGGATTGAATTCAGTAGAAGGGGTGGACTGCAGGTCATTAGAAGGCCTTCCCAAGAGAAGTGGGATCTCTTGGCCCTCATGAAATTTCTCCAGATTGAGAATGGGCTGAGTGTTGAGACTCATGCTAGCTAAGGCCTGTGAAATGAACAAGAAATTCCTCATATAAGGCACATTCCTATGCGGCAAGCCAATCTTGACTCCTAATAAAGAGCCTTGTTATAGTCTTTCACATCACACTCTCTAACCAAAAAATTCTCAACAAGCCAGTAATCCTAGTTACTTGGGAGGCTGAGATCGGGAGGCTCACAGTTTGTGGCCAGTCTGGGTAAATACTTTGCAAGACCCCATCTCCAAAATATCCAGAGCAAAATGGACTGGAGGTGTGGCTCAAGCAGTACAGTGCCTGTTTTGCAACTGTGAAGCCCTGAGTTCAAACCCCAGTCCCACCAAAAACAAACAAACAAAAAAAAGCTCTCTCTGCAGAGAGAGAGTTCTCAACAAAATACTGTGATCATTTGCAAATCATGGCCAACCCATTTCATCTTTGAAAAAGAATCCAGTATTTTAGCCTTTAGAAAATAAATCAGAATTATGTAGCTCTCCATCCCAAGTCAACCTAGCTCAAGACAACTTGACCAAACCTGAAGCCTAGGACAATAGTTTTGAATTTATTTCAGTTTTTCAAACTGAACTGAAAAAAACAGAGCTCCTCTGAAGACATGAGGAACAAGAGCCTCAAGTGCTCAGTGTTCACAACCTAAATCAGCCCTTCAGACTCCATGGGGCAGTTTGAAAAACACTGGTTTAGATCAGCAGTGTCTTTTAAGTGTTGGAATCACCTGGGATGATGTTAGGGCTGCTGTTAGAGCAGATTCTAACTCAGTATATCTGGGATGATTCTGCACTTTTAACAAGGCCAGGTAATAATGCTGCTGGTACATGAACCACACTTTGAGAAACAGGGCGCAGAATATGAAATCAATGGAGCATAAGGATCTTAGTTCCTACAAACATTTAAACTAATAAACAGACATCATTCTACATATTAACCTCTCCATCTCATTAGTCATTCTTACGCAATCATTAAGAACAAAAATGCAAGGGAAGACAGAGAACTTTCTGAACTTGCAATTCTTACCAGACTCTGCAGCAACAAGAAATCATGTTACATCAGTAATGGTGAAGCAAGTGAGAGTGAGAGGGATGATACAAAATGACCCATTTTAATCCAAACAAGATACCACCAGAGGGACTTCAGGCAACACAGAAAAAAAAAAAAAGAAAAAATTGTTTTAAAGACCCTTTAAATGACAGCGGGATTCCTAAAAATAAGCACAGTACTATCTACTGGTGGTCCTACTTCACACATGCAGCAGGGAAGGAAATGGAGCCTTGTCATGTTTTACCTTAAGGTACTGTGTTTGGCATGCAGAAGAAGAAAATCAAAAGAAGAAAATCAATCAATGAGAAATGGATGTGAGGTATTATTCAAAGAAAGGAATTTTTGAGGAAAGGCTTCCAAAGGGTCTTTTGGGATCAATTCAAGAAGATAATATAAAAGCAGCCAGACTGTCCAAACTATTAACTCCTACCTTACAAGACTGAGAATACTCTAAGGTCATGCCTGTAATCTCAGCTACTTAGGGGGCAAACAGGATAGATCATGGTTCAAGGCCAGCACGGGAAAAAAAGTTAGCAAGACCTCATCTCAACAAATAATCTGGGTGTGTTAGTGATGTCTATAATCCCAGCTACAAGGGAGGCATAAGTAGGAAGATCATGGTCCAAGGCTGGCCCTAGGCAAAAACAGGAGGCCTACCCAAAAAATAACTAAAACAAAAAAGGACTAGGGGTGTAGCTCAAGTGGCAGAGCACCTGCCTAGCAAGTGTGAGGCCCTGAGTTCAAACCTCAGTACCACAAAAAAGTGAAATATTATTTTATACAGCATCTATTACTCCTATTTTCCCTTCATTCATCACCTACCTGCTTTAAATGTTTTTTCAGTTCTAATGATTCTGGTTCTGGCAGGATGGGTAGCATTTCTGCATTAGTTGGGGCAATCACCTACACCAGAGAAAAGACAAGAGGCATGATCTTACAATGAACTTATGTAGGGTAAACAATAAGCACAGAACATTTTATACATATACACATATATACATACACACACACAAATAAATGTACACACATCATCTATATATGTTACACTGTATACCTGTATGTATAACATGTACATACACAGATAGGATATACATACACATCTGAAGGGAAGTATGCCTAAATGTTATTGGTGACTACCTCTAGATAATAGGATTGTGGTTTTTCTTTACACTTTGTTTTTATTTTCTAAAGTTTTACTATGAACACATATTAGGGGTTTCTACTAAAGTTTTAATGTAGTCAGATTGCAAAATGACAGTTTCTTACTGGAAACTATACTGCAGGAAAACCATTAGGAGATTATCCACACCATATATAAGGATCCCACAAAAGTAACTGCCCTGCTTCTCTTTGAGGATACAGGAGATGCTCTTAATTCTGGAAAAATTAAATCCTGTAATTCTTTGAGTGCTAACTGAGAGTCAAACTGGCATTAGAAAAAAACTATTTCAATAAGCCCTACAATAGAAATCATCTGAAAAAAGAGGCATCACAGGATTGGATCTAGAACACAATCTTAATCTTGTTCTGACAATGCTTCAGCCCAGAACCTCACCCTATTGCTGTCCAGATCCACTAGCCACACATCATCAGGCATTTTGAAGTCTAGTTTGTAGAGGAAGAAGCTGGCAGGGACCCCAATGATGTACGGAGTTGGAGCCAACAGCAGCTGTGGAAAAGATAAAGAAGATAAGAAACCTATCATGAGTACTTATCAAGTCAGGATTTTCTAGATAAGGAAATGCAGACCTACAATCCCTTCCCAAAACACTTGAGCTAGGTGCATTTCAAAATTCAGAGTTTTTCAGATTTTAGAAAGACAGCAATATGCACTTTATGTATAACATGGAATATCTGTAGCAGTGTAACAAGTAGTCTATAATCATTAACTGTGATAAACAAAAATTATACGTAGTTTTGTCACCATCTCAGTTCAAACTGATCATACAACAAATAAATTATAAGGGATTGAGGATGAGTACTGACTTACAGCTTCTCTGGGCTTTGAGCCTCCTCCCTCAAGAAGATAAGAAGTGACAAAATCAGAAGACATCTTGAGACTCACCTGCTCTGCTGATGCCATGCAGGTGGGAAGCAGTGGAATGACAGGAAACATGTACTCCAGGGGGTAAATCATCGCCACAAATGCCATCACAGACATAGAAAGTGCGTTATAGTCTCGGGACTGTAGCACCACCTGCCATAGCCACCACAAGGGTCAGTCAACAGCATAAGGTTTATGAGGAAATGGCTTCTAACATTACAATTTAAATTCTGTCTCATCATGCCTACAACTGCAGCTTACTTTCCAATCACTACTTCTCCATGCCCTATCATGCCTGCTACCTCCCAACCCAAGCCCTGCAGTAATCCCCCTTGAATCATTACCCTCTTAGCTCCCAGGACCATACATTGAAACAGAACTACTGATATTTCCAGGGAATTAGATCAGTATAATTAAGGATAATTCATCTAAGCAGCAAGTTCTCTAAATACATCCCACATGATACCAGTGCTTTAATTCACCAAATACCTGCTTTGTATCTGGCATTAAGTTACCTCCTAGAAATAAAAAGATGAACAAGGCATAGGCCCTGTCCTCAAAAAGCTCATGCTCTAGCTTCTGCTGCATTGCAAAGCTCCTTCCCTAGAAAGGTCTGTAAAGATGACCTTCTCACCTTGTGCTCTAGCAGGATGCAGGTTAGCACCTGAAGACAAGCATCCACACCCAGAAGTTCCAAGGGAAGGTGAAGTGGGAAATCTACTAGGGTGAATCGAGAGGGGTCTGGAAGAGCAAAGGTCAGAGCCGGCTGGAGGTCCTGGGGCAGGACCTCAATGTCTACTCTCTTCTGCCCAGAGACGGGGACTGGGGAGCGCAGCAATCGATAGATCCAGGCCTCAATCTCTCGAAGGTCATGCAGAAGGGCACTTGACTTCTCCTCCACTAGCAGTGATCCTGTGAAAATCCTCCACATGGTGTCCCTGAGGAGAGACAAGAATCAATAACATAAACATCGGGAGCTGTTACCCACTGCAACCCATTATTACCATGGAGGATATAGTGATGAAAGTTGGAAAAGGGGTATCATTAAGAAAGCCCCCTCTTTGAGCTCAGATGGGATCAGAGGGTATATACCAAGAGCAAGAACAAGTGTAAAAATGTGTACGTGGTAGGACTCAGTGTTGTGCCACCATGAAAGATCAAACTCCTCAGCATTACTCTAAACGTTGGCAGAACGTACAGCTTTCTCTGCAGCAATCTTTTGCTCAATAAGGACTAACATGTTTAAACAGGTCTTAAAGGACTGCGGGCTATGGAGGAAATTTCCTATGTCCTTCCCAGACTAATGATAACTAATCTCTAAGTGCTTCCCCTCTCTTCAGAGCTCAAGAGGCAAACCTTACCTCTGTACACCTCGAGGGATGCCCAGTTTCTTGCCTAGCAGCCGTTCACTACAGCAGTCTACCAGCCGTTTGAGGGTATACAGACACTCTCGGAAGGTGGAGAAGAAAGAGTAGTGGCTGAGCACACACAGGGATGTCAGAGTACTGTTGCGGGACCGACTGCCCCCTTTGGCCCGGCGTTTGCCCCGAGGAGAATGGTTCACATCGGGGGTGGAGTCAGCAGTAGGAGGCTGCAGGGATGAGCCACTCTCTGAACTTTCAGTGCCAACCTCTTCTGAGGCACGGGTGGCACGGGTCCCTTCCTTCCCACGGGACCCTGCCCCACCATCCCCCTTTTCCTTAGGCATTCGCTTCTGGAAGGAGCGGTAAAAGTTAACACAGATGCCATAACGTGTGACTCCAGTGTCCTTGTCAGTGAGGGTGAAGACAAAAGAGGTATCATCCCGAAGGGTCATGCGACGCTGCCGCACACTCAGACAGCCCTCAGGCTGGCAGAAGAACACGACGTCTGGGGGCAGCGGAAACTCAGCATGATCTTCTAATGGGTATCGCCGTAGCAGTTCAGGAGTCTGAGCTACACTGTCACTGCTCGGGTGCCTGACGAACACAGAGACAAACTCAGCAGCCTGAATGGACAGAACATACTATCAAGTTTTAACCAGAGTCAACAAATAAAGCTCAAAATGCTCTTTTGCATAAAATAAGCTAACCATAGAACCTTGGAAAGTGTAAGTACTCCTTGCCACATTAAGCTGGCAGGCTAAATGAAGTCTGCACTGTCATGAAGACAGCTAACCTAAAAAGAAAGTTGCAATAATAAAATGATCGCTGACACCTTACGATGATTAGCACCTTTCAAAGTATATTAGCTACCATAATAGCCTTTGTAGGTACAGAAAAAACACAATGTACTTTTCCTTTTTACAAAAAAAGAAAACTCAGGTATAAAGTTTTCTTTATAACTGACAAATTTGCTTAAAATCACAAAGATGGGAGTTAAAAACAGAATTTTGGTCTCTGTCCAGACCAGCACTCTCAACCCACCCCACTACTGTCATCAATGCTCCCATCAGGGTAAAATAGGAGGGAAGAATGAGATATGCAAAGCAACATGAAAATAGGGAAGGGGAATAACTACGGACTTTGTGCCTGCCCAGATGACAAGACAATGCCAGTCTTCTTGGTTACCTGGCCCCTACGATCACCAGATAGTCAAGTAACCGAGGGCAGAACTTCTTCTTTTGCACCATGATTCCAATTCATTAGTTCATCTCAGAGAAACTTGAGGGCAGCGAGCAAGAAGTAAGCATTCCCAGGAGGAATTCTGATATTACCTGAAAATTCAAGTTTAGTAGGAAAAAAGTACTGATAAGATCCATTGCTATGCCTAAGGGAATCATCCCTCTCAATTTCATCCCAGCCAGGAGCACAGGTCAGAAGGCTTCCACTTTAGTACTAAGGATAGGAGAATTTGACACTTGCCTAGCATAGTGAGCATCTATCTAGGCCTAAGAACTTCCAGACTCAAATGTCAAATAGGATAAGGGGTGGGGCTGGGAATGAGTAGCTCAGTGGTAGAACACTTGCCTAGCAGCACATGGCCCTGGATTCAATCCTCAGCACTGCCAACAAAGCAGGAGAAGGACAAATAATGGCTCACCATCCCCCATTCCTACCAATCAGCTCATTTCCAGACTAGTCCCTTGGGGATCTGTTCCTGAAAAACAAACCTAGGCAAACTAATCTGGGGTCAGTTATTATGATAACAAAAATTAAGTCACTTTCAGGACCACTCCAGGGATGATCAGAATCAAACCAGATTCTTCAATCACCATTAATCTGCACTTCTAGGTCTAGAGGGAAACCTAATTATTCTGTTTCAACAATCTGCACTCAGCTTGATGTGAGACTACCATATAGACTTTTTAGTCAGTTGTACCCAGACAGTAACAACAGCTGGCTATTTTAGCTCACGTGATCTCACATGAAGAATGTCTGGGCCCCAACAGCCTCATCTCAAGCAAGAAAGGGGTCCAGTGGCTACTGCTACTACCTCTGCCCTTGGTGCTGAACTAATAGTTCTCTATTCTGATCTTGGGATCAGAATCAGAAATACAGTACACATACATGAGATCTTGTTCTACTCTATCTTACAAAAATTATGAATTAGGAGAAAATACTAGGATTTCTATAAGGGTAGGGAGAGGTGCTCAGAGGTATTTCTAAACTATTTTTAAAATTATGAAAAGCTTAAACAATTATCATTTCCTTTTGGGTCTCTATATACTTCTCAAAATAAAATGTTTCACTCCACTACAAGGTTTTTTCCAATGTGCCAAGATTCTGTCTCTTACCCTTCACAGTGGCTGCACTGCCACCTTATTGACTGTAGATACAAACAATTCCATTACAACATACACACACGCACCACTCCTTCATTTGCTATTTTGTGCACTCCCATCTCACAGACATATATACTCCCTGCATGTGTTAAGGCCCTATTTGATTTAGATAATGAGTAGACGTTCTATTTTTTCTCCTCGCTGAAGTAATAATAAAGAACACCTATTTACACACCTCTGGTACCCTCAAAATAGTGTTCCCTCTATTCCCTTGCTCCTAATACAGGACCTGCAGGTAAGAGGATTCAGTCTGGTCTCCATAGCGACTCTAGATCTCAGCACTATTTATAGCAGAGCTATAGTCCCTCCCCTGCTTGGTGACCGCACAGTGCTAGCAGCTGCTACTCCAGAGTCCTCCAGGACCCACAGCAACTCGTTCTCCTTAAACCTGGAGACACCTCTTCCACTGGCAGCACCTGCTAAGAATTAGTTTATCTTCTCCCCAATTTGCTGTTAGTTTGCACTTTGTCCCAATTGTGGCTTTTGATAGATAGCTCCTCCCCACCAAATTCCTGAGCATGTTATACACCCACACATTTCTGGGAGTCATCATTGCTAATGACCCCAAACAGTCCTTTGTTTCTCCCAAATGCTAGTCATGAGCATACTGCAGAAGGCAAGGCACCATTACAGAACTGAGCTGAACTCCTCCTAAGCAGAATGAAAAGGGATAGAATGGACACATGGAATGGGATATAGATGAAAACATAATTTGTTCTATAAAGAATTATGTAGAAATGTTTAGAGTGAGAGCCAAAATATCTTAAAGCAAAACAGAATTTATAGGACCAGAGCTCCTGACTAAGTCCTAAAATGTAGGTTTATATTGAAAACCAAGAGCCCTTTCTGGCTAAAGTTGCAAAGATGGGACCTGAAGCATCTCTTACTAATAAATTAGGCACTGGGGCCTCTCTAGCATTGGTGGGATCCCAGCCCTTATTCAAACTCAAGTTATTACCACGTACTACCACTATCATGTTCTGTGGTCCTCATCTTCTTCCAGAGCTGCAAAAACCCTGGGATCTTGACTATTCCAGCTGTGAGTGCTAGGATAGATTTTTTTTTAGCCACGATTCCTATCTCATCAACAGCCACTGCCTTCAGTTATTCAGAGATAACCAAGGCTTTCCTTTTCATTCTCGCCTTTTTCGCTTCCTCATAGTGTCTAAATTTTCTAACACCACCCATCAGGCTCAGGCTCCACCTCTCGCCTCAACCCTAGCTTCCTGTAGTCGAAAGGCATCAATCTCAAAATATATACCTCTCTGCTGAAGTCCTATATCACTATCCACATCTAGAATCCACAGACGTTTAGGTTATCTATGCGTTTTCAGCTTACAATGAACATACTAACCAACCCTTTTGGATACGTCCCTCATTTGGGACAGGATTTCATAGTAAAACCACAGGAATCCGACCCGAGGGCGATATGACATCTTTGCTGACGTGAGCACAACGGGAGCCTCTCCTCCCCAGGCAGTGACCTTGCAAAGCTCATCAGCACAAACTGGTCCAGCGTGGGGGAGAACTGGAGCAATGAGGCCAGTGATAGGTAGGGTTGGGGAAGGAGGAGGGTAGGAGAAGGAGGAACAATTCAGATGCACGAGGATGGAAAGGCGAGCAATTGCAGGAACGATTAAATGGTGTTCCCATTCTTCAGCGAGTCAATATTGAAGTATGAAATTAAACATACATATATAACATTTATATAGCCTATATACACATATATTGAAAAACCAAATGTGGTTCTCCACATCGTAACCAAATATAAGGCGCACGCTCCCACGCACGCATATACACACGCACACAAGCACACACGCCAGGGGCTAGCGCTGGCTCGGGCTCGGGACCCGACAGCTCTGCCCGCCCCCTCACCTGCTGGACAGTTCCCCGCCCCCGCCCCGGAACCAGTGCCGCCCAAGCGGCAGGAACCGAGAAGCACTGGAGCCTACAACCCGTGCGCACCCCTCGGCTGTCAGAGCGCCCCACCTGTGGTCGCGCCCCCTCCCTACTTGGACCCCAGCCCTCTGGAGACTCCACGGCCCCTCAAACTCCTTCAGGGCCTAGTCAAAGACCCTCTCCTTGTGGAGCCGCGTTCCCTCTCAGACCCCGCTTTACCCTAGGAATTTCCAAATACCCGTTAGGGCCCCCAATGGCTAGTACTCTCCTACCTCCCCGAGCCTCGGGGAACCTGCCAGATCAGCAGGAAATCCCTCCGGCCGCCGAGCGTCCCTAGCTCTCCCGCGAGGCGCGCCTGCAAGCGGGCGCCAGTTCCGCGTCCGCACCCGGGGGGGCGCGTACCACTCCGACCCGGTGCGGGAGGGGGAGGCTAAGGGGGCCGGGGCCGTACCACTCACTACCGGGGGGACAGGACTGCACCAAGCCGAGCGCTAAAAGGTGGAGCTGCCCTCGAGAGGATGGCAGCTGCGCACACACCTATCCGTGTGGGAGTGGGAACGAGATGGGTAGCGCTGGGCCAGCCCAGAGCTGGTGGATGCCAAGGGGAGAGCCCAAAGGAGAACCTTTTGTTTAGAATGCTCAAAAAGATTTTAATTAGACATGATCACAGATCCCGTTTCGACGAAATGTTGATTAATCTGAAAGTGACTTCTCAAGATAAATCGCCCATGACACTTTCTGGCCGTCTCCCCAAACCTCACCTCGTTCCCCCCGCACGCAGTTTGGAAGTGCTCGGCCTCCCGGGCTGGAAAGCCGGCAGTCCGGTCGGTGGATTCTACCACTTCTGGGCGGCGGGGGGTGGGGGGTGGGGGGTGGGGTTGGAACTGGAGGCTGGAAGGCGCGGCCGCAGTATCACCTACACTGGCGTGCACCGAGGGGGCGTGAATGGTGCCGCGGTGCCCGCTGGGAAATGGAGTCCAGTCCTTTTGAGAGCGCAAACACATAGGGAAGACTCCGTGGCCTCGGCCTCGGGGTACTTTTCTTCCTGTCCCCAGGAAGGATTTCCTGGTCCTAGTTCTTTCAGATTGTGCCCCTTTTCAGACGCTAATGAAAAAACCAAGGCATTATGCGCACGTGTGAGGTGCAGGCTGAGTTCTGAAGCTCTAACTCCTTACCCACAGAAAGATTAAAGGAGAAGGGGTATCAAAAGCCTTGTCATTTCACACGTTACAATTGGGCTAGTGAGAAGAAGCCCCCTCTTACTGACACTCTTGGCAGTCAGTCAGTCTTGACTTGCCCCTCTCCACTGAGTCTAGAGCCAGATCCTAAAGGATCCAGACTCTTTCACGACCACGCCCCACCCCCAGTCCAGAAAGTGGTTTCTATCTTGGTCTTCCTGTTCCAAGTACCAGATCTATCCGTGCAGCCTCTAGGCATTTATGGCCAAGCCACAGAATGACAGTGGAGAATTTCTTTTGGGGCCCTTGGGTGAAAAACAGGAAGTGGTGGAGATAGAATGGGCAGGGCCCTGGAGAACGTTGTGCAAAGTGGTCCCCAGGTTCATCCATTTGGTTGGGTCAGTAATTTTGTCAGCTGAAGCCCAGCTTTAGCAGGGCCCCCCCATTGCCCAGCAGCCACAAAACTCCCAACCCTTTGACTTTCCTTTAATACCACATGAGGATCTTTTTCACCCAGCTCCCAGGAATGTTTGCCCTTTTCAGTCTTCTCCACCTACAAGAGGCAGCCCCTGGCCTCAGCCATGCAGGTCCAGAACACATCAATCACTCGTGCACATCCCAGATCTCAGAGAGTAGTGGGGGAAGCTTTTTGTCCTGCAGTCGTAGTGCAAACACTTGCTCTGAGTGGACGCTGCTCAGCGTCCGGAGGCTTACCAGTTTCATTAACATCCGTGGGAACATCAGTCGGTCCTGGAGAAAGGAATGGGACAAGTCTAGCCTTTGCTTCTCCCCAAGGAAGGAGGCTGAGGGCGGGGGTGGGGACAGAGAAGGTTGTGGGAGAGGTAGGGAATAGTGGGCGCTACACGTACACAGGTTCTTGAAGGGAAAGTATGCATTTCAGGGAATGTGCCAGTAGAGCAGAAGGGAAAGGCACCAGGGGGAGACTCACATGGGGGTGGTGGATGGAGACATAGGCATGCAGGGCCTCCACATATGTGTGTTGCAGCTTCTCTACTTGGAGCTGGTCCTGCACGTTGGGCCGGTCTATAGGTCACCAACAGAGTTGAGGAGCAGGTCTGGCCCGGGTCTTAGTTCCATATCCCAAATCAAAGCCCCCCAAAAGAGACATGTCCCAACCAACCTCTCAGCCCCAAAGAACACAGCAAAGGCCTCCACCCTCATGATTTCTGCCCTGTGGGGCCTGCAGCCCTCCCAGGTGCAAGTCTCTTAGTTTCCCTTTTGCCCCTCCTGCACACCTGCAGAGAAGATGCTGATGGCAATGAGCAAAGCAAACTCAGCATCATTGAGTTGCAGCTCATTCATGGCTCTGGAGAACTCGAAGATGGGGTTGATGAACTCCACCTGCAGTCCTGGGGAGGAAGAAAGGAGGCTGACAAATGGCAGGAGCAGCAGGAACTTCCTCCAAATCCTCAACTTGGGGAACTACTAGGAATTCAGTAAGATAGACATCTGGACTCTCCAAGGGCTAGTATCTGAATCTCTTTAAGCTTCCTCTGGGAAATGGAAGTCATAGCTGAACCTATCGAATAAAACTGTTGTGATGGTTAAATGACAAAGTGTGCAGAAGGCTTAGCACTGTGTCTGGTACATAGGAGTTGCTGAGCTACATAGTAGGTCTGGGATTTTTGCTGTTTGTTTTTGAGATAGTTTCTCTATGTAGCACAGGCTGGCTTTGAACTCCCAATCCTCCTGCTCAGTCTCCTGAGTGCTGGGTTTATAGGCATGTCTCACCACACCTGACTAAAGTGTTATTCTTATAATTCTACATTTCTAGAAATAGAGGCATCTCTTGCCTTTGTCTATAAAAATAAGCCCTTTTTGCTGGCAAACAGCTTTACCTATCTGAATACTAGAGATATATTTTCACGTATATATTTTTATTGATTGGGGTGATGCAGAAAGCCACAAATGAGAAAAGGACAGTGGGGTTTCAACAAGTGAATAAAAAGTTATTTTCAACATATAGATTCATATTACAACACACCAATACTGACAGCATTCTCTTGTGTATTTTTGGTACACAAAATAGTATCTCTCTACATAACCTTTCAAGGCTTCAGAAACCAAAATATAAAACAAAACAAAAAAAAAAAACCCACCTCAAAACAAAACAAAAAACCCAGCCTATTAATTTACAGTTTGTTTTTAATATTGTAAGACACTGCAAGTTCTAAACTTTTAGTAGTGCTATCCATACACAACTGTCTGGTCAAGAACTCAGTAAAAGCATCCCCTTTTCAGGAAACTTTGCAACAGTAGAGTTGTGCAATATGGAAAAAAATTACACATGGCACACTTTCACTCATATTTTGTAACATAACAAAATGTAATATAACATTTCAGCAAGGTGCTGGTGGCTCACACCTATAATCCTAGTATTTTGGGAGGCTGAGATCAGAAGGATCATGGTTTAAGGCTAGCTTGGGAAAATAGTTCTCGAAACCCCACCTCTAAAATAACCAGAACAAAATGGACTGGAAGTATGGCTCAAGCGGTACAGCACCTGCTTTGCAAGTGTGAAGCCCTAAGTTCAAATCCCAGTTTCCCCCCAAAAAAAGTTAAAACATTTCATATATCAAATCCTAGAGGGAATACTGCATGTAGCTGAGGGTGTGGACTGTGACTCTGGTGCCAGACTACAAGGATTTGAGTCACGGACCTTACCATTTACTAGGCTGTGTGACCTGGAGTAAGATATTTAATCTCTGTGGGCCTTGGTTTTCCCATGTGTAACTTGGAGATAATAATAGTACCTACCTCAGAAAGTCCTTAGAATAATATGTGGCATTAGTGGTATTTACCATGTACTTGTTAAGTTAAAGATGTTTTGAGGGGAATAGTACTAGGGTTTGAATTCAGGGCCTTGCAGTTGCTCGGCAAGCACTCAAGCACTTGGGCCATACACCCAAGCCCTGAAAAAGAAATTTAAAGGAACCAGTTTTCTTTCAGAGAAGTCACCAACATGCAATAAACCATGGCCTAAAGCCAGGACACGTAGCAAACACTTCTCCCATAAACAAAGTCTCTGGTTAGGCGTTGGTGGCTCATGTCTGTAATCCTAGGTACTTGGGAGGCAGAGATCAGAAGGACAGCAGTTCGAACCTGCCAAATAGTTTTCTAGACCCTATCTCAAAAATACTCAACAGAAAAAAAGGACTGGCGAGTGACTCAAGATAGAGCAAAATAAAGCCCTGAGTTTAAACCCCAGTACCACCAAAAAATAAATAAATAAATAAGAATAACAACATAAGGGTGGCCCTGAGTGCACAGTGTCAGACTCCATTCTTCTTCTTTAAAACAAACAAACAAACAAACAAAAAACGTCTCTGCACCCAAACTGTTTTCTAGGCTTTCTCAGACTTCTTTTAGCAACATCTGCAGCACTTTTCCATTCTCGGCTTCTTGATGAGTCACTGCCTGCACTTTCACCCTGATGTTTATCAAGTATGTTAATCCACTTAATGGACAAGCCCCGTTTTATAAAGCATTTCTTGGTCCCCAAGTGTGTCAAAAAGCTCCTTTTCCACAGATACAAATTCTAGAACTGCGCCATGCCCCTGTGGAGGGCCTGCTGATGCTCACTGGAGGGACACCTCAACTGGGACCAGTCCACAGCATTAGTCATCCACTGCCCACACCATATGGTAGTGAATGTAGAGTCGGGAAGGAAACCAGACAAAAGAGAGACACTGGTAGCAAAATAACAAAGAAAAAAAACAATAAAACAAAGCCCCTGTTCCTTCTCCCCAAGACCTCACTGATGAAATGAGAAAGTCAAACATGGTAACATCAAAACTGCTTAAATAGCCAAGTGTGGTGATGGACGCCTCTAATCCCATTTACTCAGGAGGTAGAGGCAGGAGGATAGACAGTTCCAAGCCAGCCCTGGCAAAGGTAATGGTTGAGAGTCTGTCTCAAAAACAAAATGGCTGGGGGTGGGGCTGGAGGAATGGCTCAAGTGGTAGAGCACCTGCCTAGCAAACACAAGGCCCTGAGTTCAATGCCCAGTAAAGTAATAAATAAATAAATTTTTAAAAAGGGTTGGAGCATAGCTCAAGTGGTAGAACGCTTGCCTAGCAGGCACAGACCCTGGGTTCAATCCCCTCCACCAAAAGGAAAACTGCTTAAAGAATTTAAACCTGGGCATGGTGGTATACACCTATAATCCCAGCACTTAAGGCTGAGATAGGAAGATAGAGAGTTCAAGGTCAGCATGGGCTACATTGTGAGACCCTGTCTCAGGAAAAAAAGAAAGAAAAAAGAGAACAATCTATAAAAAGGTGCAAATAGGTGCAACTTTAGGTAGCATAAATCCCCAAGTGCAAAAAGGAACAGAGATACTAAAGGGCTCAGGAAGGAAGGTGTTCTGAAACAGGAGAAGGTTAAGAAGCTTTGGAATAATGACTGTTGGGGAAACAGTGGTTAGGTAGAAAAGGGGGCCAAGACTGGGCTTTAAAGCTGAGTGAAGCCAACAAATCACCCATTAGGTGCCTACACATTCAGGCAACACACCAGGCACTACAGAAGGCAATACGGGCCAAAAGAGCCCTACCCTGCCCTACAGGTAAGGGAGGCCTTTCTAGAAAGCTCACTGGGTGTCCAATGTTGGGACAAGAGGCACATGAGCTGGCATGAGTCACAAGAAACCAGGGAAAGCTTTATGAACTCTGACCTGGAACTCAGAATCTAACAGCTCTCCGAACAGAGTCATAGCATTAGCCATATTCTACAAACCCACTCCCTCAGCTGTTAAGCTAGTCTGTCCCTTTAAGCCTCAGTGCCAGTTCCTCCCAAACTCTCTTGGCCTTCTATCCTTTCCCAGCCCTGATCCATTCTATAAGAGAAAACCTCCCTGCTCAGTCTCAAGCAAGAATAGAATGGTGAGCAGCAGTGTGAAACAATTTTTCAAGAAAATACTCCAGATACAGGATGAGGATAGATATCCTACCACTGTCCCATCTGGCATGTTTGTCATGTTTCAACTCCAGGTGCACAGCTTATCAGAAAGAGCGACAGAAAAAGAGTAGAAGGCAGTGATCCTGGATGATTCTTAAAGCGCACATCTGAAAAGGTTTGTTCATTTTTTACTATACAATAGCTTTCTACAGTAATTTTCAAACTTTTTTTCTAACTATAAAATCTGCTAGGAAAAGGGTATCTAGAAGCACAAGATAGAACACAGATTTCCATGGAGCTTCCTGTTTTTTTAAAGTAGAGATGAAGGCCATTCCTCTGTCTCCCAGTGTCTCCTCAAAACTACTGCTTCCATACACCCCTTAGGTTTCTCAGGATGCAGTTTGAAAACAATTGACCTCATGTAACAAAGGACAGGGGTCTATCCAGAGCAGTTGAGAGAAGCCCAATAGCATTCCAGCCTTTTCTTCTGGAAAACCAACTAGAGCCTTCCCTTTATAATTGCTGAAACGTTAGGTCCATGTGACATAAAGCACCTGTCCAACCCATCTCAGCTCTCACCTGCTTTGGCAAAGTCTTCTCGGTTATAACTGAAATCCTTGAGGAAGGTTATGCTCTCACTCCCAGGGTTGTATCTTCGAGATGTTTCCAGAAGCATCACCTGCACACAAGTAGCAGCCCTCAAACAGGGACAAAGAAGGCTGGTCTTGATTCATGGCCCTTCAAGGGAAGGCAGATTCCCTTTTTCCCTACTTCCCAATGGATTGGGCTCTCCCAGCTGGATGTCTGGAGTCTCTGCTTCCCCACTCCCCTGTCCCCTGCCTCCAGGACAATCCCACTCTGCTTCTCCCATCATCCCTTGCCCTCTCCAGCCACCTCGATTGCAGAGGTCTTCAGCAGGGCAATCTGGTCCTCCCGACTGAGCTGCAGGAAACCAGGGAGCTGTTTGGCAAAGTCAACAATCTCCTGCACAGAAACGATGGCCAGCTCAGTGAAGTGGGCAAAGCGTTGTTGACGGGCCTCCCGGCTGTGGGGATCAGGTGCCATGGGCCAAGGCTACCCAGAAGAGCAAGAAGGAAAAGGCAAACCACTTTGAGTCAGACATGGAGAAGCCAACTGGTGCTCCGGGTATGGCTAAGTCTACCCAGGCAGGTCAAGTACCGTGACTCGAAGTCGGTCAGAAAACGAGCGCCTGTTACACTGTTGCTGGGCAGCAACCAACTTCTCGATCATGCCCAGTTGCTCAGGGCTGAGCCGTGGTGGGACTTGGGGAGGTGATGAAGCCCTTGGGGGTACTGATGTGGCCTGGGCCTGTTCCTCTTCCTGCCGCTTCAGTTTCTTCAGGCGGATCTGTTCTTCTGACAGGACACCTAAGGACAGGCCCAGATGTGAGGAGGGGAGAAGAGGAGGAGGGAAGAAGCAGCACAGTGGGTGGTTCCAGGTTCCAGAAGTGCAGAGTGTTGTTAAAAAGAAGAGATTTTTATCCAACTCAGGGACTAGCTAAGAAGCCCCTACAGGTACAGGCACCCACCTGCCTCACATCCAGGCACCCCTCATTCCCATCAGCCTCTCCCCGACTCTTGCCCCAGACACTCACACTCCTCCCGCATGCCCGCCTGGCGGCATTTGCGAAGCCGACACTCCTGGCACTTGCGACGCATGTAGGTGTCCATGGGGCAGTGGCCACCACTGTGGCAAACATAGCGTGCTCCCTTGATGACACTGCGGCGGAAGAATCCCTTGCAGCCCTCACAGCTCAGCACGTTGTAGTGGAAGCCTGAGGCCTTGTCCCCACACACACTGCACAGCTCATTCCCCAGCATTTTGGGAGCTGGTCCCTTTTTCCGCTTTTGTGGACGGAGCTCTAGATACAGAGAAGAACCTTAATGTTCTCCTTTGCTCAGTCACTGTCCTGGGCATTCAGTGACCTTCATTCCCTTCATATGAAGGAAAGTCTTTCTCTTTCTCTTTTTTCAGATGAGGTCTATGTTGCCCAGTCTGGCCTTGAAATCCTAGGCTCAAGTGACCCTCCTGCCTCAGTATCCCTAGTAGCTAGGATTACAGGTATGTGCCACAGTGCCTGGCTTAAGTCTCTTTATTATAAGAACAGTAGCTCTTATTCACCAGGGGCCATTTTGTAGTAGGTACAAAGTATAAGTTCTTTACCTGCACTGATTCCTAGGATAACCATAATTATTCATTTCATTTCACAAATAAGGAAATTAAGGCTGAGAAAGGTTTAAGGTAGAGACAAAATTTACACTCAGATCCCTCAGGTCTATTTGACCGAAAGCCTTTGGACTTAACCATATTATAAGGCAAAGGGCCCCATGGTCCTCCTCCCAGATCCAGAGAGCCCCTACCTCCTCTAAATCCAGAAACTTCTTACCTGTGGGCTCTGGAAGGGCCTCCCCCCTGGGGAGTGGGGCTGTGGGCTCTGTCGCCTCCGACCCCATCCCCAAAGTGCCCCCAGCAGACTGGGGCATCCTGGCTTCCTCCCTGAGAAAGTCGCTGCCTCCCTGGGCCTGGCTGCTTGCATCTTGGGCATCTGGCTCCCACAGCTCCACTGCAGAGTCTGAGCCCAAAAGACAGACACGAGGAGGTCTCAGGTCCCATCCAGGCTCCACTTCCCAAGCATGTTGGCTGGGCAACTCCAAACTTAGCTCTACTCTTAGAGGGCAGTTAAGCCCAAGCTCATGCTGTGGGACTCCAGGGTTTTGTGGGCTCCAGGACTGGTCAGTTGTAGTCCCTAGTACATCAAAACCTTAAATGAAGGTGTTAGCCTTTATTCCCTTGGAGGCTGGAGGGCATCCATTTCAGAGATCAGACAGAACTCTCCAAAGCCAGAGCTGGGTAAGCCCTAGATGTGCCAGCTCTCCCCAGCAGCAAACCCAGATTAAAGAGGAGTAGGCAGGAACCTCCACAGATCAGGAACCAGAGCCAGGACAGAAAACAAGCACCACCAAGAACAGCTCTAGACTACATTTTGGAGGACAGAATGCAGATAGTGAAGGAGGCTGATTTCCTGAGGGAGAGCAGCTGAGGCCTGGGTTCAGGGGAAGGGCTGGAACAAAGCAGCTTACCTGGAGAAACATCAGGCATAGGGGCCTCCAACCATAAGGACATCTTTTCCTGGAGTCCTGGACATTACCACAGCACTGTCCTGCAGGAATGACCCAGGTTACACTCTTCCAGAATGGGCTTCTTCAGGCCTTAGCTTCCTTTTCTTATGCCTTCCTTTTATGTAAGTTCCCACATTATCAGCTGTGACTTGCCATGTATTAGCCCATACTGAGGCTCCACATGCCTTCCTTATCATATCCCTAAGAGGCCGGGACTATTCCTTTTTTTTTTTCAGTCCTGGTGATTGGAGCCAGGGCCTAGCGCATGTGAGGCAAATGCTCTGCCACTAAGCTACACCCCCAGTCCTGTCAAAACTATCTTTAAACCCATTTTTACATATAAGGAAACTGAGGTTCAAGAAATTAAGGGAATTGCCTATGGCCACACAGTTAGGTGGTAGTAGAGACAAAACCATAACCCTGATTTCACTGACTCCAAAGCCTAAGCTTTCAGCCACTGTTCTACCCTTATTCCCCTCACCCCAGGCTCTATCAGAGCTCTTTCTCCCTCACTCTAGTACTCTCCCTCACTCTAGTACTGGAGACAGCCAAAGTTGGGCAGCACCCAACTTCAAGGTTCACCCTATGAAGACAAGTGCACTGCCTGTTAGAGAATCTCACTCCTGTCAGTTTCTGAGGTCCAGCACAAGCCTCTTACCCCAAGAGTCTTCCCTAATTCACATACAGGACCTCTTCCCCCAGAATTCCCCACAAGTTTTTCTGGGACATAACTGGAACCCTGTCCTTCCCTTCTCCCCACAGACCCGGCTGTAAGATCCCAAGAACATCCTTTCTCCCCACCCCAGACACTGTACTCAGAGCCCCAAGTCACTGCTGGAGAGAGACCCACCGAATCCCCAGGCCACCAGACTTCCTGGTTGCACAGTCTCTGGAGCCCCCTTGCTGGGAGAGGAGGATGGTGCAGTCCACTGTCCCCAGGCCTCAGCCAGCAGGCAACCGGAACTGAGTACTGACAGACTTGGAGCCCCAGAGAAGTACTAATGTGGGGAAAGGCTGAGGGGAGGGACTGCCAAGGGGTCGGGCCACATCTCCTTCCTGCAGACCTACTGGAGCCCTGGTTGGCTTGGCCCCCGCCCACAGGGTAGCTTCCCCACCAGGCTGACTCCTCCCCAGCCAGCCGCCCCCTCAGCCGCACCACCTCTGCGTATCCTTAAACAAGACAGTTGCATTTCCCTGTAGAACCCAGTTCCATCTTTCCCTTTTCTCCTCACCCTGAAGGCTCTTTGTTCTTCAGGACTGTTTCCCAGGCACCCCCACCCCAATCCCAGTAGTCTCTAGAGTCAGTGTTCCCTCCCCTCCATAGACACCTCTGAGAGCAAAGGTCCCAGCACAGCACAGGCTAGAATTGCGACACCAAGTTCTAGTCTCCCTCCTCCTCCCTGCCTTTGGGAAGCGGCCAAGCTCTCCCCACTAGCCAAGCTGGTAAAACTCCAAGGGTGGAGAGAGGCAGGTGTTGGGAACTTCCAGGGAGTCTATATGTGGGTGCTCTGCAGGGGCCAGAGAGGGAAGAGGCCAGAAAAGAGGGAGGAAGTCAGCTCTGAGCAACAGCAGGCCTGGGACAGGGGTGAAAGTAGCAGACAGCAACAACCCAGATACCAGCCCAAGATGAACCCGGAAGGCATGCAGGATGCTTCATCTAGAGAACAGTCCCATCTGAGGTGGTGGCAGGATGCACTGAGAATATAGTCATAACTTTCCTGAACCCTGAAGAAAGACCTCATGTTCCCTTGATTTTTATCTCCTCGGGGGAACAGGACCTGGCTTAGAGGAGGCAAAAGAGTAGGTATTGTTCTCCTGTTTACTGAATGAATAAGTAAACAAAAAAAGTATGATTCTCTTCTATCCTGTACTTGTTAGCTCTTCAACTTAGCATGATTAGCATTTGGGCTGTGGGCTCAAACTCTGGTCCTACCTCCCATTAGCTGTGTAATTTTATTTTTTTCCTGCGTGTAGTATTGGGGATCCAACCCAGGGCATCAGGCATACTCCACTGAACTATGCCTCCAACCCATCTGTGTAGTCTTGATTGAGCAAATTACTTACTGTCTCTGAACCTCTGAGAGTAACAGTAAGTTTTTACCTCATAAGGTTGTTGTGAGAATAAAACATAGCACAATTGTGAGGCACAATAATAAGTGTTCAAGAACCAGCAACAGTCATCATTACCCATTCAGCTCCCCCAGTGATGGGTCTTTCCATCACCTCAAACACATATGGTGTTAACCCTCTAAATCTGTTTCCATATACAAACCCCTGACTGTCTCTTTCAATTCTTAGAACAGCTCCAAGAGGGAGGACGGGTAAAAAACTCCATTGACAAAGAACTCGGAAGCTCACATGAGGGCCTTTCCCAAGATAAGTTAGTGGCCAAGCTGGGATCAGAATCCAGAGATCCTCATTCCAGTCAGTCCCTGTTCTTTTTCTCCTTTGTCAGAATCCAGGTCTGATGGACCAGTGAAGTGCTGAAACAGAAGAAGCTGGGGCCGGTGGGCTGCAAGGGGAAGAGGTGGAGAGCCCTGTAGATGCTTCAGTTCAGATGAAGGCAGCAGCAGGAGCTGAGGTTACTGCTGGTCGTTCACTCCCTGCCCCATTCCCAGTTTCCTGCTCACAGGCTCTTCCTGTTTTGCTGTGAACTTCAGTTCCCATGGGCCCACATTAAAGCACAGGACAGGGTCCAGGGCAAGCAGCCAGAAGGCCCAAAACAGAGATGAACAGGGCACCAGGGAAGAGGAGAACAGAGGGAACAGGGAAAGAGTAGACATGGGGTGTGGGGGATGGAACAGGATGGGAAAAGAACAAGAAAGCTGAAGTAGAAAAGGGACTTAGTGAAAGATGGGAGGAAGCACAGGGTGGGACAGAGGAACAGGCAGGGACTGGGAACACACGTGAGAAGACGGCAGGCTGAGGGGGGTGTTGCAAAATCTGCCATGTGTTCATTTTCACATTTCAGAAAAGCCCCTCTGATGGCTCCCGTTTCACACTTCTGCCTCCAAGCTTTTGCTCTTGTTCCCTCTCATCACAAGGTCATCCCCTCACAAGGCCCCACCCTGGTCTGGGCACTTCTGAGTCATGAACATAAGGCTCTCCATTCCTCTTACATGTTCCTTCCCTGATTTTCACAAGGTCTCGCTGTCCTGGGAAAGTAGAAACCAGGGACATAGGCCACTGGGAGACTGTAACTGCTTTGTCCCAGCATTCTCGATGTAGCTCCTTCCCCCTGCCCAAGCTCCAGCACAGCTGCACTGTCAGACATGTCCCAGAGACATCCAGTTTTAAGCTCAGAATGTAAAATTATTTTGGGGCCTGGTGACATGGCTTGTAGGAGTCTCCCTCATTCATTTCTGACTCTCAACTCCCTCTCCTGATGCCCTAGGCTTCCCCCAGGTGGCTTCCCAAGACCCAGGACTATACACACAAGCGCCAGCTGCAGCCCTCTGACCCTGGCTAGAGCCAGCTGCTGAACTAGCAGGTGAGAACATGCCCCCAAGCTAGGGAATCAGCTCAGATTCATCTCCTGTAGAGAAGGTGGCATTACCAATGCTTTGCAGCCACAGGTTCCCTTTCAGATTGCAAGGGGTCGAGGAGCCCCTCACAAAGACAGAAAGGGAGAGGAAAATGATGGAAGTAACTGTTGGCAGTATCTTCATAGAGTTTCTGGGCATCAACCACTGGGACTTCTGCCCCAAGCCAGGGCAAGCAATCAGGTGATCAGCAGCTGTAAACACATGCCTCACTTTGTCAGCCCCACCCTCACGGCACAGTTCCATCAGCCCACAGAACACATTAGGTCCAAAGCATCCCAATTCTATGGGCCTTTCCTATGTCTCCTTGGCTCCTACAGAGGCAACATCCCTGGGAACACCCTTGAGGCTTTCCCAAACCACATTTCTGATCCCCCAAACTTCCAGAGACTTCTGGAAGTAGAAACAGTAGCATATGTCAGCCCACAGTCACCTGTACTACTTAGGTAACTCCCCTGAAGGCACTCCTTCTCATGAGGCAGGCCACAAGGTACAGTTTGCAGGGATGGACTGGGACAACTGCTGCTTGATCGCTCCTTCACCATTCTGGAAGGGTGAAAGTGTGGGGATTATATTACAGACCACTGGGTACCCACTCAAGTGAGTTCTGCCCAAGGTCCCAGTAGAAAAGAATCCAGGAATTCCTGCTTCCCAGACCTGTAAGTCAGAGGTGATATAGAAAATAAAGAAAATAACATTTACTTAGGCTCATCTACATAATTTATCTTTACATGTATTATTTCATTTATCTTCCCAATTTGAAGATAGCTACTAGCAAGGCACAAATATCAAATGTGAACGTAGGTAAAGCTGACTCAGAATCTCAAACTCAAAACAAACATTTAAAAAATAAAAACTGGCTTCATTCCATAAAAGTGCCTTCCAAGATGGGAAAAATGGTTAGCTCACCTGGATTTGGGTAGCTTCTGTCCACATAGGATAGAGCAGTGGTTCCTAAACCTAGCCTCACCTTCAGAGACTGGTTTATTTGGTCTGGGGCAGTGCCCTGTATCCATTTATCTACCCATATATATGCCATTTTTTTTCAACTACAATTAGGAATCAAGATGTAAAGAACACAAAATCATCTGGTATAAGTCATCTGGTAAAAGCTGGGTAATCATGAAATCAAGACTTGGCCAGGCACCTGTGGCTCATGCCTGTAATCCTAGCTACTCAGGAGGCAAAGATTAGGAGGATCACAGGTTCGAAGCCAGCCCCAGGCAAACAGTTCTGGAGACCCTATTTCAGGAAGCCGCTCAAGTGGTAAGAGTGCCTGCCTAGCAAGCATGAGGCCCTGAGTTCAAACCCCAAAGCTTCCAAAAAAAAAAAAGAAAAAAATCAAGGCTCTGCTCCAGGCCCATCTACTACCATCTACCTTCTCTTTGTAATTCCCACCCTTCCTGGAATCATTTTTCACTATAAAAAATGAATAACATCTGCTTCACCATGGGATACTTGCAGACACAAAGGATATAGACATACTTGAGCAAGTGGGAAGAAAAGCAAATCAGGAACTTGAAGGATTTTTGTTCTACTTACTAAAATTTGGTGAGTTAAAGATTTACATTCTGAAAGCACAATGATCTGGTTAGTTTGCAAGGAGAGTAAGGGTCACACTAAAACAAAACATTCTTTAAAAAAAACTATTATGCAATACATTGCCAGTCGGCCATGCCCCCATTCAATCCCACTAATGTGAAAAGGTTTTCTTTGATAGAAGTTTCAAGGTACTTTAGGGCTACCAAATATAATTGCAATGCAGTTTGAGTACTTTCAAGAACCAGCCTATTCTAGACTATTTTAAGTGGGAATCAGAAAACTAAAATTCCAACCCAATCTCCTAACCGTGTAAATTTAGGCATTTCCTCACTCTAGACTTGTTTCTTAATATGTAATGAAAACGAGGTTAGATCTGTAATTCAGAGATGCTGATTTATAAACCTATGAAGGGTCTTTGTGAACCTTTTGGGATTATATACGAAATTCCATTGTGTTTATTATGTGTGGACATTTTTCTGGAGGGAGAGAGGACTAAATTTTTGTGCAATTTATAAAGGAGGTTGTGGCTAAGAGGGTTAACAACTATTTGGCTACCCAACCTTCTTATTCTATTCACTCCTCAGCCTCCTTTCAGACAATTTTGAAAGCAAAGTTTAGATCGTGAGGTTGGTTTGCTTCTACTGGGAGGATCTGAGTCAAAACATGCCCAGGGGCCTATAATTTGATCTCCCAGAACTATGCATCACTCCAAAGCTCCCGATCACAAAGCCCTGAGGAGCTCCAATTCTGTATAAACTTCACCTACTCCCACTCTATGTTATGTGTCCTCCCCAAAATATCATTGCTCCAGTGGTCTGAAATTCCTCCCTTAGGAATTCAGTATTTTTGAGTTTGGAAAAGTCTGAACATCCTGTGCAACCCAACTCCTTTGGGAAGAAACGTGACGTCTTGAGTCTTATTAACTGGAACTTGAAAGTAGACGGGAGGGTGGGCAGGAAAAAGATTGGAGAAGGGAAATGAGAGGGTTACTGAAGTTTTGCTCAGGGCATTAAAAAAAACAGACCAGCCTGGGACCAATCTCAAGGACACAGGGAGTCCAAAGGGCTGTTTACACACTGTGTCCTACAACCCAAACAAGACAACTCCCGGGGGACAGGGCCAGAGCCAAGGCTCAAATCAAACTTCACCCGGAACTTCCCAACCCCTCGCCCCAGTTCTGGACTCGCTCTGGTTCTAGGGTCGGGGCAGCAGCACCATAGCCTTGAGGAGGCGCTTGCTCTCCCGGCCAAGGTCCTGCCCAGGGCATGCACCACTTTGGTACAGAGAAGAGGCAAACCCGACCTCGGGCCCTCTTTACCAAGACGAAAGGCCTTCAAGCCCTTTCTGCCTCGCGAGGTCGCGCTACATTCCCACGCTTCTCCACCACCGCTAGATCGCTAACCTCCTCGGTGTATTCCCTCCCAGATTCCGCCTTCTCTCACCATACCAGCCCCTCCCTTAGCAAGATGGCGGCAACCGCACTTCCGGCGTGTGTCCTTACAACTGCGTCCGGGCGGTTGCAGTAGGTGCCAGCTAGCGCGTTCCGGTCTTTGCTGCACAGACTACAATGGTGATGGCGGGCAGACAGTCCGGCTGGTGCCGGGCGGCTCTTTTCCAGCTTCTTTTTGGTGTTAATCTGATGGTGATGCCACCCACCCAGGCTCGGAGTCTGCGCTTCGTTACCTTGGTAATGGGCGACAGAGTCACCAAAGGGTTCACCAGAGTTAGAAAGGCAAAGGCCTGCTGTTGGAGGGAGGGGCAAGGCTTGTGCTGGATGTCGGGGGTCTCCAACGGGGAAGAGCGGGTTTAGGAGACAATTGGGGAGTTCGAAGGGCTGGGTTCATAATTGATGTGGAGTCTTGAGCCATTTTGAGGGGCAGGGTGTCCGAGTAATGAGTTCTCTTATTAGGGGATAAGTGGGATGAGTCTGTCTTGGGATGGGGATGTAGTTAAAAAGGTTAAAAGACTCATCCCTAAAGATGACTTTGGTGATGTTTTCCCCACCGAATGCATCGATTTCACAATTCTTCTTTCTTCCTCCCTGAGCCTTTGCCTGTGGTTTCTGGTTTCATTGCTTAGCCAAGTTAGGATCTTCCCAAACTGTGCTCTTTTGCAGTGGGTAATGGAAGGCTTCCCAAACTGAGGTTTCCTTCCCCAACATGGGTCACAGGTGGGCTCTGTGTCCCCATCAAAGAGATCCTTTTGACCTTCAAGAAAACCATTTTCTTTCCTTAGCTGTACCGACATGGGGACCGGTCACCAGTGAAGACATATCCCAAGGACCCCTATCAAGAAGAGGAATGGCCCCAGGGGTTTGGTCAACTAACCAAGGTAGATCAGAAGCTAGCCCATCACAGGATGAGCTGTACAATGAGTGGCCTCTGGAGCAGGCTACAGAACTTCGGGCTCCCTAATCTGCCTTTCCCACGTGGGTACTGATTGACCAAATTTTTGTTTGTGGTGTTGGGGATCAAACCCAGGACCTCTTGCATGCTAAGCACACTCTACTACTGAGATACATCCCCAGTCATGACCAAATTTCTTAACTTTACTATGTGCCCAGGACAGTGCTGGGCACAACTGGCCACTTAACTTCTGGGATCAGATTAAGCCCTTTCTGTTGCACGAAGTCATGCTGAGCATGACCCACTCCTCCTTTCAGCCAGGTAAAAACTTAAAAAGCAAGAATGCCTAAACCTTGCAGGATTTGTGAGCCATCCGTTCCTTCTGGACCCTCTTAACCCTTGGGTTTGTCCACAGGAGGGGATGCTACAGCACTGGGAGCTGGGCCAGGCTCTGCGGCAGCGCTACAATGGTTTTCTAAACACCTCTTACCATCGGCAAGAGGTAAGGCTGGGAGAATGAGAGGCAAGAAGAACAGGATCTGCTGTCCTCACCCTCTGCCTTTAAGGAGCCTGAGGGTGAGGCTGGGCACTCTGACCTCTATCCTACATTTTTGTTACAGGATAAGACATCAAATTGCTGTCTAAAACATAACCTAGAGGCTGAGTTGCCTCTGCTTGGCTAGGAAGAGTCAAAATTGATCAAGGCCAAATTATTTCATCTGAAATAACAGACTTTCCATCCAAGACATTTATTGAGTACTATAGGGGGCAAGGGCTGAGCTAGCACTTTACATACAGTGGTGTACCTCAGATAGGCTCTCTGTCATCAAGCAGCTTATTTGAGCTTAGAATGTAGGGAGAAAGTAAGCAGACAAAGGCAAGATAAAGGGGAACAGTGAAGATTGGCAAGTATTCTAGCTCCTTACCCCAGGGATGGGGGTAGCAGTTCCTCTGCTTATTACTCTCAGCCACAGCTATCTCTACATGTTCTTATTATTCCCTTAAAGCCCAGCTCTCTCCTGAGAAAGAGAAAGGGAGGAAGAAACTGTCCTTCCCCAGTTTCTTCCTCCCTTTTCACAAGCCATTCTCTCTATTCCTTATTTTTTCTCCCTTATCTGTAAGCTAGTTTTTAAAGGGGAAGGGATGTACTGGGGAGTGATTTATGCTGTCAGGAAACAAGTGCTGTTATAAAACCACAGACCAGATAATCTACTAATTTAAGTGCTTTTGACTAGGAGAAAGGAGTATTTGAACTAGAACCATTTCCACAATCTGAGTTCCTCTTACAGTAGAGACAGCCCTCAGCTGAGTTTGAGGCCTTAAGGGATGGGGAAGGCCAGAAGTGGGGGAGATGTATGGTGGGTTTACAATGTGCTGGGTAACCATCAAGAACAGGTTCTCCCTGGGGTTCCAGTGAGGGGCCAGAGTGCCCCTACAAACACATAGGTGAGACTCATGTTGTCATCTCCACAGGTTTATGTGCGAAGCACAGACTTTGACCGTACTCTTATGAGTGCTGAGGCCAACCTGGCTGGACTCTTCCCTCCCAATGGGATGCAGCGCTTCAACCCCAATATCTCTTGGCAGCCTATCCCTGTACACACTGTGCCTGTCACTGAGGACAGGGTAAGACTGGCCAACCGTTTCCTGGAGGTGGTGAGGGGGACAACTGGTCATGGGCCTGCTGATTGCAGATTCCTTTTCTGCCTCTGTTTCCCCTCTTTGATATACAGTTGCTGAAGTTCCCATTGGGCCCATGTCCCCGTTATGAGCAGCTGCAGAATGAAACACGGCAGACACCAGAGTATCAGAATGAAAGTACTCAGAATACAGTGAGTGGGGGCTGAGTTGGAGGGGCATGAGACTGCTCTTTCTGCTGGGTAGGACTGATGCCCTGATCCATTTTTCATAGCAATTTCTGGACATGGTGGCCAATGAGACAGGACTTACAGACCTGACCCTGGAGACTGTTTGGAATGTCTACGACACACTCTTCTGTGAGGTGAGTTTACTGGCGTGCCCAGTGGGATTGCTCTTCTCTCCCCCTCAGCAGGTCCAGGTCACTAGGACAGAGAACACAATGCCTGGATACCACCATTCCCAATGTAGAGGTTCAGCAAGCTACTGCTTGAGAAACCTGGGGACTTCCCTCATGGGTGAAAAGAACCTCAGAGTGGGAAACAGTTTACTAGCTGTCAGCAGTTTGTACTCCTCTCTGCCCAGAGCTCTCATGGTATGAGACTCCTGCTGAGTCTCGCTCTTTGTGCCTGAGCTTCCTTTCCTATGCCCTGCCATCTGCCATGTCTGCAGCTGCAGTCCCTCTGTCTCACTCTTCTCTCCTCTCCCTTCCCCACACACACAGGCACCTTCCCTCTGGGAAGAGAGCTACCCCTGGAGAGGCTCTGGCCTAGGCCTGGGGAGCTAACCTGCTGGCTACAATATACAGCAAACCCATGGGCTGCTCCTGCCACCCTGGGCTTCACCCCAAACCATGCAGCGTCTGAGCCAGCTAAAGGACTTCAGCTTCCGCTTCCTCTTCGGGATCCATGAGCAAGCAGAGAAGGCCCGGCTTCAGGGGGGTGAGTGACAAGAACAGCATGTCACTTCCCTGCTCAGGACCCTCCAGCACTGAAAATCTGCTATGGGGGCTTCTCACACATTTAATTTTCTGCCTGAAATGTTTCTGCTCTTTCAAAACCACATGCTCCCTTACCATCCCCTTTAGTTACTCAAGTCTCCCCAATTCTGACATTTAGCCTGTGTGTCACTGTGTGACCACAGTCAAGTGTGCAGGCTTCTTTGCTGCCATTCTTATTTTCACCCATGTCAGAAGACCCCCCTCCTCTACCTCCACTGACTGCATACTTCCCTCCAGAGAGCCACTAGGGCACTTTGAAAAGAAGGCTAGAGTAATACATGTGCCAGTTTCCTCATTTGAGTACTCAAGGGCATGCCAGCTCTCAAATCTTTGACATCTCAGTAATTTTCAGAGCCTGGATATGGCAGTTACCCTGGCATGGAATCACTACCTTGTATGTTGTAAACAGTTTTAAGTTTATACTTTGTTCCACACTAGGGTAATCACACATGGGCAGGGCCTCATAGCTCATTTATAAGTAGGCAAGTTTCTACATCTGTGTTTAAATATAGATACCTTGCTTTATCTTGCTTCCCTCTGTAAAATCAAAAGCTCTTAGAAAGCAGGGGGTGGTACAGAGTTCCAACATGGTCCCTATGAATCTGAAGAGTTCTCTGAGTTGGTGATTACACTCAGGACTAGCAGATGGTAAGAGGAGCAAATCAGGCTGAGCATTACCAAGGACAATGATGGTTGTCCTTTTCTTCTTCAGGAGTCCTGCTGGCTCAGATACGGAAAAACCTGACCCTAATGGCAACCACCTCCCAACTCCCTAAGCTGCTGGTTTACTCTGCGGTAAGCTCATAAACTCACCAGCACACTTATGTTGAGCCAGGAGTTGGATTTCTTCTCTATTTAGTCTCTGCAGGTATGGGGGAATAGCGCTCATCGCAGCCCCTCTCCTTTGCAGCACGACACAACCCTGGTTGCTCTACAGATGGCACTGGATGTCTACAACGGTGAACAAGCTCCCTACGCATCCTGCCACATATTTGAGCTGTACCAAGAAGACAATGGGTAAGTGGAACTACTGTGTGAGCTCCAGAGGGGCACTCAGGTGTGGCTGAGGGCAGCCTAGGGACTACCAGCTCCCATTTTACTCCTTGTCAACTCTTAGGAATTTCTCAGTGGAGATGTACTTTCGGAATGAAAGCAAGAATGCCCCCTGGCCATTGATCCTACCTGGCTGCCCTCACCGCTGTCCCCTGCAGGACTTCCTTCGCCTCACAGAGCCTGTCATACCCAAGGACTGGCAGCAGGAGTGCCAGCTGGCAAGTGATACTGCAGACACAGGTGAGCATCCATCCATCTGCTTCTGTGTTAGTTATGTCCCAGATCAATGTTAAATTCACATCCACAGATCTTGAGGGAGTTGTCACACTTCCAGCCATCTTGCATTTCTCTGGACAGCTTCCTCTTCCACCGTGAGATCAGTTTTACAAAAACAACAACAAAACCATTTTCTTGGCTTCTCCTGTTTATTCTCTCAACTTACTGGTAGCTTCCTTACTAGCTTCCCTCCCCACTAAACAATGGATGGCCCAGGGCTTGTCTCCAGCCCTTTTCCCACTATACTGACTCCCAAGGTGTTCTTGTCCAACCTCATGGCCTCCATATACCATTTACAAGCTAAGTTCCATGTTTATGACTTTCAGATTTATGACCTCTTCTCCAAGTCACACTCATACACCCAGCTGCTGACTTGAGGTCTCTACATGTATGTCCAGTGAGGCATTTAAGTTGATGTCTTAAAAAAAAAAAAGGTCTTCCTGTCAAATCTGCTTGCTCACCCTCTAGTCATCCCCATTTTAGTAAATGCTACATTAGTCACCTAGTTGCAGTGTAATCCTAGACATTATCTTTCTCATACACCACATCCAGTCCACTAGCAGATCCTATCAGCTTAACCTTTCAGATACTGTGCTCTTGCTTTTCCAACTTACCGTATCATTTACTCTTGTTTGAACTGCTGAAAAGCTTCGTAACATTCTTTCTAGTTCTATTCTTGTCCCTACCAGTTTCAATACAGCAGAGTTAATTTCTAAAAAATTATAAATTGGCACATCACTATGCTCCTCAGAATCTTCCAATGGCTTCCCGTAACACAGAGAGGGAGGCCCTGCCATGGCCTCCCTACTTGGCCTGGTCTTTGTTCCATCTCCTACTTGCTTCTTGCTTACTTTGCTACAGTCATATCTTCTTGCTGATGTCAGAACTGTATCAGGGCCTTTTGCACTTGCTTTTTGACACCCCCCCCCCCGCCACTTCCTACCCCAGGACATGCTACTGTCAGATTTTGTATATCTCACTAACTCCAGGTCTGTTTTCTCACTTCTTCAGTGATGCCTGCCCTGACTGATTTACCTTGCTCATAATATTCATCACTAACCTTTCATCCTATCATTTGCTCATTTATTACATCTCCTTTCCTCGAATGTACAGTACATGAGGGCAGACTCCTAACCACCTTTGTGTATCCCGTGTTGTGTCAGAACAGTACCTGACATGTTAGGTGCTTGATATTTGTTGGATGAAGGCTAACATTACCTTTCTCTCCCCATCCCACTACCCAGAGGTGATCGTGGCTTTGGCCGTCTGTGGCTCCATCCTCTTCCTTCTCATAGTGCTGCTCCTCACTGTCCTCTTCCGGATGCAGGCCCAGCCTCCTGGCTACCACCACATCGCAAACAGGGAAGACCATGCCTGACAACCACTCAGCCCCCTTCCCTCTGCCTCCTAGGGGAGGTGGGCTGGGCCCCTGCTCTTGAGTGTTGCTCCCCAGCCCATGGACAGCAGACCTGGGTTGAGCCTCCTTGATTACCCCAGATGAGTGAGTGGGGTGTGGCTTAGCCCATGGCACCTGTCACTCAGCATTCACATGCCTGATGTTTACCAAGTACTATGTGGACATTGACGTTCTCCAAACAGGATTTGCCTCTTCCATACTCCCTAAGGACCTGAAATATGGACAAGCATTCAGGTTTTACTCAGGACCTGGGATAAAAATCTGAAGGAGCCAGTGCTTGATCTGCCTTGCTCTTCCACCAGTCCCTGCTCTTTCTCTTCCAGCCCGGAGTCTTTGCCAAATGGCTCAAAGGACATTGTCTTGCCTCTCAGTACTTATTTAGAGGGAAAAGTTGCCCATCACTGGGGGGTGCAAACTGGCTGTCAAGGAACTGGATCACCCAAAAACCAGCCAGTCACATTTTTCCTTTGGTTGACTAAAGCTACCATTAGTGTCAGCACTAAAGGTGCTCCAGGCACCTTTTGTTCCCCCTTGCTTGAGCAGGTAGCCTGGTGAGTTGGAAGGATGTTTGTATTGTATGGGGAGGGAATGAGGGGAGTTAGGGGAGGAATAAATCTTAAAGAATTAGGAAATTATTCTCCCTATCAGCTGGGCTGGGCTTTCTGGGAACCTGGGGTAAATGCAGGCTCTTGACTGTAGCCCAGAATCGGCCTGAGGCAGCTCTGAGAATGAAGTTTTGGACTGTGAGTGCTGGTTCTGTGCCTTTTCTTCATCGCTTAAGCTCAAGGAGCCCTTTGACCAGGTCAATGCTATATCTACTTGCAAGCTCAGTTGGGTGTGGTTTTATTGGCTATGTCAACAGTGAGCACAAACAAAAAAATACTACCTGATCATTCTGCCACCACACATCAGAGGGGAAAATGTAGCTGGAAATACAGCTCAGCAGTAGAGCACTTGCCTAGCATGCACAAGGCCCTAACACCAAAAGGGGGGGAAACCCTAATACCAAAAGGGGGTTAAAAAAAAGAGGGAGAAAAGTACCTTGGCTCCAGGCTAGACATAGCAGGAACCCTTAAGGCAGCTGTGTCACCCTAAGTTTCCAGAGCTAAGTCCAGAGCAGTGCTATGCCAGGATTCTAGTCTCAGTGCCCCATGCAACAATGCCCTGCTTCAACCCTAATACTTGAGTACTTTTGGCCCATTAACAAATAGCTGTCTCTTCTCGCAGAACTTGTTCCCATTTGTGGGCTCCAAGGTATGGCTTGGCCCACACCTTCTTCATTGTCTTTCATTTTCTTTCTGTGGCCCAGCTTTCTCCTGGCTCCAAATGAGAATGTGATAACCTAGGATGACCAAAGAGTAGACTGACTTGCACCTTCCATTCTCAGTCTCAGAGCTTGGGGCTGGCCTAGGGAACCTAGGTTTTTGTAGCAAATTCTAGGAAACTAGACAGCAACTAGGTATTGCCATGACCAAGATAAAGCAAGATGGATAGAGGGCTTAGGCTAGAAAGACCACTGTATCTTGGGCTTTTTTTTTTTTAAACTGGCTACTGCCCTGGGGTGTTTGTGGCAGGCTAAGGTGAGTTTACCCTGCTGAAGCTTTGGGAGGGGATGTGTCCAGGCTTGGCCATTCTGAGATATGCATCTACTCACCCATGGCAGAGGCCAGTGTGTCCCCCATTGGGTTGAATTCATTGAGCTGCAGAGATAAGAGTATTGGCATTGAGAAGGGGTGAAGGTTTTGGCAAAGGCAGAAGGACACACAAGGACTAAATTCTGGTAAGATAGGTTGAATCACTTCTTCCCATCACTATTTGAGGGCCCAAGCCTTACCGAAATGATACCAGAAGATTCTGGGTCATAGAGCTGACACATCATCTTCCCTGAGTTTCCATCAAATACATCAATCGTCCTCAGTTCATAGGGGGCACAACTTTTGAAACTAGGATCTGGATAACGGCCTGCAACAATGAGGTTGTGCCGAGGATGCCAGGCTGCCTAGGAGATAGAGAAGTTGGTCACAAGAGTAAAGAGGGTCATCAAAAGTATTTTTTTTCCCCCACTAACAGGTCAACATCTTAATATTGGAGGTAAAACCTATGTGAGACTATGAGGATGGTTTTCAACTGCATGTGCATCTACCATTGCCAAAAAAAAATTTTTTTTTTTTTTTCTTAAATGACATTTATTTCTCACAGTTCTGATGACTGTGAAGTCCAAGGTCAAGGTGCTGGCAGATGCAATTCTTAGTGAAGGCTCCCTCCTGTCTTGAAGACAACTGCCTTCTACTTGTGTGCTCACATGCCTTTCCCTAAGTGTATGTGCATGTAGAGAGCAATTACTCTCTTCCTCTTATAAGGACACTAATCTTATAAGGGCTACACCCTCATAAGCACATCTAAACCTAATTACTTCCCAATTTCTTAATGTCAGATACCATTATATTTGGAATTAGGGTTTCAACATAAGGGTTGTGGGGAGGGCACATGGATTTAGTCCATAACATCTAGACATGTATCTACAGGAGTTGCAGAACTTTGCCCTACTGCTCAGGATCTTCCAGGGAAGGGTACTGTCAAGCATTTTGGAGCACAGGGAATTTAGGCTAATAAGACATACAGATCAAGGCTGAGTAGGAGGGTTCTCTCAAGTGCCCTACCAACATGGTACATTTCTCTTTCTGAAGCCTTAAAAAGCAGGACAGCAGTGAGGGGTTATGGGGTCACCACCCAGGTCACTGTGAGCAAATTACAACAGGAAATGTTCTCTTGTGCTTTATGATCCAACTTAGTTCATGCCTTCCTCTCCATTGCATTTGTGTTTGTGTGTGTGTGTGTGTGTGTGTGTGTGTGTGTGTGTGTGTGTGTGTGGCATTGGGGTTTGAACTCAGGGCTTCAAACTGGGCTCTTCTCAATCTCTACCTCCCAAGTAACTAGGATTACAGGTGCAAGCCACTGGCACCCATTGTCCATTACAAATTTTTAATTCCCAGCTGGTCTCCCTGGCTCTTAGAACATCTTCAGATCTTCTTTCTCTTGTATTTCCTGAGATACAAACTGATAAGTGTGGGTTTGTTTGGTTTGTTTCTTGTTTTTGCAGTGCTGGGAACTGAACTCTGGTCCTTATATACACTAGGTAAGAGCTCTACCACTGAACCAAATCTCCAGCCCTTGATAAATGTTTTAATATCAGCCTGGCCCAAACCTTAACCTAAGAGGCAAACCTGTAACAAAACAAAATGCCTCTGATAACCAACTAGAACATAAGTTCTGAAGTAACCCCATTCCTACTAAACCTCCTCTATCCATGTGAATTAAGGAAGAGTTAAGTGTAAAATTGCTAATGGAGCCAGGCACTAGTGGATCACACTTGTAATCCTAGCTACTTGGGAGCTAGAGATTGGTAAGATCACAGTTTGAGGCCATTCCAGGCAAATAGCTCATGAGACCCCATCTCCAAAACAACCAGAGCACAATGGACTGGACGTTGGCTCAAGTGGTAGAGTGCCTGCTTTGCAAGCGTGACGCCCTGAGTTCAAACCCCAGTCCCAACAATAAAAACAAAAAAAAATCACTCGTGGCTAAAAAAGGAGAAGAAGCCTATGTTCTCCTGTTCTCCAAATCACTCCTCTCAAAACAAATCTGGCAGTTATTGGGATGACAGAATTGGATGGGATTTTTCTAATAAATCTCAAGGAAGTTTTGATATCGAATATATGTATGTTTTTTTTTTTTTTGAGACAGGATTTCAAAAAAGTTTGAGCCAGGCCTCAAACTTGCAATTGTCCTGCCTCAGCCTCCTAAGTGCTGGGATTACAGTTATGCACCACCACTCCCAGATTTAAGATAGTTTTGAAGGAGGAAAGACATGGTTAGCAAAAAGAAAGAAATGATACATACAGTGGCTTAGAAATGAGCCACTAACAAATCACAGGTGGAAGTTGGCCTGCTGGATACAAAGGGGTAGATGAGGACAGATGGATTGGCAAGAAAACCAACTGGTGAAGGAGTCTTGATATTATTTATTATTGGGCTTGATTTGAGGTGCATGGGTACTAAATCATCATCTACCAAGTTCTTACCAGGTGCCCAGTGCTTTAAGGAAACTGATTTATACTTACAACAAACCTATCACAGTTAGATACTATTATTCCCTTTTTACAAATGAAACGGAGATCCAAATTGGAAAAGTTAGAAGCCACCTGAACCTGCAAGACACACTGAGAAGATGAAAGTTTGTGGGATCAACTGCAAACACAGTTAACTGAAATAGAGGACAAAACAGAGGATGAGGATCGCAGAAAATGCCCACTATGAGATCAGGGCTGGGCTGAAACAACTAAAAAAATAGCTTATTAGACATTGAGAAAGCTCAACAAAATAGAATTGCAGAAATGGGAAAAAAGGAGCAGAGAGAGCCAAAGGGTTAATACACTGTGTCAGGGCAAGAAGACTTCTGGGATTGCAGGTTGACCATGTCTGCCCCTCTCTATACTTTGGGCAGACTTGACCCATTCTCATGACTATAGCCCTCTTCCCTTCGTTACTCACCTTAATAGGTGTGAGGTGCTGGAAGTGACGGTGAGGGTGGGGGATAAGTCCAAGGGGGCAGTCCCACTGGGAGGCAGAGTAAACCCGGATCTCACTCTTCTGGTCAGTAGTTAGGAGGCGGGCTCCATCTGGGCTGAAACAAGCTGACAAAAAGCCCCTAAGCTGAAGAAGCTCCAAAGTCCCTGTTGTCCTGGCCTTCTCTAGTAGGGGCACATTCCCATTCTTCTCTAGACAGGAGCGGAAGTGAGAGGTGAATCCCAGCTATAGCAAAAATATTCTAGAAACTGCAGTCAAAGGAGCAGCCAGAGCCAGAAATGTTCCCAGACATCAGCTTGGCAGATCTCATGGGGAGGAGAGGAGGTTTGACCTAACAGCTTCCAAACTTTTAGGAAAAAAATCTAGAAGTGATGAGATAGGTAGGGTCTGCAGGAAAGATGGGATGTCACACCTGCGTTGACAGGATGCCTGTGTGGCAGCGAGAAGAGGAAGCTGGCTTTCCCTCTAACCTGGCGCAGGTCCCAGATTTTCACTGTTTGATCTACAGAGGCTGTGGCCAGTAACCAATCACAGCAGGGGTTCAGAGCCACATGAGTCACTTTCTTTTTATGCATTCTGAGATTCCAAAGCTGCAGAAAAGAGTCTGGTTCAGGTGGGGACACAAGTGACACAGGGGTAAGGGAGGGAAAGGGAGGATCTGGGCTAGAGTACCTCCTTGCCATCTGTGTTCAGCAGGATTACATGCCCCACATTATCTCCTGTGACGACCACTCGGCTTTTGGCAGACACATCCAGGCTGCAAAACCAGACACTAGAGGAGAGAGCAGGCTGTTAAGACTCTTAGGACTGATACAGGTCCATTGATTCACTTTTGCAGCTCCAGTGTCTAACCCATAGTAGGCATTCAATAAATATTTATTGGATGAATGAAAAATTGTCTTGCCATGGACTTCCAGTGAGGAAATCTCTGTCTACTGCGCAGACAGAAGGGAGATGGTATGTCCAGTTACTGCTGGGCCCCGCATCCTCAACTAAAAAGAGTTGCTGAAGCCACCAAACCTCAGATCCACAGGCAAGTCCCAAGGCTAGCTTGCCCCCCACAGCCCAGGTTCTGAGGAAGCCTTGTTTACTATTCTGTCCCCAATCACTCTTTACCCTCTGGGCTAAAGGAGATGACAAAACCAAACAGAAGTTGTCCAGCTCTGGTCTTCATACCTGGCTAGAGAGGAATGTCTGCCCCCTTCTGATCATTTAGGGAAAAACATACATAACCCAGAAGCTCTTTCCTCTACTTGAAGATGAGATTTAGAGAAGAGGGTGCTTCATGGATTCCAATCACAGCCAGGAGAGCTCTGGATCATATTGTTTCTCTGAAACCTTCAAACCTATGACACATTGCCTTTTGATATTCTCCCTGAATGTTAGCAGAAAGCTTCTCAGGGAAGAGTAACCTAGAGCTGAGTCCATCCAGTCACCTGTATGTTTCTTGTATGTTTCTCACTCCTGTGGGGCAACTCAGGATAAAACTCAATGCTAGTTAGACCCCATATCCTCACTCATTCCTTAGCAGTCAAGACTTGTGTCTCTGGTTGAAATCAAAATGACTAATATTTTGTAATTTCTCTAGTTACTTTCTCTTAGGAGGGGACTATCCATTTATGCTTCAATAGAGGAATTGGTGAGGTCATTACACCCCAATAAATGTAAGGCATTAAGACTTCAGTTCTTAGTTCCTGCTCCACTCTCTAAGTGGCTTTCTAGGCCAATACCCTGTTTACTTGTTCTATAAGAGTCAAGGTCTACTCTAATACAGATATGACTTACAGAAGAGCTGAAGCCCTTCCCTCACTAAGAAGGGGTAAGGTACCTGAACACTTTCCAAAAGCAATAACCCACCTGGACTAAGATCAGAACAGTCAAAGAGTTTGAGGAAGAAAAGAAGGGGCAGAGAGTAGCAAACACTGCTCCTTTCTTCCCTGTACCAGATCTGGGTAAAAGAAATGGGATCAGGATGCTCTGGCCAGGACTACACCTTACAGCACAGAAGGTCTTTCCTTTACTAGTTAAACTACTCACTTGCAGGTGTTTGAGCTGGTAAAAACTCGGACAGTGTTGCCTTTAAAGTCTTGCAGCCTAGTTGTTCCCTCCATTGAGGAGGCAAAAAACTGGTTGGTATTGAGAAGATTAAATTTCAGCCCAGTGATGCTCCCTCCAGCTCCAATCTAACATGAGGAAGGAAAAACCAGTGAATGATGATGAGCCAGTGAGTGAGGGAACTGGCCTGGCACATATATTGTGCTCCAAAAGAAACCCCAGAGCCAGGCCAGTTTAGACACCTGACACTAGGATGCTTTATTTTTGCTTTTGTATTTTAAGATACAGTAAATAGGACTGTTTTGGATTTGAATAACCACCACAAAAGTCAGGAACAGTTCTATCATCCCATAAAACTCCCTCATGCTCTCTCATTGGATCCCACCCTCCACTCACCCCAATCCCTGATCCACTGATCTGTTCTCTATCACTATGGTTTTTGCCTTTATGGAAAGTCATATACAGGAAACATATAGTATGCAATCTCTTGAGCCTGCCTTCTTTCATTTTGCTGAGCAGAATGCCTCTGAGATTCATCCAGGTTGTACTCAGTTCATTCTGTTTTATCACTGAGAAGTATTCCACTGTATGGGTGCACCACAGTTCCATTATTCACACAGCTCTCTTTTTTGAAGAGCTTCAGCTCAGAACAGTGGCTAGGTTAGGAGGGCAGGAAACAGATCTATGTTCTTTCCTATTCTTCTAGATATCCAGCAAACATGATAAAAATAATTGTGATCAAGTTGAAGGTTATAGCTTGTGGTAGAGCACTTGGCTAGCATAAATGAGGTCCTGGGTTTGCACTCCACCACCACAAAAAAAATTAAAAATAAACAATCCACTAAAGGGGGGAAAACCATGATAATATCTATGGCATAACCTTATTAAGTTCTTATTGCTTTATAAAACATTCTAACCAGTGCCCACAGTCTGCCAAAACCTTGGTGCTAGTAAGACAATCTCCTGTTCCCACCAGCTGATCAGGTTTCACTATTCCATGCTAGATAACACCACTGTCACTTACCCCTTGTCCCTGCCTAAACAGAGGCTCTTCTTACTCTGCTTGGGCTTTGACTCTATTGCTGAGCTATTACTCTGACACCACCTACAATGATACCCACTTCAGCTTCATACTATGTAAATGTCTCTCTTGCTTGGCTCTGCATAATATCTTTTGGTCTGAACTGTTCAGGAATGTAAGGGATCAGGAAGATGAAGAAAAGAAAGAGACTGGAGGTGTGGCTCATGCCGTAAAGTGCCTGTGTATCAAGTGCAAAGGCCTAGGTTCAAACCCCAGAACTGAAAAAAAAAAAAAAAAAAAAAAAAAAAAAAACAGAAGAAAAAGAAGGAAAAGAACATCAGTTTTAAACTTTCCATTGTCTAGAAAAGAAGGAATAATTTCCAACCTTATAAGGTGAGCATAACCTTGATACTCAAATCTGACAAGGACTTACTACAAAAGAAAAATTACTGGGCAATTTTTACACATGAACATAGATGTAAAAATCCTAAATAGAATATTAGCAAACTCAATCCAATGATACTTAAAACTCAATCCATTGATCCTTAAAAGTATCAATGTGGAGCTGGCAGAGTGGTTCAAGTGGTAGAGCCCCTGCCTACCAAGTGTAAGGTCCTGAGTTCAAACCCCAGTACCACCAAAAAAAGAATAAATACAAAACAAAACAAAGATAAAAAGGAGGGCTGGAGGTGTCGCTTGAGCAAGAGGGAGCCTGACTCACAAATGAGAAGCCCTGAGCTCAAACTTGAGTACTGCCCTAAATAAATAAATAAATGAAGGATAAATACATTATGACCAAGTTGGATTTATTCTGGTAAGGCAAGGTTGGTTTAAATATTAAAAATTAATCAGGCATCAGATTGGGAGCATAGCTTAGCGAACCTGCATAGCAAGCTGGAAGCCCTGAGTTGAACCACAGTACTACCAAAAAAATTGTAATAATTAATCAAGCATCAAAGGAAACAATCCAGAGTGAAAAAGCAAACTATGGAATGGGAGAAAATATTTGCAAGACATAAATTTGAAAAGGGGTTAATATCCAGACAGGTGATCTACCACTTGAGTCACACACCTAGCCCAAAAGAGATGGGTGCTGGGGATCAAACCCGGGGCTTTGAGCATGCTAGGCAAATGTTCTACCAGTGAGCTATATTCCCAGCCCTATCTAAAATCTAAAATACGTTAAAAACCCTCTTATAACTCAACAACAACAATAAAACAAATATCCCAACTAAAAAAAATAGGCAAAGGACTTGAATAGATATTTCTCCAATAAAGACATACAAATGGTTAATAAGCATATGACAAGGTGCTCAACATCACTAATCATTAGGGAAATATAAGGCCCCTTAACATGGCCACTATAAAAAAAACAGAAAATAGAAAATAGATAGTGTTGTGAGCATGTAGAGAAACTAGAATTCTTGTACACTGTTGATGGGGACATAGGATGGGATAGTCATGAAGGCTATTGGGGTTCCTCAAAAACAAGAAACAGCATTACCATTTGATGTAGCAATTCCACTTGTGTATATATCCAAAAGAATTGAAAGAGGATCTCAAAGAGTTTTATGTGCACACCCATTTTCATTGCTATTCATGCACAATGGAATATTTAGTTTTAACAGAAATGGAAAGCCAGATACGCTGGCATATACCTACAGTACCAGCACTCAGGAGGCTGAGGCAGAAAGATCGTAAGTTTGAGGCCAGCTTAGGCTTCAATACTGAGACTGTCTCAAAAAAGAAAAAAAGAAAGAAAGAAAGAAAAGAAAAAGAAAAAAACATGATGGGAAAGAATATGTGGGTATGTGCTATAGCAACTATTTACTAATGTACTACAGGTCTTTGTCAGTAACATAAGGAGGAAAGTATAGAAGTGGTAAAGAAAAAAAGCAAACTCATTATTTGTAGATAACTAGATTATACAGGAGTTTTTTTTAGGAGACAGAATTTTACTATGCTTCCTATCCTTAAACCCCTGGGTTCAAGCAATCCCCCTACCTCAGGCTCCTTAGTACCTGGGACTACAGGCACATGCTACTTTGCCTGCCTTGTGTAAGGAATAATTTTAAATCCTCAGATAAACTATTAAAATTAATAAATGTGCTGGGCACCAGCACATGCCTGTAATCCTGCTACTCAGGATTACAGAGATCAGGAGGATCATGGTTGGAAGCCAGCCCCAGGCAAATAGTTCAGGAGACCCTATCCTGAAAAATCCCACCACAAAAAAGGACTGGTGGAGTGACTCAAGCAGTTAGAGCGCCTGCCTAGCAACCATGAGGCCCTGAATTTCAAACCCCAGTGCCACCAAAAAAATAATAAATAAAATAATAATAATAATAATAATAAATGTGAATTTCTGTTTCCAGCCATGATAGCATCAGAAATCAAATATACCTGAACTAGAAAAGTGGAGAAAATACATGAAACAAGTTTCCAGACTCTAGACAACAGGCAGCACAAAACAAAGGGAAAGAAATGGCATAGGCCTGCAGCTGTGCCAGCTTATTGCTTAGAGAGGGTATTCAGGCTACAAGAGGGAGGTGCAAGTGGTGGACCAATTTAGATCTACACTACAGGCCGTAAGGCAGGGGAGGAGGGGAAGGAAAATGAGGAGTTAGGAGAAGGAAGAAGAGAGGAGGGGAGGAGGTGGAGAAGGATGGGAAAAAAACTATTTGAAAAAAAAAATGGCCTAAAAATTTCCAAATCTGATGACAACTATAATCCACAGACTGAAGCAGCTCAATGACACCAAGCAGAAGAAATTCAGAAAACGAAGTACGTTGTAATCATTTTAAAACAGCCCCAAAAAGAAAGAAAATCATATAGAGAATATGAGGAGAGCAAACTTCTTACAAGAAAGCAACTGAAAGAAAGGTATGAACCAAGAGCACACTGTATGCGATAAATATACTCAATTTTTGTCAATTAAAAAATTAAAAATTTTCTATAAACAATGATCCTAGAATTCAATACCCAACAAAAATATCTTCCCTGAAATAAAAGCAAAATACTTTTTCAGTACTTTTCCACAAAAGTGGAAAGAGCTGGGTGACGGTGTCTCACACCTGTAATCCTGGCTACTCAGGAGGCAGAGATCAGGAAAATTGAGGCTTGAAGCCAGCCCAGGCAAATAGTTCGAGACTGTATCTCGAAAATACCCAACACAAAAAGGTGTGGTGGAGTAACTCAAGTGGTAGAACACCTACCTAGCAAGTGAGTTCAAGCTCTAGTACTAAAAAAAAAAAAAAAAAAAAAAAGTGGAACGAATTCATCACCTAACAATCTGCATTATAAGAAATGTTAAAGGAATTTCTTCAGGGACAAGGAAAATGTTTTGAAAAGGAAATTTGGATCACAAAAAAAAAAAAAAAAAGCACTGGAAATGACAATATATGGGTAAATATAAACATTATTTCTCACTTAAAAAATATCTTTGGGGCTGGGAATAGCTAAGTGATAGAGTACATGCTTAGCATGCATAAAGCCCTGGGATTAATCCCAAGCATCACACACACACACACACACAATGTTTAAAAGATCCTACTCTAGGACTGCGGGGTGTGGCTTAAGTAGTTGAGCACTTGCCAAGCAAAGTACAGTGCCCTGAGTTCAAATCCCACTACCTCAAAAAAAAAATCCAAATGTTTTTTTACAGGTGAATGGATAAATTGTAATGAATTGTTACAATGGAAGGCTATTCAAAAAGAAAAACAAACCTTTGCTATTCATAAAAATGTAGATGAATTTCAAATAATTATACTGGTAAAAGTAGCCATACCAGCCAGGCACCGGTGACTCACACCTATAATCCTAGCTACTCAAGGGCTGGTGGAGTGACTCAAAGTAGGCCATGAGTTCAAACTCCAGTACCACAAAAAAAAAAAAAAAAAAAAAAAGCCACACCAAAAAAACAAAAAGTTGAGCTGGTGGAATGGCTCAAGTGGTAGAGCACCTGCCTGGCAAACGCAAGACCCTGAATTCAAACTCCAGTGCCACCAAAAAGAAAAAATAAGTGCTAGCATTCTATAAAAATGCAAATTAATCTATAGGGATAGAAAGAGCAGTAGTTTCCAAGCAGCAGGAGCAAGGGTAGAGTGC